CAGGGAGCTCGGGGGGGGCACTGGGAGGGGGCTGGGGGGATGCTGGGGGTGCTGAGAGGCACCAGGGAGCTCTAGGAGGGGACTGGAGGGGGCTGGGGGGAAGCTGGGGGTACTGAGAGGCACCAAGGGGCACTGGGTGGGGACTGGGAGGCACTGGGAGAGGGTTGGAGGGCACTGGGTGGTACTTGGGGGGGCCTGGGTGGCACTGGAAGGGAACTGGGGGGATGCTGGGGGTGCTGAGAGGCACCAAGGGGCACTGGGAGGGGACTGGGAGGGGGCTGGGAGGGGGCTGGGGGGGGGGGTTGGGGGTTCCTGGGAGGGACTGGGACGACACTGAGGGGGACTCGGAGGGACTGGGAGGGGAGTGGGGTGTGCTGGGAGGGACTGGAAGGCCCCCCCGGAGAAGCCCCAGGTGCCTGGTCACACCCCGTACTCCCAGTCCCTTCCATTTTTCCCAGCTCCATACCTCCCACCTCCCCCCATCCCCCCCAGTCCCCCCCATCCCCCCCAGCCCCCCCCAGTCCCCCCCAGTCCCCCCATTGTTCCCAGTCACTCCCCCCACTCCGTTATCCCCCCATCCCTCCCCGCCCCCCCCCATCCCTCCTCGCCACCCCAATTACTCCCAATTCACCCCATTTCTCCCAGTTACCCCCGATTCCTCCCGCCTCCCCCCCATCCCTCCCAGTCCCCCCCAGTCCCCGCCGTGACCCCCGTGCCCCCCCGTGCCCCCCAGGAGTACCTGCCGTGCCCCCCGGGCTGCCCGGCGGCGCTGCACGGGGTGATGCTGCGCTGCTGGTCCCGCGACGCCGCCGACCGCCCGTCCTTCGGCCTCCTGCACCGCCTGCTGCGCGACCACACTGTCCTCGCCTGAGCCTCCTCCTCACCGTCCTCTTCCTCACCGCCAGCACCCTTCATCCCCCCTCACCCTCCCCCCTCGTCCTCCGCCTTCAGCTCTCCTTCATCTTCCTCCTCCTGCTTTATGTTCCTCCTCCCTCCTCTTCCTCCTCCTCCTTCGTCCTCCTTCTCATGCTTCATCCTCCTTGTAACTTCTTCAGCCTTCATCTTCCTCCCCTTCTCTTCCGCCTCCTTCTCCTTTGTCTTCCTCATCTTCATTCTTCCTCCTCCTCCTTCTCTTCCACCTCTTTCTCCTTCATCCTGCTCATTCTTCATCCTCCCTCATCTTCCTCCTCGCCCTTTTCCTCCACCTCCTTCTTCTCCATCTTCCTCTTCATCCTCCCTCTTCTCTTCCACCTTCTTCTTCTTCATCTTCCTCCTCATCATCATTCTTCACCTTACTTGATCTTCCTCCTCCTCCTTCTCTTCCACCTCTTTCTCCTTCATCCTCCTCCTTCTTCATCCTCCTTCATCTTCCTCCTCCTCCTTTCCCTCATCCTCCTTCTTCCCTGTCTTCCTCTTCCTCCTCCCCCTCCATCTTCCTCCTCCCCCTTCTCTTCCACCTTCCTCTTCTTCCCCTTCCTCATCATCATCATTCTTCACTTTCCTTCATCCTCGTCCTCCGCCTTCTCCTCCACCTCCTTCTGCTTCATCTTCCTCCTCCTCATCCTCCTTCATCTTCCTCTTCACCCAACACTGGAAACACCCAACACTACTGACATGGGACCCCCCAGACCCCTGGGACCCCCCCCGGACCCATCCCCCCTCAACACCCTCATTCCTCATTAGTGGGGGGGGGGGGATTTGCGCTAATTAGCCACGGTGGCAGTGGGGGAGGGGCAGGGGCCAGGGCAGGGGAGGGGCTGTAAATATTTGGTGCCAAAAGGGAGATTTTTACACTAATATATAGAGGTTTTTTGGGGTTGTTTGTGTCTGTCTCCTCTATGTGGGGGTGCCCAGATCCCTGGGTCCCCCCCTTTGGGTGCTCAGACTCCTGGTTCCCCCCCCTTGGGGTTCTGTGACCTCTGGGTCCCCCTCTTTGGGTGCACAGATGACTGAATCCCCCCCCCCCCTTTGGGTGCCTGGACACCTGGGCCTCCCCCCTTTGGGGTGCTCAGACCCCTGGGTCCCCCTTTTTGGGTCCTCTGACCCCTGGGTCCCCCCTTTGGGTGCCCAGATCCCTGGGTCCCCCCTCTTGGGGTGCTGTGACCCCTGGGTCCCCCCTTTGGGTGCCTGGATGCCTGGGTCCCCCTTTTTGGGTCCTCTGACTCCTGGGTCCCCCCCTTGGGGTGCTCAGACTCCTGGGTCCCCTCCTTGGGGTGCTGTGACCCCTGGGTCACCGCTTTGGGTGCCTGGATGCCTGGGTCCCCCTTTTTGGGTCCTCTGACCCCTGGGTCCCCCATTTGGGTGCCCAGATCCCTGGGTCCCCCCTCTTGGGGTGCTGTGACCCCTGGGTCCCCCCTTTGGGTGCCTGGATGCCTGGGTCCCCCTTTTTGGGTCCTCTGACTCCTGGGTCCCCCCCTTGGGGTGCTCAGACCCCTGGGTCCCCCCTTTGGGTGCCTGGACACCTGGACCTCCCCCCTTTGGGGTGCTCAGACTCCTGGGTCCCCTCCTTGGGGTGCTGTGACCCCTGGGTCACCCCTTTGGGTGCTCAGACTCCTGGGTCCTCCCCCTTTGGGTGCCTGGACCCCTGGGTCCCCCTTTTTGGGTCCTCTGACCCCTGGGTGCCCCACTTTGGGTGCCCAGATCCCTGGGTCCCCCCCTTTGGGTGCCTGGACACCTGGGTCCCTCTTTTTGGGTCCTCTGACCCCTGGGTGCCCCCCTTTGGGCGCCCCCCCCGCCTTTGGGTGCCCCCCCCCATCAGGGTGACCTCTGTTTTGGCACATGGGTGCTCAGCTGAACCCAGGCAGCCGGGACTGCCCCCACCCTCCAGCTCTGACGCACAACACCCCCCCACACCCCCCCCCAGGGCCTGGAAGGCACCCAAATGGCCGGGGGGGGCACCCAGGTGGCCGGAGGTGGGGGGGGGGCACCCAGACCTCAGGGCTTTTCCCAGTTCAACACCCAGTCACCCTGCCCCCCCCCCCCCCCCCGTGGGGTTTTCCACACACCCTGGGGTCCCTCGGGGTGTGTATGTGTGTGTGTGGGGGGGGGGTGTTGGTCCTTTTATTTTTATTTTTTTTGGGGGGGGTGTGGGGGTGGTGTCCCCACATACTTGGGTCCTCCCTGCCAACCCCCCCCTCCCCTTCTTTTTGGGAGTGGAAAAAGGGAAAATGATGCAAACACCCTCCGCCCCCCCCCCCCCCCCAAAATGACTCAGGGTTTAGGAACCCAGGCGTCCACGCTGCCCAGCCCCCACCCTGCCCTCCATAGGGGACCCAGACATTTGGGTGTCTCCCCTATAGCCCCCCCCCCCCCAGGGGATCTAAGTGTCTGGGTGGGACCCCCCCCCCAAACCCCTATAGACCCCCCCAAAGGGGACTCAGTTCCATCCCCCCCCCCTCCCGCCCCCCCGTGTCTGCTCCTGGTTTCGCAACGTGGGAAAACCCGTTGCGTGACATACGTGTAAGTCGGGGGGGAGGAAGCTATAGGGGCTATAAGGGAAAGGGGGCTCTGGGGGGGGGGTACGGGGGGGGTTAGGCAGGAGGCGAACCCCGTTTTATGCCCCCCCCCATCCCTACACAGCTGCTATTTACTCCTATAGAGCACCATAACCCCTTATATAGCCCCCCCCGCCATAAACCCCCGTACGCCCCTATATACCCCTTTACATCCAAGTATTTCCCCATATACTCCCATATACCCCCCATACACCCCCAAGCCCCCCTATAGCCTGCTGTTCCCCTCCATATACCCCCCACACTCGTTTACACCCCCCCCCAGACCACGAGACTCCCCATACCCGTCCATACATCGTTCTATACCCCACACAGCCCTATGCATGCTCACACACCCCTATAGACCCCACCCCACCCCCTCTACAGACTCTATACCCCTCCGTGGGCTCCTCTAGACCCCCATACACCCCCTATATGGCCCCTATACAAGCCTTAAAGGCATTATAGACCCCCCCAAAGGCCCCTATAGACCTCCACGCACACCCTGTAGCCCTCTGTTGACACCCATACATCCTCTATAGCCTGCTATAGCTACCCATACACCCCCCTAGTCCCATATAAGCCCCTATGGCCCCATCACACACCCTGTGGAGCCCCTTACAGCTCCCTATCACCCCCTATACCCCTCCGTGCAACCTCTGGAGCTCGCACATGGCCCTCTGTAGCTCCCTATAGCCTCCCATACACCCCTCTAGTCCCATATAGCCCCCTGTATCCCCCCCCATACAGTCTCTATAGGCCCCTGCAGCTCCCTTTCACCCCATACACCCCCTATATCCCCCTATACCCCTCCATGCAACCCCTGTAGTCCCCAACACACACTCTATAGCTCCCTATCACCCCCTAAACCCCTCCATGCAACCCCTATAGCCCCCCATACACCCCTCTAGTCCCATATAGCCCCCTGTATCCCCCCCCATACAGTCTCTATAGGTCCCTGCAGCTCCCTTTCACCCCATACACCCCCTATATCCCCCTGTACCCCTCCATGCAACCCCTGTAGCCCCCAACACACACTCTATAGCTCCCTATCACCCCCTAAACCCCTCCATGCAACCCCTATAGCCCCCAATATAGCCCCCAATATAGCCCCCAATATAGCCCCCAATACAGCCCCCAATACAGCCCCCAATACAGCCCCCAATACAGCCCCCAATACAGCCCCCAATACAGCCCCCAATACCCGCTCTGCCTCCCCTATAGGGCCCCTCATAGCCCCCTACACATCCCCCCAGCCCCCTATAGACCATTATATACCCCTATGGCTCCCATACGCCACCTATACCTCCTATAGAGCTCCATAGCCCCCTATAGCCCCCCCCAGCCCCTATAGCCCTCCCCCAGCACCCCTGGGCGGGTGGGCGGAGCATCCCGGCGACACCACGCCTCCGCGGGGGAGGCAGCCAATAGGAGCCGCCGAAGGGGGCGGGGCGACGCCGCCGGCTATAAAAGAGCGCCGCCGGCGCCGCCACCGCCATTTTGCGACATGACCATGACGATGGCGGCGGCGGCGGCGGCGGCGACATGTCGGGGCTGGGGACAAGCTGAGGGGCTCCCCGGTGGGGTGAGCCCTTCCCCGCCCCGCCACTTCACCTTCGAGCCCCTGGTGGGGCCCAGCGACCCCCCCAGGCCCCGCCGCCGGCACCGCCGCGTCCTCTACCCGCCTGCTGTAAGTACCAGACACCCGCGTTTCCCCATCGGGGGGGGGGTTCCCCCCCCCCCTCCTTTTCCCGGATTTCGGGGTGCCCTCCCCGGGCCTCCTGGGTCCCCCGGGGCGGGCAGGATGAGGCCCATTTCCCGGGGGTGAGTCACTTCCCCGCTCCCCGACGCCTGACTCAGACCAACCTGGGCCCCGGAGGGTGAATTCCCCCCTTGCCCCCCCCCCCCCCCCCCGGGGTGGTTATTTACCCCGTGGGGGGGTTGGGTTAAAATTACCCCAGCTACCCTTCTGGCACCCGAGCAGGGTCGGAGGGGGGTTGCCTTTGGATGAGTTCCCTCAGCTTGATCGGGGGGGGGGTTTGCCCCTGAGGGGAAGTACTTGCCCCGGGAGGGGGGCATTTGCCTGAGGGAGGGGGATATTTGCCCCGGGGGGGAGTTACTTACCCCGGGAGGGGGATATTTGCCCCGGGGGGGAGTTACTTACCCCAGGAGGGGGGTATTTTCCCCGGGGGGGAGTTACTTACCCCGGGAGGGGGGGTATTTGCCCTGGGGGGGGGAGGTTACTTGCCTGAGGGAGGAGGGTAGTTGCCCCTGGGGGGGGGGAGGTTACTTGCCTGAGGGAGGAGGGTATTTGCCCTTGGGGGGGGGGGAGTTTATTGCCCTGGGGGGGATGTTTATTGCCCTGGGGGGGGTTACTTGCCAGAGGGAGGGGAGTTACTTGCCCCAGAGGGGAATTTGCCCCAGGCAGATGAGTTGATACCCCACTTTGTTGCCCCCCCCCCCCCCCCCCAGGTGCGGCGGCTGCCCCCCACGGAGGAGCCGAGCGCGGCGAAGCGGCTCCTGGTGCTGCTGTTGGCTGTGGTGAGTGCCCAGGTGTACAGCGCGCCCGGGGAGGTGACACCCGAGACGCCCTCACTACCTGCTGTGACATCCCCGCCCGGGGACGAAGTGCTGCTCAGGACTGCCGTGACAGCCACGGGGACAACCTGGACACCCAACGGGACACTGGTGGGGACACCAGCGGCACCCGGGGGGACGCTTGTGGGTGCCTTCTGCCCCCGCCCGCTGCTGTCACCCGCCCTGCGGCCCCACAACTGCACTGCCCGCTGAGGAGCACGCAGGACCCTCGCCCTCCTCTCGGGGTGGGCACCCAACGCTTTGGCGCCTTGGCCTCGGGGGTGGCACCCGGCATCCCGCTGCGCCCATCGCCGCGGCCTCGGGGCTGGGCCCGACTGGCTGGACTGGGAGCCGTACTGATTGTAGTGGCCACAGGGTGGCACCACGCACCCACGGGTGCCCCTCACCTCAGCTTTGGGGTGGCACCCGGTGCCCCACGCACGCTTTGGCCTCAGGGCTGTGACAGCACCCAGCACCCCTGGGTGCCCCTCGCTGTGCGCTCAAAGAGGCGTTCAGCACCCATGGGTACCCCTACCTCGCCTTCGGGGCCGCCCCGAGCACCCATGGGTGCCCTCCACCCAACCTCAGGGCTGCTCACCTCATCCCCTTTCCCCCCTTAATGGTATTTATTTATTGTATTTGTATTTATTTTGCGGTTATTTAATTGAGGGTTATTTAACTTTATTTAATTGGGGGTTATTTCACGCGATTTGGGGGTATTTAATAATTGCTGTTATTTAACGTCAGTCACTGCTGGGTCTTTATTGGAGCGTCGTGTGGTCGTGCCTGGGGGGGGCCCTTGCAACCCCCCCCCCCCAGAGCCCCTCTCCCCCCCACTGCCTGCACCCTTGCTGCGATGGGAGCTCTTCAAGAAAAGGGGAGGAAGTGCTTCCTCCTCCTTGACGTGCGAGAGAATAGGCTTTTCCCCATTTTCTGCCCCAATTTCCAAGCTGGGGAGGGGTGGGCATGCCACACCCACTGTTTTGGGGGTGTTGGTGATGCGAGGAATTAAAGAAAACCTCATTTTAGGCAGAAAAACAACACTTTTTTTTTTTCATCGCGAGTTGGCCATGGGACGCACGCAGGCGCCGAGCTCCGGTTTATTGAATCAACTCGTAGGCGACGCTGGAATACAAAGTCACAAAAGTAACAAAAAGAAAAAAAATTTTTTTTTTTTTAAAAAAAGCTGAAAACAGCTTCATTTCACTCCCGTTTTGGGGGGTCACGCTGGGGGGATGGGACAAATCCCACGTTTGATTGGGCTCTGTGCGGGATAATAAAGTCTTTCCTCTGAAACATGCACTTGGCAGTGCCAATGACCCAAATTTAGGGGGTTTCCCCCCATAATGGCACTTGGGGAGCACCATCACCGCCTGGCTGCACCGACAAAACCACAAACAACACACATGACAGCAGTAAAAAAAAAAAAAGGAAAACAGAATTTTTGCCCGTTGATCCCAGATAGGACTTGCCCCCTGCCCACCCCCAAAAATAATCTGCCTAGAGAGCACAACCCAGCAGAAAAAGGGAAAAAAACCCAAAAAACCCTTTTCTGCTTCAGTTTTTACCAGGTCCCACCTAGAAGAAATTTCATAAATCTTGGGTCATGCTCAGTGGTGCTTTAAAACACAGTGGGAGGAGGAGGGGGTGGGAGAACATCATTAAAAATGATCCTAATTAGGTGGGAAATTGATTTTATTTGCCTCCATCTGCCCCAAAATGTGAGGGGGGGTGGTGTGCAGTCCCCTGTCTGCCACAGGGTCACCGGCTTTAGGAAGGGATGTGTCCTGCTGTGAAAAGGTAGTAATTTGGTTAAAAATTTAAGGGGGGGGGGTGGTGTGTGGTGTGTCCCCCATCCCCTAATTAGATCATTAATTAGCCAAGGCTCCAGGCAGGAACAAGCCCCCCCAGTGCCAGGACTTTGAGGTCAACTCAGGCTGGGTGTTGGGCGACTGGTCGGGGAGGGTGGGGGAAGGATGGAGCTGGGGCAGCAGCCAGTGTTCCCTTAATTAGAGAGGTCATTAATTAGCCATCAGGGCTGAATGGCTCCAGGTGGGAACATCCCCAATGCCAGGGCTTTGCCGCTAACCCACATGGGGTGTCGGGCGAGCGGCTGGGGGGGAGGACGGAGCCACAGAATGAAGGGGACTTGCCCATCCTCTAATTAAAGAGCTCATTAATTAGCCACCAAGGCTGAACAGCTCTGGGCAGGAACACGCCCCCCAACGATGGGTCTTTGAGGTCAACCCCGGTTGGGTGTTGGGCAAGTGGCTGGGGTTGCAGGGGGAAGGATGGAGCTGGGGCTGCACCCAGGGTCCTCATGCCCCAATTAAAGAGCTCATTAATTAGCCACCAAGGCTGAACGGCTCCGGGCAGGAACACGCCCCCCAACGATGGGTCTTTGAGGTCAACCCCTGGTTGGGTGTCGGGCGAGCGGCTGGGGAGGTGGGGAGGAGGATGGAGCCACAGAATGAAGGGGACTCGCCCATCCTCTAATTAAAGAGCTCATTAATTAGCCACCAAGGCTGAACGGCTCACACGCCCCCCAACGATGGGTCTTTGAGGTCAACCCCGGTTGGGTGTCGGGTGAGTGGTTGGGGACACAGGGGGAAGGATGGAGCTGGGGCTGGACCCAGGGTCCTCATGCCCCAATTAAAGAGCTCATTAATTAGCCACCACGGCTGAACGGCTCCGGGCAGGAACACGCCCCCCCAACGAGGGGGCTCGGAGGCCAACCCCCGGGTGGGTGTCGGGTGAGTGGCTGGGGAGGACGGAGCCACAGAATGAAGGGGACTTGCCCATCCTCTAATTAAAGAGCTCATTAATTAGCCACCAAGGCTGAACGGCTCCACCCCCAACGATGGGTCTTTGAGGTCAACCCCAGTTGGGTGTCGGGCGAGCGGCTGGGGACACAGGGGGAAGGATGGAGCTGGGGTCCTCATGCCCCAATTAAAGAGCTCATTAATTAGCCACCAAGGCCGAACGGCTCCGGGTAGGAACACGCCCCCCAACGAGGGGGCTCGGAGGCCAACCCCCGGGTGGGTGTCGGGCGAGCGGCTGGGGAGGTGGGGAGGAGGCCGGAGCCGCGGCGGGGGCCGGGCACCGCTCAGTTGATGAGGGAGGAGGTCTGGGCCCCCGAGGCGGGGGCCGAGGGGAAGGACGGGTGGGGGAAGGCCCGGGCGGGGAAGGAGAGGGCCCACGGCAGGTCCAGGGTGGGGCTGGAGAGGGGAGGGATGGGCAGGGGCGAGGGAGAGGCGGGGAAGGAGGGCAGCGAGGGGACGGGCGCCGCCGAACCGCCCAACGGCGGGGAGAAGGCGGCGCCGGAGAAGGCGCCGGAGGGGTTGGCGGCGGCGGCGGCGGCGGCGGCTTTGGGCTTGTCCCCGGCGTGGGTGCGTTGGTGGCGGTTGAGGTGGGAGCTCCGGCTGAAGCACTTGCCGCACTCGGGGCACTTGTAGGGCTTCTCGCCGGTGTGGACGCGCTGGTGGATGGTGAGCTCGGAGCGTTGGATGAAGCTCTTGCCGCACTCGGGGCACTGGTAGGGCTTCTCGCCGAGGTGGGTGCGCTGGTGGGTGATGAGGTTGGAGGAGACGCTGAAGCATTTCCCGCACTCGCCGCAGCGGTACGGTTTCTCCCCGGTGTGCATCCGGCGGTGGATGGTCAGGTCCGACTTCTGGATGAAACCCTTCCCGCAGTCCCCGCAGGCGTAGGGCTTCTCGCCGGTGTGGATGCGCCGGTGTTTAACCAGCGCCGACCGTTGCCCGAACCCCTTCCCGCACTCCCCACACTTATAGGGTTTCTCCGGCGGTACCGGCGGTGCCGTTTCACCGTCGCCGGTGTCCGATTCCCTCCCGCAATCCAGACACTGTTGAGCGCGGGGACGTAACCCCACCGCGTTGCCCCGGTTCTTGCCGCAATCCGGGCACTTGGGGGGCTGCCCCACCGTCCCTCCGGCACCGTGGGCACGCTGATGCTTGAGCAACGCGGCGCCTTGGCTGAAACATCGCCCGCACTGGGCGCACTGGAAGAGGCGACCGTGACGGTGAGCGGCCAAGAAGCCGGCTAGGTGTTCGGGGCAACGGTAGGATGCCCGTTCGGCCGCGTGGATCTTCTGGTGCCGGTCGAGGTGGGAGCTGACGCTGAAGCTTTTCCCGCACTCGGCACACGTGTACGGCCGCTCGCCGGTGTGCACCCGTTGGTGGCGTTCCAGGTCGGAGCGTTGGATGAAACCTTTGCCGCAATCGCCGCAAGCAAAGGGCCGTTCGCCGGTGTGGATGCGCCGGTGCTGGGTGAGGTTGGAGCCCCGGCTGAAGCTCTTGCCGCAATCGCCGCAGCGGTGAGGCCGCTCGCCGCTGTGGGTCTTGCGGTGCTTGGCCAAAGCGGAGCGTTGGGCGAAGCTCTTCCCGCATTCGGGGCAGCGGTGAGGAGCCGGCGAGCCCTCCGGCGGTGGCGGTCGGGGACGGGCGCGGGGTTGGGCGGGTGGGCCGGGTCCCCCGGCGTGGGTGCGGCGGTGCCGGTCGAGGTGGGAGCTGACGCTGAAGCGTTTGCCGCAGTCGCCGCAAGGGTACGGCCGCTCGCCGGTGTGAACCCGCCGGTGCCGCTCCAGGTCGGAGCGTTGGATGAAGCCTTTGCCGCAATCGCCGCACCGGTGAGGCCGCTCCCCGGTGTGGATGCGCCGATGCTGGGCCAGGTTGGACCCTCGGCTGAAGCCTTTGCCGCAGTCGCCGCAGCGGTGCGGCTTCTCCCCGCCGCGTTCCGGCTGCCGGGCCGACTGCCGGCACCGCCGCCCGCACTCGGAGCACCGCCGCGGCTTTGCCAGGCTCTGCGACCGGTTCCTCATCCCGCATTCGGCGCATCCGCCCCGGGACGCCGGCGCCGCCGTGCCGCCCTTCTTGCCCCCGTTCCCTTTACCGCCGGCGGGGGGGTCGCCTGCTTGCCCCCCACTTTGGCACTGCTCGACATCCTCCAGCGCCGCCTCCTCGCCGTCCCGCGGTGCCGAATCCTCCTCGGTCCCACTCCCGGTGCCGGCACCTGCACCGTGGTGAGAAACCATGAGTCCCTCCGGCACAACACCCCCCATCAACCCCCCCCCCCCCCCCCAAAATTAATTTGAAGCCCCCCAACGTGGGAAAGGGGGCATCTCCCCGGACTTCTGTAAGACCTTTGAGGTGGCCCTCCGCAACGTCCTTCTCTCCAAGTTGGAGAGATCCGGAGTTGACGGATGGACCGTTGGGTGGGTCAGGAACCGGGCGGGTGGCGGCATCCAAAGAGTCATGATCAACAACTCAACATCTGGATGGAGACCAGTGATGGGTGGTGGCCCTCAAACGTCTGTACCGGGACCAGTGTTCGTCCAGACCCTCGCGGGGGCCATGTGCCACGGTCACCTCTTTGCCGTGGTGCTCCACAGCGTCCACCTCGCCGGGTCGGGGGGAGTTGGTGGGTCAGGACCCGGGCGGGTGGCGGCATCCAAAGAGCCGCCCGCGGTCACCGGCTCCACGTCTACGTGGAAACCGGCGACGAGCGGTGGCCCTCGAGGGCCCGCACGGGGACCGGTGCTGCTCCAGAGCGGCGGCAGCCCCGGAGGCGCTGGGATCAAGGGCACCCGCGAGCCTGGGGGCGACCCCAAGCTGCGCGGGGCGGCTGATCCCCCCGAGGGACCTGGAGAAGCTGGAGAGGTGGGCCCAGGTGACCCTCAGGGGGTTCAGCCAGGCCGAGCGCGCGGGCACGGTCACGGTCACGGTCACGGCAGCCCCCGCCACGGGCACGGGCTGGGGGCGAGGGGCTGGAGAGGGGAGAAGGCCTCGGGGGCTGGAGCAGTGGCCGCCAGGGGCCAACCCGCGCTCCCAGCCCCGGGAGCCACCCGCCTGCGGGGCTGCGGCAGCAGGAGCGTGGCCACCAGGCCGAGGGAGGTGGGGGCCCCCCTCTGCTCTGGCGAGCCCCCCCCGGAGCGCTGCAGCCGGGGGCCCTCGGGACAGGGAGGACACGGAGCTCTTGGGGCGGGTCCGGAGGAGGCCCCGGAGATGATCCGGGGGGTGGGACACCTCTGCTCCGGGTCGGGCTGGAGAAGAGGAGGCGCGGGGCGACCTCGTGGTGGCCGCCCAGCCCTGGGGGGGGACAGTTTTGAGCTAAAACCGGGGAGATTGTGGTCAAAGGCCGACGTTTTTTACGCTGAGGGTGGTGAGACACTGGAAGAGGTTGGAGATGCCCCGTCCCTGGAGACACGCAAGGTCGGGTTGGACGGGGCTTCGAGCAACCTGGTCTGGTTGGGGGTGGCCTTGGCCATGGAGCAGGTGACCTTCCGAGGTCCCTTCCAACCCCAAACCCTCCTGTGATGTCCTGGACGGGGCTCTGAGGAACCCGATGTGGTCGGAGATGGCCCTCCCCATGGAGCAGGTGACCTTCCAAGGTCCCTTCCAACCCCAAACCCTCCTGTGATGTCCTGGACGGGGCTTTGAGCAACCAGATGTGGTCAGAGATGGCCCTCCTCATGGAGTTGGTGACCTTCCAAGGTCTCCTCCAACCCCAAACCCTCCTGGGATGTCCTGGACGGGGCTTTGAGCAGCCAGATGAGGTTGGAGATGACCCTGCTCATGGAGATGACCTTCCGAGGTCCCTTTCTGGGATGTCCTGGACGGGGCTCTGAGGAACCCGATGTGGTTGGAGATGATCCTCCTGGTGGACTAGGTGACCTTCCAAGGTCTCCTCCAACCCCAACCAGCCCATTCAGTACAAAACCAACCCCCCAAAGCACTGAACCCCGAAACCTGCTCCCACCCCGTTGCCCACGGGAAGGTCCCAGAATGAAGGGGGTCTTGGAGAAGGTCTCGGGGAGGTTCTTGAGAAGTTCCTCCCCAAATTTACCTCCATCTTTGGGTGTTTTCTTGCGGTTTCGGCGCTTCCCCCCCTGCCCCTGCTCCCGCACCAGCTCCCGCAGCATCTTCTCCACCTGGCTCCTGCCGGCCGTTTGCAGGATCAGGCCCAACTGGCGGCGTAAATCGGTGTTCACCCCCCCATCGCTGGAGCCGGCCCCCGCCGAGGGTTGGATCTGGGTGGGCTCTGGTTGACCTTGTTCCCCCTCCGCCTCCACGCCTGGAAAAAGCACCGTTAGACCCTCAAAAACTTAAGGAATTCACCCAAAATTTGGTGGTGGTGGTGGGGGGTGGGTGGTTGTCTCCAAAAATCCCGAGGGATTCGCCCAAATTTGAGGGGGGTCCCCAATTCACCTGAATTTGAGGGGTCCTCAAAGCCTAAGGAATTGATTCAAATTTGAGGCGTCCCCAATTCACCCGAAGCTGGGGGTGGGGTGGGGTGGGGGGGTGTCCCCAAAACCCAAGGGATTCGCCCAAATTTCCAGCGTCTCCAAAAAATCGAAGGAATTCACTCCAGTGTGGGCAGCCTCAAAAAACTTCAGGAATTCACTCAAATTTAGGGGGGTCTCCACAAATCCTAAGGGATTCAATGACAATTGGGGGGGGGGCTCCAATTTACTCCAATTTGTGGGGTCCCCAAAACCTAAGGAATTCAGTCAAATTTGGGCATCCCCAAAAAACTTAAAGAATTTGCCCAAATTTAGGGGCGTCTCCAAAAATCCTATGGGATTTGCCCAAATTTGGGGGGTCTCCAATTCACCCAAATTTGGGGGGGTCCCCAGAACCCAAGGGACTCGCCCACATTTGGGGGGTCCCCAAAAACATGAAGATTCAATCAAATTTGGAGGGTGCCCAATTCACCCAAATTTGGGGAATTCTAAATTCCCTCAAAACCTAAGGAATTTACCCAATTTTGGGGCTCCCCAAAAACCTAAGGTATTCACCCAAATTTGGGGAGCCCCCAAAAACATAAGAAATTCACTCAAATTTGGGGAATCCACAAAATCTAAGGGATTGACCCAAATTTGGGCAATCCCCAAAACCTAAGGAATGGACCCAAATTTGGAAGTTCCCAAAAACCGAAGGAATGGACCCAAATTTGGGGGGTCCCAAAATCCTACAAAATTCACCCAAATTTGGGGAATCCTCTAAACCTACAGAAATCACCCAACTTTGGGGAATCTCCAAAACCTAAGGAATTCACCCAATTTTACAGGTCCCCCAAAACCTAAGGAATTGACCCAAATTTGGAAGTTCCCAAAAACCTAAAAAATTGACGCAAGTTGGGGGGGGGGTGTCCCCAAAACTGACGAAATTCACCCGAATTTGGGGAATCCTCAAAACCTAGGGATTTCACCTCAATTCCGGGGCTCCCCCAAAAACTTAGGGCGTTCGCTTAAATTGACGAGACCCCAAAACCTAAGAAACTCACCTAATTTTGGGGGGGGGGGGGGGGTGGGAATCGCCAAAACCCGAAGGAATTCACCGCAATTTGAGGGGGTCACCAGAACCTCAGGAATTCACCCCAATTTGGGGAGGGGGTCTCCCTCCCCCCCCCCCCCCCGAACCCCAAGACTTACCCGACACGAGCCCCCGCCTGCGGTGGGACTCGGCGAAGGCGGTGATGCGCGGCCAACTGATGGCGATTTCCTCCGCTGCCGGGGAGAAGGTTGGTCCTCAGGCGCCCGGACGCCCCGGTGATGGGCTCCAGCCACCCCCCTTTTCCCCCCCTCCACCGCGAGACACCCTCTATTTTGGGGTGAAATGCTCCACTTTTGGGCAAAACGGGCTTCCAGCAGCTCCAAGTCACCGCGGCGAGGGAAACTGAGGCAGCACAGGGTACCCCCACCCCCCCCCAAATCCCACCCCTGAGTCCGTGCGATGCTCACAGCCCCCCCCCCAAATCTCAACGTGTGCCACGGGGGGTGTGGGGGGGTGTGGGTGTGGGTGTCCCCAACCTACATGTGGGGTGACGATGGCGCTGGGGACCCCCAAAATGACCCAGCCCCCCCCCCACCCCCCTCCCAAAATTGGGACATCCCAGGGGGGTCCCTCCACGCCCCTTACCCAAGGAAATCACGTTCTCGTAGTTCTCCTGCATGGTGACCCCAAAAAATAGGGGGACGGGGGGGTCCCAGCGGGGGGACAAGGGGGGTCCCAGGTGGGTGGCGTCACCCCACAACCAAAAGTCCGGCTCCTGCAACAATAAGAGACACCCCCCCCCCGTGAGCACCCCAATACCCCCCTTTTTTCTCTATGGAGAGGGGGTTCAGTGTCTCCCCCCCCTCTTTGCTCCCCAAATTTTCCAGGGCTGTGCACCCCAATCCCCAAGGGCAGCTGGAGACGCGTGCCCCTCTGTTAAATTGTGCCTGCTTTTTGGGGTGCCCAGGGGCTGCACCCCTGCTCTTTAGGGTCCCCAGTGGCCGTTCACCCGCTTTTTGGGGTGCTCAGGGGATGTGCCCGCTTTCTGGGGTGCCCAGGAGCTGCACCCCACTTTTTGGGGTGCCCAGGGGCTGCACCTCTGCTCTTTGGGGTCCCCAGTGGCTGCTCACCCGCTTTTTGGGGTGCCCAGGGGATGTGCTCGCTTACTGGGGTGCCCAGGGGCTGCACCCCACTTTCTGGGGTGCCCAGGCACCGCGCCTCTGCCCTTCGGGGTCCCCAGCAGCTGCTCACCCGCTTTTTGGGGTGCCCAGGGGCTGTGCCTCCTCTTCGGGGTGCCCAGAGGATGCTCACCCACTCTTCGGGCTGCCCAAGCGCTGCACCCCAACTCTTTGGGGTACCCCCCCCCCGCTGCACCCCCCCCCCCCTCCCCAGCACACAAGCTCAACACCCCACCCCACCCGCCCCCGGCAGAATTTGGGGCTCCCAGCCGGGGTCGGGGAGGGGATGGGGGGGGGGGAGGTAACCACCGAGCAGCGCGGGGCAGGGGAGGGGGTGTGTTTATGGGGGGGACCCCCCTCCCTCAAGTTACCTGCGGTGTTGGGGGGGGGGGCTCAGCCCGGGGTTCCCGGGGCTCCCCCCCGGGCTCCGGGGACTCTCCTCGCCGAGCACCGGTCCCGGTGGGGGCGGCTCCCCGTGTGACCCGGATACAGTGAAGCCGCGGCCGCCCTCCTCCTCCTCCTCCTCCTCCTCCTCCTCCTCCTCCTCCAGGGCCCTCTAGCGGCCCCCGCCTCCGCTTCACCCCCCACCCCCCTCCCCAAAACCGACCCCCCCACACCTCGAACCCACCCCGGCTCCCCCGAACCCTCCCCGGAGGGTTTCACCCCCCGCCCCCCTGTTCCGCCCCCCCCGCGCTCAACCGCTATAGTAGACACTGGAGAATCCCCCCCCACCAAAGGATGCTGTGGGATGGGGTGGAGATTGGGCTGGGCTCGCTGCCCCCCCCTCCCCCCCCCCCGCGTGCTGGCCCAACTCGCCATAGGGACCAGCTAAAGTGGGGGGGGGTGGTCAACCATGGGGGATTGGAGCCCCAAATCCATCGGCGTCCGGAGGTGGAGACAGGGGCAGCCCAGGGGCACCAAGGAGGTGCCCAAGGAGGTGCCCAAGGAGGTGCCCAAGTTGCTTCTTGCCCAAGGACTTGCCCAAGGAGTTGCCCAAGGAGGAGCCCAGGATGTCCAAGGAGGTGCCCAAGTTGCTTCTTGCCCAAGGAGATGCCCAAGGAGTTGCCCAAGGACTTGCCCAAGGAGTTGCCCGAGGAGATGTCCAATGAGTTGCCCAAGTTGTTTGTTGCCCAAGGAATTGCCCAGGATGTTCAAGGAGTTGCCTAGATTGTTTGTTGCCCAAGGAGTTGCCCAAGGAGGTGCCCAGGATGTCCAAGGAGTTGCCCAAGATGTTCAAGGAGGTGCCCAAGTTGCTTATTGCCCAAGGAGATGCCCAAGGAGTTGCCCAGGATGTTCAAGGATTTGCCCAAGTTGTTTGTTGCCCAAGGAGGTGCCCAAGGAGTTTCCCAAGTTGTTTGTTGCCCAAGGAATTGCCCAGGATGTTCAAGGAGTTGCCCAAATTGTTTGTTGTCCAAGGAGTTGCCCAAGGAGATGCCCAAGATGTTCAAGGAGGTGCCCAAGATGTTCAAGGAGGTGCCCAAGTTGCTTGTTGACCAAGGAGATGCCCAAGGAGTTGCCCAAGGAGGAGCCCAGGATGTCCAAGGAGTTGCCCAAGATGTTCAAGGCGGTGCCCAAGTTCCTTATTGCCCAAGGAGATGCCCATGGAGTTGCCCAGGATGTCCAAGCATTTCCCCAAGTTGCTTCTTGCCCAAGGAGATGCCCAAGGAGTTTCCCAAGTTGTTTGTTGCCCAAGGAATTGCCCAGGATGTTCAAGGAGTTGCCCAAATTGTTTGTTGCCCAAGGAGTTGCCCAAGGAGTTGCCCAAGATGTTCAAGGAGTTGCCCAAGATGTTCAAGGAGGTGCCCAAGGAGTTGCCCAAGGAGATGCCCAAGGAGTTTCCCAAAGAGTTGCCCAAGGACTTGCCCAGGATGGTCAAGGAGGTGCCCAAGTTGCTTGTTGCCCAAAGAGTTGCCCAAGGAGTTGCCCAGGATGTCCAAGGAGTTGCCCAAGATGTTCAAGGAGGTGCCCAAGTTGCTTGTTGACCAAGGAGATGCCCAAGGAGTTGCCCAAGGAGATGCCCAAGGAGTTTCCCAAAGAGTTGCCCAAGGACTTGCCCAGGATGGTCAAGGAGGTGCCGAAGTTGCTTGTTGCCCAAAGAGTTGCCCAAGGAGTTGCCCAGGATGCCCAAGGAGTTGTCCAAGTTGTTTGTTGCCCAAGGAGGTGCCCAAGTTGCCTCCTCTCTTGACCCAATGAAGGCAGAGGATCTTCCTCCTTGGAGATCCTCTCCTGGACCCAAGGAGGCAGAAGGGTTTTGGGCGTCTTTGGAACAACCCAGCCAGCGTCAGCGTGGGACGAGGGGGGGACCTTCAGGAGCATGAGGCATTCTGGGGGGGGGCGGGGGGGGGACACACGGGACAGGACACCCCACAGTTGGGGGGACACACGCGCGTAGCCCCAACCTTTCACCTCCCAGCAGGTGACTCACCATCACCACCACTCACCCACGGACCACGGACTGGGACAGGCGGCCGGGCTGGTTGAATTTCCCCAGGATGGAGGCGGAAGGGGGGGGGTGGTGTTGTATTTTTGGACCCCCCTCCCCCCAAAGATGACCCCCAAACCTCTGATTTTCCACACGGGAAGAGCCGGGACTCGGAGATCCTCCAAGAAGAAGCAGGAGCCAGCCGCTGGTTTTTGCACTAGTCTATTTTTATTCACAATACAAACACAGCTCCTGCTCATCTTGGGAAGAGACGGACCAGGCAGCCGGCACGGCCGCGACCCCAAAAACGCCAGGAAAACCCCCAGATTTGCGTCCTGCTCCCATCCCCGAGGTTCACCCCACGGGGTCCCCTCTTCTCCGCTGGGAAATACCTGCAGGTCGTGCTCCCCGTGATCTCCTGGGGGTTTCTTTCCAACCATGGGTGGTGTTACCTCTTCCCCGTCACCGATGGGTTCCCACCACGCGGTTCCTTTGCGTGGTGGCTGCTCAAGCAACCCAAGAGGAGCCATGAGCATCCCCAGGCCAGCTTGGGGACGTCCCCTCCCTTGTCCCAGCTCCCGTCCCCAACAGCCCCCAGCTCACCCCAACACGTCGGGTTCCTCCAACCGCAGGTGGGTTCCCGCTGAATAAATATAATAAATACATTAAATAAACCACTCAACGAAGCATCGCCGGCGGCCAAACCGCGGCACGGGGCTGGGAGCCACCAGGGCCGGACGCCCGGGCTTCTTTCTCGACAACAAAGCCACAAAATCGGGTTATTTTACCCCAAATGGTGTCGTTTGGAAGACGGCGTCATCGCGCCCCAAGCGCGGCGGGGGAGGGCTCAGGCTTCGGGTGCTGGTCAAGGCTGAGAGCAGGGGGAGGGCGGGATGGTCGAGGGATGAAGCCACCCCAGAAATTTTGGGGTCTCTCCGAGTTTGGCAAGGAGCTGGTGGGATCTCCCGCACCTCCAAGGCCATCCCCTTCCCCCCCCCGGGCCGCGCCTCCCCAGCCGCTCAGCACCGTCGCAACACCCAGGGGGGTGGTTTCTCCTGGAGGAGGAGCACGGTTGGGATGTCCTGATGTCTGTCGGCAGGATTAGGTCTGATTTTCTGGAGGGGATGCCCCCCCCCCCCCAATTCCCACTCGGCCCCCCCCACCAGCCCCATCTCCATCCTCCCCTACCTACCCTACCTTCCTACTCTACCCTACAAAAACTACGTCCTCGGGGCCAGGGTTGGTGCCGCCGGGGGACGACATCACCGCCTTGGGAGCACCCATCCCCGGGGCACCCGCCGCGCGTGGGGGGGCCACCCGAAGCACCCTGCGGCAACGGTGGGGGGACGGGAGCCACCTGGGGGGGGGGGGGTGTCAACCCTCTGGCCCACCCCCCCCCCCCCCCCCCGCCTCCCCTCTCCCCGTCCCCCCGGTTAACGGGGCGTGAGCTCATCCGGCGGCTCCTCCGGCGGCTCCTCCTCGCCGTGGCTCCGGAGGTGACGGTGAAGGTGGGAGCTGACGCCGAAACGCCGGCCGCACTGCGGGCAAGGGAACGGCTTCTCGCCGGCGTGGGCCCGTCGGTGCTTAGCCAACGCCGACCCGTCGGCGAACGCCTTGCCGCAGTCGGGGCAGGCGTGCCGGGGACCGGCGTGGGCCCGTTGGTGCTTATGGAAGTGTAGGGTGCTGTTGAAGCTCTTCCCGCAATCGGCGCAGACGTGGGGTTGCCCGCCGGCGTGGGTACGCTGGTGGCGGTAGAGGTGGGAGGTCCGGCTGAAACGTTTGCCGCAGTCCCCGCACTGGTAGGGTCGCTCGCCGGTGTGGATCCGTTGGTGTCGTTCCCAGTGGGAGCTCCAGGAAAAACTCTTCCCGCAATCACCGCACCGGTACGGCTTCTCCCCGCCGCCGTGGAGGCTACGCCGGTGCCGGGCGTACTGAGCGCGGGCGCCGAAGGCTTTACCGCACTCTTCGCAACGGAAAGGACCGTCGCCCAGGTGAAGGCGTTGGTGTTTGACCAACGCCGGCCCGTCGCCGAAACTTTTCCGGCACAGGGTGCACTTGTAGGGTCGTTGGCCGGTGTGGGTGCGTTGGTGCCGGTCAAAATGGAGGGTGCTGCCAAAACTACGCCCGCAGTAGGTGCAGATGTAAGAGCGACCGCCGGCGTGGGTGCGTTGGTGCCGGTAGAGGTGGGAGCTCCGGCTAAAACTCTTCCCGCATTCGGGGCACTGGTAGGGCTTCTCACCGGTGTGGACGCGTTGGTGCCGGTCGAAATGGGAGCTCCAACTGAAGCTCTTGCCGCAGTGACCGCACTGGAAGGGCAAGCGCCCGGTGTGCAACCGCTGGTGGGTCACCAGCTCCTTGTTCCGGCGAAAGCTCTTCCCGCACTCCTCGCATTTGTACGGCAACCCGCGGGGCCGCGCCGGCGGGGCCGGGGGACCCGGCCGCTCGGCGGCGTGAGCCCGTTGGTGCCGGTAGAGGTTGGAGCTGACGTTGAAGCTCTTGCCGCAGTGGAGGCAGAGGAAAGGTTTCTCACCGGTGTGGGTCCGCCGGTGTTTGCTGAAGTGGGAGCTGCAGCTGAAGCTCTTGCCGCACTCCCCGCACTCGTAGCTCTTCTGCAAGACGATGATGCTCTTGAAGTTGGAGAAGGCGCCGGCCCCCGGCCCGGTTTTGCCGCCCCGCCGCCCGCCCGCCGCCCCGGGGGAGTCGATTTGCTGGACTACGGTCCAACGGAGGGTCTCCCGCCTGGGGCTTCCGGTCGCCGGGCTCGGGGTGCCCCGTCAAGGTGGCCGTGTCCAGCTCGACGATTTCGGGGTCCCCCGCTGGCGGGGGGTCCGTCTTGGGGTCGCTCGGTGTCCCTGGGACAGCGGAAAGAGGAAGGGGGGGGGGGGGGGGCGGGGGGGGGGTTAATAGGCTCCCCCACAGGCTGGTGCACCCCGTAACTTTGAGCTTCTCGGCACATCCCTGGTGCAGGGTTCTGTTTGGGGGGGGGGGGGGACACGACACCGCGGGATCTGGGTGCCCGTGGAGTTGGGGGGGGGGGTCTCTGTTCCCTTCCCTGGAGCGCAATGAGGACACCCCCATCTCCCTCCGTTGTCCCCCCCCCTCCAATTCAACACTTACTCTGCATCAGCGGGGGGTCGAAGGCGTCTTCCTCCCCGTCCCCCCCGAAACGCACCGTCTGCTCCAGCTCCGCAGCCCCCCAAGGCTCCATCGCCCCTTCGGCCGGTGACACGGGGACCCTGGAAAGCCAAAACCCCCCTGTCACCATCCAAAGCCACGCCACCCCCCCCCCCCCCAAGAAAAAGAAAACAAAAAACCAACACATCACCAGGGGCGCGGTGAAGTTTGGGGTTCAGCAGGATGGTGGGTGCACCCCTCTCGTGCGGGATGGGGGGGGGGGGGAGTATTTTGGGGTCCCAGCTTGCAGTGTGTGACACCGGAGGGGGGGGGGGCTTGCAGGTCTGGGTGACACTGGGTGCCGGTGGCACACACGTTGTGCGTGTGTCCCCCCCCCGCCCCGGGCCAGCCTGAGTTGGAGGGACACCCCCCCCATCCTCCTCACCACCCCCCCGCCACCCCGCGACCCTCCTCATCCTCACCAGGGCCCCCCCCTCCCCCCCCGCCCCGCTCTATACAGGACAGAGGGGACCCCCCCCCGACCTCCCCAGGGCTGATGCAGGATGGAGCCCCCCCATCCCCACTCCCCCCCCCTTTGCTCTATACGGGATGGCGGGGGGACATCCCCCCCCCCCCCCCCCCAATCCCCCGACCGGGGACAAAGCCGGGCGGCGCCGTGGGGGGGGGGGGGGGGGACGGACACGACGGGACAACGGGGACAGACGGACACACGGACCCCTCCGCTACCTGTCACCCCTGGCGGGCGGGGGGGGGGGGGGAAAAGGAGAAAGGAGGGGGGGGGGGGGAGGAAGAGAAGGGGGGGGGGACACACCGGACACACGACACAGCGACAACGCGACCCCCAACAACCACAAAGGCGACTCCGTCCCCTTCGGTCCCCGAAGCTTCAGCTCGTGGCTCCGTGTGTGTTTCTCTGTGTGTCCCCCCCCCCCCCTCCTTTACACCCCCCCCCCCCCCCTTCCTGTCTGGGGCCCCCCCCCCCCCAACCTCCCCCCCCCCCCGGTCCCCGTTGCTCCATCCCCTTCCTGTGTGTCCGGGCTCACCGAGCCGGCGTGCAACAGCCCCGGCGCCGCCCCCCACCCTCGTTTCTTCCCCCCCCCCTCCCCAATTTCCCCCCCCCCCACCCAACACACACCCTTTCTTCCCCCCCCCCCCCCCCCCCCTTTCTTTCCCCCCGGCTCTGTTGCTCCATCGCCTCCGCATCCCTCCGGTCCCGGTACCAGGTAACGGGGGGGAGACCCCCGGGGATTTTGAGGCGGGGGGGTGGGGGGGGGACGACGACGACGACGACACACGGACGGACACACAGACACACAGACCCCGCCCGGCCGCAACCCCCCCCCCTCCCCGTGGGGAGATTTGGGAAGGGGGGTGGGGGGGTGGGGGGTGCAGCGGGCGATCCCCATCCTCCCCTCGCTCACCCCCCCCCCTTTCTATTTGAAACACCCCCCCCCCCCCGCCTTCACCCCACTCGGATTTTCACACACATCCCCCCCCCCCCCGCCTTCGCATCCAGCCGCGTTGTGTTTTCACCCCCCCCCCCTTCCCCGCACCCACCTCCGTTATATTTTCATTTATCACCCCCCACCCTCCCCACACCCACCTCCGCCGTATCCCCCCCCCCCTCCCCGGACCCCCCCCGTTTCTCCCCTCTTTGCATTCAGCCATGATTTTCATTTTCCCTCCAGCCCTGTTGCATTTTAAACTCCCCCCCCCCCGCCCCGTTATTTTTTCCGTCCCCCCCCCCTTTAATCTCCACCCCTTTTGCCTTCACCTCGGTTGCATTTAACCCCCCCCTTCCCCATCCCTGTTCCCTGGGGGCACCCCAATCCTTATTTAAGTGCTCCCCAACCTTCTGGGGGAGGGGGGGGGGTGTTCCCTTCCAACAGCGTTGGTACTGGGGTGAAGCACCCCAAAACATCCCGGGGGGGGGTGGGTGTTGTACCCCAGCACCCATTGCCACCCATCTGTTCCCCCCCCCCAGGGTGCTGCAGGGATGCCCTCTATGGTCTTTATGGCCAGCTGGACATGGGGGGGGGGCACCCAATTTGGTGTGCACCCCCCCCGCCCCATGCACCCCAATACCTGAACCGGAGCTGTTTGCATTGCAGGGACCGGTGACATTCCCCCCCGCCCCCTCCTCGCCCCCCCAAAACGAGCCGGCAGCGGGACGAGCCTGGATCAGCGGGACGAGATGCAGGAGAGCTACGAGAGTGTCATCTCCTTGGGTGAGGCTCTTAAATTCCCCTGATTTCTCCCTAATTTATCATTACTCAAGAAGAATAAAATTAAATTCATTGGCATTCATTGCCTGAATTTGTAACGGCGTAAAACCACCAAAATTGCCAGGATTGAGCTTAAATAGAGTGGGGGGGGGGCGGATATTTCAACCAGGACCCCATTTCCAGCGATGGCTTTACGGCCCCGGTGCCTTTGGCCATCCCGTCCTGGTGTTATAATTTTGGGGGTGGAAAGAGCTATAATGGGTGTCCAACTGTCTCCCCTAGCCGAGGAAATCGCCATCAGCTGGCCGCGGATCACCGCCTTCGCCGAATCGCACCGGAGGAGGGGGTTGGTGGCCGGTAAGTCACCGGTCGCGGTGCCGGTTGGTGCCGGTGATGACCAAGAGAAGGTTTTGGAAACCCCAAAACCACGGGGTGACCCCCGGCGGTGGGAGAGCAGCCGGCCGCGGCCGCCGGGACAGGTGCCGGCAGCCAACCGATGGGTTTTCGGCGGCCCGGCCCGATCCTCACCCCCCTTTTTTCCCCCCTGTAGATGATGGGTTGTTGAGCGAGAACGAAGAGGAAGACCCGCCGCCGGGCGAGCTGGAGAAGGTGGACGCCGAAGGGACGCCAGCGGGGAAGCCGAAGGGGACCAGCCCCACCGGTGCGGAGGGGACGAAGCCTGGTGACAGTCCCCAAAAACCAGAGAACCAACCCAGAAAGCCGTCGGGCAAGCGACAGGGCAAATCAGGCCACCGAGGCTTCAAGAAATTTCCCCCGCGGAGCTTGCTCGGCCACGGCCGGTGCCACGACTGTGGCAAAGCTTTGGCTTTCGGTTCAGCCTTCAACAAGCGCCGGCGAGGGACCGAACGACCCCATAAATGCCCCGAGTGCGGGAAGTGTTTTCGGCTCAGCTCGACCCTCATCACCCACCAGCGCCGGCACGCCGGCGACAAACCCTACAAGTGCCCTGACTGCGGCAAGACCTTCAGCGTTGGCTCGGCGTTCATCCAACATCAACGGGTGCATGCCGGCGCCGGTGCCGGCGCGGCGCCTTGCCAGTGCGGTGTCTGCGGGAAGAGCTTCCCAGCCAGCGCCAGTTTGGTGAAGCACCAAAAATTGCACCTGGAGGAAAAACCTTACAAGTGCGGGGATTGCGGGAAGGGTTTCAACTGGAATTCCCATCTGGAGCGGCATCGCCGGATCCACACCGGCGAAAAGCCCTACGCCTGCCCCGAATGTGGTAAGAGCTTCAGCTGGAGCTCCCACCTCGACCGGCATCGCCGTACCCACGCCGTCCCCGGCGACCCCGCTTGCCGTTGCGCCAACTGCGGTCGCTGCCCGGTTCCCCGCGGCGCCGAAGGCTCCAAAACTCCGGAGAAGCCCTTGCAGTGCGGCGAATGCGGGAAGGGCTTCACCAAGAGCACGGCGTTGGCCAAACACCGGCGCGCCCACGCCGCCGAGAAGCCCTACAAGTGTGGGGAGTGTGGGAAGGGTTTCGGCTTGAACGCCGCGTTGCTGCAGCATCAGCGGAGCCACGCCGCCGGCAAACCCTACCAGTGCGGTGACTGCGGGAAGAGCTTTGCCTGGAGCTCCCATCTTGACCGCCACCGGCGTATCCACATGGGCGAGAAACCCTACCGCTGCGGGGACTGTGGGAAGAGCTTCTCCCAGAGTTCCCACTTGGAGAGGCACCAACGCGTCCACGCTGGCGCCGAGCAGCCCTGCCAGTGCACCGACTGTGGGAAGAGCTTCTTGGCCTCCAACAAGCGCCGCCGGCTGTTGACCGGCACCAATGAGCGACCGTGCAAGTGCACCGACTGTGGCAAGAGTTTTCTTTGGGGTGCCCGTGCCCGGCCGGCACCGGAGAGGACCCATAAGTGCAGCGAGTGTGGGAAGAGCTTCACTTACCGGGCAGAGAACGTCAAGCACCAAGGGACGCAGACGGGGGAGAAACCCTATACCTGCCCCGAATGCGGGAAGAGCTTCGGGCAAAATTCGGCGTTGGTGAAGCACCGCCGGATGCACACGGGAGAAAAGCCCTACAAGTGTGGGGACTGCGGGAAGAGCTTCAGCGTCCGCTCCAACCTCATCAAACATCAACGGACCCACCTTGGCGAGAAGCCCTACAAGTGTCCCGACTGCGGGAAGGGTTTCATCCAGAAGTCGGACCTCACCAAGCACCGCCGGATGCACACCGGGGAGAAACCCTACAAGTGCAACGTCTGCGGGAAATGCTTCAGCGTCTCCTCCAACCTCATCAAGCACCAGCGCATCCACCTCGGCGAGAAGCCCTACCAGTGCTCCGAGTGCGGCAAGAGCTTCATCCAACGCTCCGAGCTCACCATCCACCAGCGCGTCCACACGGGTGAGAAGCCCTACAAGTGCCCCGAGTGCGGCAAGTGCTTCAGCCGGAGCTCCCACCTCAACCGCCACCAACGCACCCACGCCGGGGACAAGCCCAAAGCCGCCGCCGCCGCCGCCGCCGCCAACCCCTCCGGCGCCTTCTCCGGCGCCGCCTTCTCCCCGCCGTTGGGCGGTTCGGCGGCGCCCGTCCCCTCGCTGCCCTCCTTCCCCGCCTCTCCCTCGCCCCTGCCCATCCCTCCCCTCTCCAGCCCCACCCTGGACCTGCCGTGGGCCCTCTCCTTCCCCGCCCGGGCCTTCCCCCACCCGTCCTTCCCCTCGGCCCCCGCCTCGGGGGCCCAGACCTCCTCCCTCATCAACTGAGCGGTGCCCGGCCCCCGCCGCGGCTCCGGCCTCCTCCCCACCTCCCCAGCCGCTCGCCCGACACCCACCCGGGGGTTGGCCTCCGAGCCCCCTCGTTGGGGGGCGTGTTCCTGCCCGGAGCCGTTCGGCCTTGGTGGCTAATTAATGAGCTCTTTAATTGGGGCATGAGGACCCTGGGTGCAGCCCCAGCTCCATCCTTCCCCCTGTGTCCCCAACCACTCGCCCAACACCCAACCGGGGTTGACCTCAAAGACCCATCGTTGGGGGGCGTGTGAGCCGTTCAGCCTTGGTGGCTAATTAATGAGCTCTTTAATTAGAGGATGGGCGAGTCCCCTTCATTCTGTGGCTCCATCCTCCTCCCAACCTCCCCAGCCGCTCGCCCGACACCCAACTGGGGTTGACCTCAAAGGCCCATCGTTGGGGGCGGAGCCGTTCAGCCTTGGTGGCTAATTAATGAGCTCTTTAATTGGGGCATGAGGACCCTGGGTGCAGCCCCAGCTCCATCCTTCCCCCTCTGTCCCCAACCACTCGCCCGACACCCAACTGGGGTTGACCTCAAAGACCCATTGTTGGGGGTGGAGCTGTTCAGCCATGGTGGCTAATTAATGAGCTCTTTAATTGGGGCATGAGGACCCTGGGTGCAGCCCCAGCTCCGTCCTCCTCTCGACCTCTCCAGCCACTCACCCAACACCCAACCGGGGTTGACCTCAAAGACTCATCGTTGGGGAGCATGTTCCTGCCCGGAGCCGTTCAACCTTCTAATTAACCTGGCTAATTAATGAGCTCACTGCTGGCACTGGGTGCTCCCCTCCAGCACGCCCCCAGCTCCACACCAGGCTCTCGACCTCCATCCCAGTCCCCCCACTCCCCTCCCCACCACTCATCCCAGCATCTCCCAGGGGTGCTCCCCAGAGCATCTTCTCACCTCACCCTTCTGCTCCCCGTCGGATCAAGGTCCACGTCATCACCTCCATCTGGGTACCACCCTCTGCTCCCACCATGGAGCATTTTGGGAGAAAAAAACGGCAGAAATGGGGGTTTTGCCACGCTGCCGCATCCCGCTCTGCCCACCCAGGAGCTGCCACGAGGGACTCGGGGATATTTCCACATCCCCACCTCCTGCGGCATCTCCCTGAGCTCATCTTATCCCACGTCATTCCTCAGAAACGGAGCCGGTCAAGGTTTTCTTCTTTTATTTTTGATTATTTTTTTCCTTTTGGAAAGAAAAATCCTTTTGGGCAAAACCACGTGATTTTGTGATGTGTTTTTTCAGGCACTTCATGGAATATTTTGTTGTGTTGTTGTTGTTTTTTTTTTTTTTCTTTTCCACACAGACTTTGCAAAAACTTTCATGCATTTGTGGTGGGTTTTTTTTTATTATTATTACTGATTTTCCTGAATTTTTACATTTGCTTTTGCTCCGTCCATCGGAGCGGGATTCGGTGCATTTTGGTACTATCGGGAAAAGGTGGTGGCGGTGCTTTTTTTGCTGCCTGAAATCCCGATTACTCCCGTTTCCTGATTTCTCCCTGTTACCGGGGAAGCGAGGGCTTCTCGGGGGAAAATAAATGAAGATTTAAAAAAAATTTTTAAAAAACACTAAAAGAAACAGAAAGGGTTACATGCAAAATAGAAAAGCATCGAAAGAAATACAGAAGAGAAAGAATTAAGGTGGAGAAAGACTTTTTTTTTTCCCGAAAGAGGATAAAAAGCTGAAATAGGACCTTTGGAAAAGTAGGGAATTGCTGAAATCTCTGGAATTGGGAAAGTTTCAGCTGAAAAGAAAATAATTCAAGAGGTACAGAGATGCTACAGGAAGGACTTGTCATGTTTATTGAAAAGAATAAAATATCGGCAAGAGGAACAGGTAGTACTGTAGGTGCAAAAAAAGAGGAAAAATATCAAAATGTGGAAAAAAAATCTAGAAAATGAAGAGGAGGAAAAGAAAGCAAAGGATGTATGGAATAGAAAAAAAAAAAAATCAGTGATTAAAATAGAGAAAGGGATAAAAACAACCATCCTGAGGAAGTACGCCGAGCCGGGGTTGGACGCGGCAGCAGCGGGAGGTGCTGCCGGACCGTTGGATGCGGGAAAAAAGAATAATAATTCAAAAAAAAAACAAAAAACCCAAAACCAAACAAAAATCCCAGAGTGGATGGAATTGGCTCTGGGTGTTGGCTCGGGGCCGCGCAGCTTGGAGGTGCGATGGGCGGAGGAGAAGTGACGCAGGGCGGGGTGCGGCCGCGGGACGCGGAGCTGCACCGTCCCCTTGCCCGATGAAGGAGCCCCCGAGGATTGTCCCCGGCTTGGCGCCCTGTGTTTTGGGGACCTGCCGGGCTCCCCGGCCGCCCCGCCGCACAACCGGGGTGTCACCCATGGCACAACGGGGGTGTCACCCATGGCACAACGGGGGTGGCGGCGATGGCGCGACTGTGATGTCACTGACGGTAGAATCGTGATGTCACCGATGGCACAACCGTGGTGTCACCGATGGCTGCTGGCGTGGGCAGGGTGTCACCGACGGTTCAGCCATGACGTCACCGATGGCACAACTGGGATGTCCCCGACGGTAGAACCGTGATGTCACTGACGGTAGAACCGTGATGTCACCGACGGTAGAACCGTGATGTCACCGATGGCACAACCGTGGTGTCACCGATGGTAGAACCGTGGTGTCACCGATGGCACAACCGTGGTGTCACCGATGGCTGCTGGCGTGGCCAAGGTGTCACCGATGGTTCAGCCATGACGTCACCGATGGCACAGCTGGGATGTCCCCGACGGTAGAGCCGTGATGTCACCGATGGCACAACCGGGGCGTCGTCGCTGACACAACCATGATGTCCCTGGGGACGTTAATTCCTCCTTCGCGTCGCGGGAGGACCCTCCGGACACCCCCCACCGCCTTCGGATCCCCCAGTTGCTGCCTTGAAAGCAGCACCAGCCCCACTTTGGGGGGGGGGGGGGAGAAGGGGAAGAAACTTGTTTCGAGGAGCCCCAAAATCTCATGTTCTTGCCTCAGTTTTGCCCGGCGGTCGACGAGAGCTGCTGCTGGGGCTTGGTTCTTGACCCCCACCTCCACATCACCCCAGCCATGCACTAATTAGGCATCCATGGGCAGGCTGATGGTGCTCACCCCTCCCTTGCACTAATTGTGCATTAACGAACGCACTAATTACACGCTGCCGTTCAGATGCCACCCTGCCTTCGGGCCCTCTGGCCAATTTGAGCCAAATTAACCCAAAATCAAGGGTTAAGATGATGTGGCTCGGTGGCTTGGCCACCTCGCCACTGCCAGGCTCTGTGGGTGGGGGTCACCAGGGAAGGGGAGGGGGGACACACAAGAAAACTCCCTCCCCCTTGCCCCACGGAGCCCAGGACCTTGCAAATGGAAAGCGGGGAAGGGGGAGGAAGAGGAGGGATGGGGGATGAAGTCAAGAACCTCCCCCGGGGTTCAAATAATTGAATTATTTTAGGAGGACATGGTGACCGTGCCATGGGCGCAGGGTCCCACGTGGAGCCACGAGGGACAAAAGCCACCCCGAAAAGAGCACGAAGGGCTTCAGCGAGGATATTCTGGGGAGAAAAAAACCCCCCACCGAACTGCGATTTAAGTGAAATTTATATATTTTCTGGTGTTGTCCGTGCTTCCGAAACCAGCGTGGACGTGTCGCTGTGCTGCTTGTCAACGGTCCCTTCCGTGTCCGCTTTCGGGGACCGCTTTGCCTTGTCACCGCGGCTCGCGTCTATTTTTTGGGGTTTTTTTTTTGTTTTTTTTTTTTTTTTTGAGTCGCTTTCTTTCCATGAGTAGTAATAAATTAGAGCCTAGCTACCCTGGTGGTTGCTGCAGTCCTTTCCCTTCGTGGGCTAAAAAATTGTCATTCCTCTTCCAGTTGCTTTGGAGGGCTTCAAACCACGTCAAGATCCAGTTTTCCAAGGATATTTTTTCCCTTTTTCCTTTTGGTTGGGTTTCCAGTTGGGTTGCCTCAATTTGAAGCCCGGTTGCAACTCGTCCTGCCGTTAAAAAAGTGCATTTTCCAGTGTGAGATTCCTATGAATCCAGTTAAAATTTATTGGGATGGAGGGAAGTGTTGAGCCTTCACCAGCTGAACCCTTCGGTCGCGGTCACTTGGCCAGCCAAAAGTATGATGGCACCAAAACCACCTTTTTAACCCCAAAAGGCCACCCCATTTGGACCACGGGGGAGGGTTGGCTCCCAGTTTGTCCCTAGGGCTGCTCCAAACATCTGCTGGTGGACCCCCAGGAGAAGAAATGAAATTAACCCCCTCCCTCCCAAAACTCCAAGGGGCACCGTTAAGCACGGCCACATCCCACCCGCCTGCGCGAGCGCCAAGCCAGGATGGCAGCCCACGGGGTGGATCAGCGGGGTCCGTGCTCACGCATGGATGGTCCTCCAAGAAATCCTTCAGAAGGTCCAAAATCCCCCGGGTTGGGCTTAAATAGAGCCCCTGGGCCATGGGCAGGGGGCGGTGGGGGCCCCGAGTGGGGATGGTTGGGGTTCTTAATGACCATTAGTGCTCCCGAATGGTTTTTAGGGTGGCTCTGCAGCACATATCCAAGGGGTGCAACACATCTCCAAGGGGTTCAGCACATCTCCAAGGGGTGCAGCACATCTCCAAGGGGTTCAGGATGTCTCGAAGGAGCTCAGCATGTCTTGAAGGAGTTTGGCACATCTCGAAGGGGTTCAGCTCATCTCCAAGGGGTCCGGGACACCTCCAAAGGGGTTCAGCTCATCTCCAAGGGGTCCGGGACACCTCCAAACAGGCTCAGCATGTCTTGAAGGAGCTCAGCATGTCTTGAAGGGTTCAGCACATCTCCAAGGGGTTCAGGACATCTTCAGAGTGGTTCAGCACATCTTGAAGGGCTTTGGGGTGTCTCTAACGGGGTTCAGCACATCTCCAAGGGGTTCAGCACATCTCCAAGGGGGTTCAGCAGATCTCCAAGGGGTTCAGCAGATCCCTAAGGGGTTCAGCAGATCTCCAAGGGGTTCAGGTTTTGTCCAAAGGTCTCCAACACATCTAAAAGGCGCTCAGCATGTCTTGAAGGGGTTCAGCATCTCTTGAAGGGGTTCAGCACAAGCTCAGCACATCTCCAAAGGGGGTTGAGCACATCTCAAAGGAGTTCCCCACATCTCAAAAGGGCCTCCCAGGAAGCTCCCTGGGGAGATGCAAGCAGCACCCCCGCAGCTCTGCCACGGGGCAGAGACCCCTGGGCACAACCCCATTTTGGGGTCCAACCCAGGGACACCCCCACACCACCCCCCCCAAGCCTGCCTGGACGTGGCTCCGCTGGAGCAGAAGGTTCTGAGGAAACATCTGCGGGGGGAACGGTGCCAGGGGGGGAACAGGGTGGGGTCTTTATTTTTAGGTCGATATTAAATTTCCGTTGTCTTAATTAAATTGCTGCCGGGCTTGGGTGGGAAGAGGTCTGCACAGAATATGTATATATTCCTACTTTTATTTGGGAAAGGTTTTAATTAATAAGTGTCTTAATAAGTGCATAAAAAGAATATGTAGGCATTTTTTTTTAATGCTAGAAATAACAGTTACAAGGTAATTGTGGTGGCCGTGCTATGGGATAATTACAAAAATGGAACAAAATTGAATAAATCTGGTCTTAATCTGGAAAAAAAGGGGATGAAGAGAGGTGTGAGGGACTAGCAGAGAACCATGAGATGCTTCCTCCATAACAGCGCATGAAAGCAGATCCTCAGTGAGCAAAAGGAGATGATTCTTCTTTGAATGACTAGTCTATATATGGAGAAAAACCCTCGTTTTTTTCATTAAGACAAAAGAAGATCTGAAAAATCTGACGGCTGTAAGCAGACGAGCTTCAAAACCTGGCAAGAAAATGGCCATAGAGAGTGGTAAAATGAGAAAGTGGCCGTGTCCCGCGTCCTCGGCGGGAGCGAGAGCCGCAAAGGCATTTCTGGCATGCCAAAGATTTGCCTCCAGCGTCCTCCCAAACCCAAAGGTTCCACAGGGTTTAATCCCAGAAGGGCAAACCCGACCACTCCGCTGAATGCCCAAAATAGCTGGCGAGATAAAGTCGTGCAGGGGGGGAAGAGTTTTACCCGGGAGCAGCTGCAGATGTTGCTCCTGTCTTGGGTTTCTCCACGTGGCACCAACTCGAGCTGGTCCCTTTGTCCCTCACAGCTCTAGAAAGTCAGATACAGCTATGGACTCTCCAGACAACCCCAAATCCATATGAACAGGACATCCGCGTTACTCCTGCAGCATCTCCTCCAGCCTGCCTCATCCAGCAACCTGGAGAAGAGTTTAGATCCATCGAGGGTTTGGCTCCGTCAGGGATTTGGCTTCATCAACGTTTTGGCCCCGTCAATGTTTTGACTCCACCAAGGTTTTGGCTCCATCAACATTTTTGGCTTCATCAATATTTTGGCTCCGTCAATGTTTTGACTCCATCAAGGTTTTGGCTCCACCAAGGTTTTGGTTCCATCAATGTTTTGGCTCCATTGACATCTTTACCCTGTCAACGTTTTGGCTCCGTCAGGGTTTTGGCTCCACCAAGGTTTTGGCTCCATCAACACTGTTACCCTGTCAATGTTTTGGCTCCATCAAGGTTTTGGCTCTGTCAAGGTTTTGGCTCCACCAAGGTTTTGGCTCCATCAACATTTTTGGCTCCATCAGCATTTTGGCTCCGTCAATGTTTTGACTCCATCAAGGTTTTGGCTCTACCAAGTTTTGGCTCCATCAACATTGTTACCCTGTCAATGTTTTGGCTCCGTCAAGGTTTTGGCTCCACCAAGGTTTTGGCTCCATCAACATTTTGGCTCCGTCAACGTTTTAGCTCTATCAAGGTTTCAGCTCCACCAAACCCTCTCTACAAGGAGCTTGGTGTGTCCCCCCACCTTGGGACCTTCCGTGTGCCAAGTGATCTTATGGATAGACACCACCAGTCCTTACAACACACGGGCCACCCCATACAGCTGAGATTCGCCCCCCCGTGAAGGCTGTGGAGACCCTCTCGCCAAGGGAAGGACCGTCCCCTTGCCCCAGGAGAAGACATAGAGCTCTCGCACCCATCGCGCTGTTCCTTCATGCATGTGGGGTGGCCCCCTGCACCCCTGGGATCTGCAGCCACGTCCTCCCAACAGCTCCAAAACTGGGAGATCTCACCCCTTGTGCCTGCCAACGCCACCCAGGACTTGGGGACACCTCACCTTGATGGCCATCACCCAGGGCTTTGAGGACTTGATGGCCCCAAAAGCTTCAACATCCTGACAGACCCACCTGGATGTTATTTCTCCCACCCATCCTGGTGGATCTCCAGGTTTTTTGGTGGAAACAGCACAAGGAATAAATCAGACTTGCCCCATGCGTCTTAGGGTTGAGCACCAGCCCAAAAACCCCACTGAGCTCCTTCTCCCTGCCCAGTTTTGGGGTCATCTGCGGGGTGCTCCTGCCCCATCAAGATGGGAAAGGTGTCACCTGCTTGCCCCGTCCTTGGTGGGAAAGCTGAGGCTCCTCTTCCCACCCCAGACCAGGCTCATGTGTGGACCCGCTGGTGACGGACGAGGGCGGAGCTCTCACCGAAGCTCTTCCCGCAGCTCAGGCAGGTGAAGGGTTTCTCACCAGCGTGGGTCCCCTGGTGCCCTTGGAGATGCGAGAGGCGCCCCAAACCCTTCCCACGCTCCGGGCACCTGTAGGGCTTCTCCTCGGTGTGGATCCATTGGTGGGTGATGAGGTTGGAGCGATCGTTGAAGCTCTTCCCGCACCCGGGGGCAAGCATAGGGCTTCTCACCCTTGTGGGTCCTCTGATGGGAGAGGAGGCAGGAACGGAGGCTGAAGGTCTCCCCACACGCGGCGCAACCATAGGGTCTCTCCCCGGTGTGGATCTGGTGGTGCTTGGTGAGGTCCAGGCTCTGGCTGAAGATCTTCCCACACAGTCGATACAGGTGTAGGGCTTGTCCCCGGCGTGGGTCTTCTGGTGGATCAGGAGGATGGACCTATAGCTGAAGCTCTTCCCACACTCAGGACATCCACGGGGTCTCGCTCCGGTGTGGACCCGCTGGTGGATGAGAAGGTTGAACCTCTGGTTGAAGCTCTTCCCGCAGTCTTGTAGGGTCACTCGTGGGTGTGGGTACAGTGGTGGGCGACGAGGTGGGAGCTGCGCCCGAAGTTCTTCCCACACTCGGGACGCTTGTAGGGCTTCGTGCCGGGGGGTGACCAGGGATGAGCCACAGGAAAAACTTCTCCCACCCTCCCCACAAACATCGGCAGCTCCTGCGATGGGACCCCCATGCCACCCCGCCTTGTCCCCTTCTCCACCCGTTCCCCACAGCCGTGTTGTCCCATCCTGGGTCGTCTTCGGCGCGTCTCCATCCTCTCACCGCCTCCACCCTCCTCACCATCCACGGTCTCGTCACCTGCAAGGACAGACGTGCCGATGCGGGATCCCAGAGTGTCCCACCAAGCCCCCGGCGCGTCCCCAGTGGGTGGAAGTTTGAAGCCAAGACCTGGAGATGATCCACTCCAACCATCGACTTCGACCAAGGTCTTCTTGGCCCACGTCCGTGTCCTTGAGTTTCTCCAAGGGTGGACCAGCTCCAGGAAGCCTCTTCCAACCTTCTTCCATCACGGAATATCTCCAGTTGGAAGGGATTGCCGTCTCCAACCCCTTGCAGGAGGACAGCGCCCCCCAAGTAAGCTTTTTTTTTAAAGGTTTATGCAATATTTCATGGGGTTTTCCCTTGATTTGTGCCCCGATTCCAAAGGAAAAGAGGGGAAAAATAAAAGCTTCAGACTTTCCCACCTTTTTTTGCCATCCCGACTCGGTGGCGCTCAAGGGTTTCTTCTTGGGGAGGTGGGGGGATCCCCCAGACTTTAGGAACCACCTTCACCCCCCTGCTCGACCCACCCCCCCTGCCTCCCCGCCCCGCTTGGTGTTTTTTAACGATCGCACGAAATAATCCCGTAGGAAATTCGGTATTTCCGTGGGAAAGTGGGAAAGACCTCCCCTCCCCCGCTGGTCCAGCGGCCCGGGGATGCTCGGGGGATGCCTGGATGTGTCCCCCCCGGGCCCCCCCCGTCTCCCCCGCTTCCCGGAGCCTGTTGCAGGCCGGGCCGGTGTGGGAGGACACAGGAAAGGGCTGCCCGGGCCCGGAGGAAGCGGAGGGGGAGGTCGGAGCCGGCAGGTACCGGGGGAAGCGCGGGGGCGGCTCCGGGGAAGCTCCGCCCGGTCCCGGAGATGCCCCGGCGGGGCTGGGGGGGGGCTCGGCTGCGCCCCGGGGCTGCTTTTCCCGGTCCCAGGGATGCTCAGCCCGGTCCCGGGGCTGCTTTTCCCGGTTCCAAGGATGCTCAGCCCGGTCCTGGGGATGCTCAGCCCGGTCCCGGGGATGCTCAGCCCGGTCCCAGGGCTGCTTTTCCCGGTCCCAAGGATGCTCAGCCCGGTCCTGGGGATGCTCAGCCCGGTCCTGGGAATGATTTTCCCGGTTCCAAGGATGCTCAGCCCGGTCCCAGGGATGCTCAGCCCGGTCCTGGGAATGTTTTTCCCGGTCCCAGGGATGCTCAGCCCGGTCCTGGGGCTGTTTTTCCCGGTTCCAAGGATGCTCAGCCCGGTCCTGGGGATGCTCAGCCCGGTCCCGGGGATGCTCAGCCCGGTCCCAGGGCTGCTTTTCCCGGTCCCAAGGATGCTCAGCCCGGTCCTGGGGATGCTCAGCCCGGTCCTGGGAATGATTTTCCCGGTTCCAAGGATGCTCAGCCCGGTCCCAGGGATGCTCAGCCCGGTCCTGGGAATGTTTTTTCCCGGTCCCAGGGATGCTCAGCCCGGTCCTGGGGCTGTTTTTCCCGGTTCCAAGGATGCTCAGCCCGGTCCTGGGAATGTTTTTCCCGGTCCCAGGGATGCTCAGCCCGGTCCCGGGGCTGTTTTTCCCGGTTCCAAGGATGCTCAGCCCGGTCCCGGGAATGTTTTTCCCGGTCCCAGGGATGCTCAGCCCGGTCCTGGGGATGCTCAGCCCGGTCCCAGGGATGCTCAGCCCGGTCCCGGGGATGTTTTTCCCGGTTCCAAGGATGCTCAGCCCTGTCCCAGAAATTCCCCACGGGGTACTGAGGGTGCTCAGTTTGGTCCTGGGAATGTTCTACCAGGTCCCCGAGATGCTCAGCCCAGCCCTGGGGCTGCTTTTCCCGGTCCCAGGGATCCTCTACCCGGTCCCGGGGATGCTTTTCCCAGTCCCAGAAATGCTCAGCTGAGTCCTAGGGGTGCTCAGCTCTATTCCAGGGACACTTTTCCCGGTCCCAGGACACTTTTCCCAGTCCCAGGGATGCTCAGCCTGGTCCTGGGTCGCTTTGCCCAGCCTCAGAAATGCCCCACTGGGTACCAGGGCTGCTCAGCTCGCTCCTGGGGATGCTCAACCTGGTCTCAGGGATGCTTTTCCCAGTACCAGGACACTTTTCCCAGCCCCAGAAATGCCCCACTGGGTACCAGGGGTGCTCGGCTCAATCCCTGGGATGCTCCATCAGGTCCTGGGGATGTTCTTCCCAGTCCTTGGAGATTTTTTTTTTTTGGTCCCAGGACACTCTGCCCAGTCCCAGGGATGCTCTGCCCGGTCCTGGGTACCCCACTGGATCCCAGGGCTGCTCCACCCCACTCCAGGGATGCTCAGCTCCGTCCCAGAGCTCCTCCAGACACGACACTGCAGGGGAGCTGAGCCCCTCGCCCCCAATACCAGGCACCATCCCAGTACGGAGCCCCCCCAGTCTCAGCATTTCCCTCCCAGATGACTTTAGGAACTGAACTGGCTCCCAAGCCCTCCCGGGAGGGCGCTTTGCCCTTTGAACCATCCCACACAACTGTATTTATCCCTCCAGGGTCTGAACGGGGACCCCCCCCGGGGAACCTCGCATCCTCCTGCCCATACCCGGATCCCCCGCGGGTCGGTGGATTTTTTGGGACTCGCAGGGACCGACGGAAGCGTTTGCTGCTTTGGGGGCTGGAGGAGGACGGGGTTTCACCAGCCGTGCAGGAGAACCGCGAGGCATCGGCCTCGCCGGGTGAGTGGGTCCATGTCCCCCCTCTCTCACGAAATCTATTAAATTCCCCTTTCCCACGTTGCCCCACTCAAGCATTGGGGATCCCCTGCTGCCTCCCCAAAATCCCTCATCCTTCCCTCCCTTCCCAAACCCCCCCCATTCCTTCCCAACCCCCCATCCTTCCCTCCCTTCCCAAATCCCATTCCTCCCCAACCCCCCATCCCTCCCTGCCTTCCCAAATTCCCCCCAAACCCCCCCATTCCTCCCCAAATCCCCCCAAACCTTCCCTCCCTTCCCCAAATCCCATTCCTTCCCAACCCCCCCATCCTTCCCTCCCTTCCCAAATCCCATCGCCCCCCCCAAATCCCCCCATTCCTTCCCAAATCCCCCTTCCCTCCCTTCCCAAATCCCTTGGCTCCAGCCCAAATCCCCCCCCCCCCCCCCGAATTTCCCGGCGGGCGACGGACACCCCGGCACTGGGCTGAACCCAACCACGTCGAACCATCAGGAAAATCCCCCGGGAACGGATTCGGCTCATCCCCTTCCCCCTGGAAAGGGCTTCGACACCCCCGAGGACCCGATCCCGAGGGAGGAGAGGAGATTTTTCTGCACCGAATGCGGGAAGAGCTTCAGCCAGAGCGCCCACCTCCCCCGCCACCAACGCACCCTCTCCGGAGAACGTCCTTATCCCTGGCTGAAGTGCGGGAAAACTTTTACCTGGAATTCCCACCCGAATTCCCACCAAAAAACCCACGCGGGGGAAAAACCCCATCGTTGTCCCGACTGCCAGAAAGGTTTCAGCCGTTGATCCAACCTCCTCCGTCACCAACGCCTGCATGGGATGGAAATTCCTTACGGGAAAAGCTTGAAGGCTGAGCGTATCCCGCATTCCCGAAGCCACCCCGGTGATATTCCCTGTATTCGTTCTGAATGTGGGAAACGTTTCAGCACGCGCTCCAATCTTTTCCGTCATCAACGCATCCACGCCGGAGAAAAACCCTACAAAGGTCTTGAATGTGGGAAAATCTGGGGCAAAACTCGGGTCTTGCCAGCATCACTGAATCCACACCGGAGAAAAACCCGTTTCCTGCTCGTTTTGTGGGAAATCCTTTACCGAACGATCCCGCTTCATCCGACATCGAGGGCGGCACACGGGGAGAAAAACCCTCCAAGCGTTCGGAGCGTGGGAAAAGCTCCAGCTCCAGCTCGATCCGGCATCGAGGATTCCCCGCGGGGGGAAAAGCCTCGTAACCGTGGGGGGGTGCGGGAAAAGTGTCGGGGTGTGTTCCGTCCTCAGCGTCCTCACACAGGAGGAGGACCCCACGGGTGTCCTTGCGGGAAGAGGTTCGGGCGAAGCATCGACGGATCCACCCGTGTCCCGGCTCCGCTTGCGGGGAGGGAGGGGCTCAGCGGGCGGGCGCCTTCGGTGAAGCGTCGGCGCCGCTCCGTGAGCCACCCCAAAATCTGCCCTCTGGCCCCCAGGAACCTCTCCACCACCCCAGGAGAAAAAAAGGTTGATGACGGAGCTCGGTTTGCGGGGAGAAAGCAAGCGGAGGAGGAGGAATCGCTCCATAGATGCTCTCGAGCAGCAGCATTCCCCCCCCCCAAAAAAAAAGGGGGGTGACCCCCAAAATGCACATGAAGGGGAAAAGAGATTTGTGACTTCAAGGTGTGGTTGGCTCCGTGGTGTCACCCATAGAGGGGGGGGTTTGGGGGGGGGGCGGCAGTGGGAGCCCCAAATCCCTCTGGGGTGACGGATACCTTACCCTGCTGTATTTTAGGGGGGGGCGCAACAGTGGGACACCCCCCCCCCCCAATTTTAGAGCGGGGGGCCCACGATGGGACCCCCACATCCCTTGGGGTGCCACCTGCTTCTGCTCTTCCCAGCCACGATCTCCAGGGCCAAATTTGGGAGGTTCCAGGCCCCCCCCGCCCCCAGCAAAATCCAGGCACTGAACCCCCCCCCCCCTTTTTTTTTCCCCCAACTATTTCCCAAAAAATTCCTATTTTCCCTCCGATCCTTTGAGCTGGCTTGGAAACGCCAGGTAAGACTCAAGGGGAAAAGCAGGAGCAGCACGTTGGACCCCCCCAAAATAGCTTGATGTCACCCCAAAACCCAACCCCCAGTCTGAAGGAAATCCATATTCTTTTTTAAAAAAATGAGAAAACAGGCAAATTAAACCGATGAAAAGCAACCCTTTGGGGAATGAGAAGGGAATTTAGATACTCCAAAAAAAAAAAAGGTGTCATTTTTTCAGTCATGACGAAGGAAAATTTAGGGCACGAAGAGGAATGTCATTACTAATAATAGTGATTTTTTTTATTTATTTATGTTAATAATATTTGGGGCTATTGGTTTGGTTTTTCAAGTTTCAGGGACTCGACCCCGTCCCCGCGATGGATTTTTTTTTTAAAACCTCAGGAAGCACAATTGCCCCTGTAGGAGCCCAACGACCCCGGCCCCAAAGGCGTTACCCCCCACCACCCCCCCCCAAGGCTTCGAGCTGCTCCCCAGATGCCGGAATATCAGGGCTGGGGGGGGCAGGGGGGGTGTTTTTTGGGGTACCCGGGGTGCAACGGAGTGAATAAAACCACGTGGAGTTGCAGGGGGGGGCAGTAAGGCGGGGGGGGGGGGAAGGAAATAAATTTTACTCGCTGGCAAATAACTCCCCAAGCGACCCCCGGGGCAGCCTCCAACCGGCTGCGGTTCTCATCACAGCCCCGGCACGGCCGCAGCGCTCCCCGTACCCCGAAATAGTTGGGGGGCACCCCCCCCACACCCCCCCCCATCAATTCTGTTAGTGCAATTCGGGTTCTGCCTCGCCTTTCGCTGGAAAATAACCTCAAATAACTGCTTGAAATTGAGGGGGGGGGGGGGGGGGGGGCGGTTTGTGGGTGAAAGGAGGGGGGATTGGTAGGGTGTTGTGCCCCCCCCCTACATTTTTTGGGGTGCAGCTCCTCCGTCGAGGAGGGGCCGCGACTGAGCGGCTTCGTTAGCAGCTTCATTAGCAGCCTCGTTAGCAGCCTCGCCCACCCAGCCGCTCGCTGCCAACACCCCCCCCCCACCAAGGGGCAGCTTCCCCCCATATCCCAACATCCCGCATCCCACGGGACACGGCTCCCACTGACCCCCCCCGTCCCCCCCCCCCCGAATTCCAGGGGTGAACCCCAACAACCCCCCTACATTTTGGCCGCCGCCGGCGTCACCTTTCTCAACAAGGAGCTTCCAACCGTCGCCCCCCTTCGCTCCGGCATCCCCGGGAGGGACCGGCGGCACCCACCGCCGTTTTGGGGGGTTCCCCAAGGAGGGGAGAAGCCACAAAATTGGGGGGGCCGGGGGGGGGGGGGGCGGATGGGGGGGGGCTAAAGGCTGATGCTCCGATGATGTTTGAAGTGACCCTGCCCGCCCCGGCGTCGCTCCCGCTCCTCCAGCTCGTCGCTGTTGAGGCTGGTAGCGTCCGACAAACCCAACAAATGCTCGACCGAGTCGAACTTCTGGAGGTCGGAGGCGATGGTTTGCAGGCTGAGCACCGACAACGTGTCGGCTGGGGGGCACTCAGCCCCTAACCGGGTCCCCCCCGTCACCCCCAGCTCGGCGCCGGCGTGCTGAGGGCTGGCCTCGGCTCCCACGGGGGAGGCTCGGCGCACGATGAGGCGCTGGAGCCGCCGCGCGTGGATCTGTTCGCTGATCTGCTCCAGGTTCCGCAGGGCCACCGAATAGCGGGTCTTGGCTCGCGACACCAGCCGCTCCAACGCCGTCACCTTGGCCTTGTGCTCCTGCGGGACACGGCCTCAGCCACCCCGCTCCCAAACCGAGAGGCAGGTCCCACCCGCCTCCTTTTTTCTTCCCCCCCCCCCCCCGCCCCGCCCCGCGCAGCCCCGAAGCTGGTGGAAAGCAGGAGGATTCCGCCCCCCCCCCCCCCCCATCCTGCAAACATCCCACCGCCCCAGCGCTCCCAGTACCTCGAGGATCTGGTTGAACTGGGCTTTCAGCTCGAAATAAGGCTTGCTCTTCACGATGACGCGCTTGAGGGATTTTTGGAGGGCTTGGACCTTGGCCTCGGCTTGCTGACACAGCTGGGTGACGCGCTGGTGCTCCCGCTCGCTCCGCAGCCGCTCTTCCTCCGCTTCGTTGACCTGGAGGCAACCCCCAAAAACCCCTTTGGAAGCTGGGGGGTGTGTGTGTGTGTGTGTGTGTGTGTGTGTGTGTGTCCATCACCCCCAACCGCCTCCTCCCACACCCCATCCCGCCTCCCCCCGGGGTGATGAAGACCCCCCCCCCCACACACACACTCCTCGCAGCCCCGTACTTTGCAGGTGGCGTGGTTGAGCATCTCCTGCCAGGTGGGGTCCAGGCGGTTCTTGTCGGCCATCACGCCCTGCTCCGCCACGAAGACCATCTCGCGGGCGGCGTTGTGCATGCTGACGGCCCGCTCGTAGCGCAGCGCCGCCTTCTGCGTCTCCTGCTGAGCCTGCCGCCGCCAGCGAGGAAGGGGTTACGCTGGGGAAGGGGGGATAAACCAAACCAAAAAAAAAAAAAAAAAAATCACACAAAACACCCCCCCCCCGTCCTTCCACACCCCCTCAGAGGGATGTCAGTACCTCCTTGGCGAGGCGCCGGGCTTCGTAGTAAGGTCGGGCTTTCTCGATGCAGTTGCCCAGCTGGGAGCCCTGGGCGTTGAGCTTGCGGGCCGATTCGGAAAGGATCCGGCGATACGCGGTGCGGGCTTCCTGGGGGGGGTGGGAAGTGCAGGGGTCAGAGCATCCCCGGGGTCTTCCCGTCCCCCCGTCGCACCCACCCAGAGCCCTCGGCAGCGGGTTTTGCCCACCCAACCCTGGCACCGAGCACAAAATCCAGGAGGGACCAGCAGTAAGGCGGCCGGTTAGGGACTGGGGGGGACCAGTTAAGGGCTGGGAATGAGGATGCAGGGACTGGTTAAGGACTGTGGGGCGAGGAGTGGGGGACTAGTTAAGGACTGGGCACCCAGTTAAGGACTGGGAGACAGGTTAAGGACTGAGGGACAAGGAGGGGGGGACCTGGTTAAAGACTGGGAGATCCAATGAAAGACTGGGGGACAAGGAGCAGGGGACCAGTTAGGGACTGGGGGGGACAAGGAGCAGGGGACCAGTTAGGGACTGGGGGGGACAAGGAGCAGGGGACCAGTTAGGGACTGGGGGGGACAAGGAGCAGGGGACCAGTTAGGGACTGGGGGGGACAAGGAGCAGGGGACCAGTTAGGGACTGGGGGGGACAAGGAGCAGGGGACCAGTTAGGGACTGGGGGGGGACAAGGAGCAGGGGACCAGTTAGGGACTGGGGGGGGACAAGGAGCAGGGGACCAGTGAGGGACTGGGGGGGACAAGGAGCAGGGGACCAGTTAGGGACTGGGGGGGACAAGGAGCAGGGGACCAGTTAGGGACTGGGGGGGACAAGGAGCAGGGGACCAGTTAGGGACTGGGGGGGACAAGGAGCAGGGGACCAGTTAGGGACTGGGGGGGACAAGGAGCAGGGGACCAGTTAGGGACTGGGGGGGACAAGGAGCAGGGGACCAGTTAGGGACTGGGGGGGACAAGGAGCAGGGGACCAGTTAGGGACTGGGGGGGACAAGGAGCAGGGGACCAGTTAGGGACTGGGGGGGACAAGGAGCAGGGGACCAGTGAGGGACTGGGGGGGGACAAGGAGCAGGGGACCAGTTAGGGACTGGGGGGGACATGGAGCAGGGGACGAGTTAAGGACTGGGGGGGACAAGGAGCAGGGGACGAGTTAAGGACTGGGGGGGACAAGGAGCAGGGGACCAGTGAGGGACTGGGGGGGACAAGGAGCAGGGGACCAGTTAGGGACTGGGGGGGACAAGGAGCAGGGGACGAGTTAAGGACTGGGGGGGACAAGGAGCAGGGGACGAGTTAAGGACTGGGGGGGACAAGGAGCAGGGGACGAGTTAAGGACTGGGGGGGACAAGGAGCAGGGGACCAGTGAGGGACTGGGGGGGACAAGGAGCAGGGGACGAGTTAAGGACTGGGGGGGACAAGGAGCAGGGGACGAGTGAGGGACTGGGGGGGGACAAGGAGCAGGGCACCAGTGAGGGACTGGGGGGGACAAGGAGCAGGGCACCAGTGAGGGACTGGGGGGGACAAGGAGCAGGGGACCAGTGAGGGACTGGGGGGGACAAGGAGCAGGGGACCAGTGAGGGACTGGGGGGGACAAGGAGCAGGGGACCAGTGAGGGACTGGGGGGGGACAAGGAGCAGGGGACCAGTTAGGGACTGGGGGGGACAAGGAGCAGGGGACCAGTTAAGGACTGGGGGGGACAAGGAGCAGGGGACCAGTGAGGGACTGGGGGGGACAAGGAGCAGGGGACCAGTGAGGGACTGGGGGGGACAAGGAGCAGGGGACCAGTGAGGGACTGGGGGGGACAAGGAGCAGGGGACGAGTTAAGGACTGGGGGGGACAAGGAGCAGGGGACCAGTGAGGGACTGGGGGGGACAAGGAGCAGGGGACCAGTGAGGGACTGGGGGGGACAAGGAGCAGGGGACCAGTGAGGGACTGGGGGGGACAAGGAGCAGGGGACCAGTTAGGGACTGGGGGGGACAAGGAGCAGGGGACCAGTTAGGGACTGGGGGGGACAAGGAGCAGGGGACCAGTTAAGGGCTGGGGGACCTGGTTAAGGATTGGGGGACAGGTTAAGAACTGAGATACCAGGAGTGGGGGACCAGTTAAAGACTGGGAGACTGGACAAGGAGTAGGGGACCAGTTAGGGATTCAGGGACCCAGTTAAGGTCTGGGGACCCAGTTAAGGACTCGGGGACCATTTAGGGACTGGGGGAGCAGCTCACGTCCAGCTGGAGCTCCACCCGGTTGATCTCCTCATTGGCTTGGTTGAGGTGCTCCAGCTCCTCCTGGGGAAGGGAGAAGCCAAATGTGGGGTGAGGGAAGAGAAATGACACCCCCAAATTTACTATGTGTGTGTGTGTGTCCCTCAAAAAAAAAAAACAAGGGGGAACTGGGAAAAAGACCCCACCCACCCCTCACCTGTATCCTGGGATCCAGCTCTTCCTCCTCCTCCTCCTCCTCCTCTCCTACCACTTTTGGGGACGTCCTGGGCTCCTCACCCTCGCATGCCCCCCCTGAAACGGGCGCCCCTGCCTCAGCCTCGTCCCCCCCCGGGGAGACCCCCAGCTGCCCGGGGGGTGTCTGACGTCCGTCCCCTCCGTTTGTCCCCCAAACCAGCCTCTCCTCCGCGTCCCCCATGGCGGGATTCCCCCCAGTCCGGGTGACGTCGGGGTCCGCTCTGCTTCAGGGGGGGGCCAGCATCTTAGCGGGGGGGCCATCCAGCGCCGGCCCACCCCGCACAGAGCAAGGGGTCCTATTTCATTTCGGGGGAGAGCCAGGCGGGGGGGGGGGGGAGGTGGAGGGAAAAAGGGGGGTGCCCCCCCACCCCCACAGCAGAGACACCCCCCCCCCTCTTGGGGACGAGGAGTCGGGATCTAGTTCAGCCAAAACAGTTTGGGGGGGAGGGGGGGGGGGGAGGGGGCAGGGGACGACGACCTGAAAAATCAATTGGGAAAAGTTTATCCCCCTCCTGCACCCCACGGGGTGCCCCCCCCCCCCAATATCCCCCCCCCACTCTAATGAGCCCTATACCTTTCCAATGCCCCCTCATCTTCTACCCCCTCAAAATTCCCCCTACCACAACGCTGCCCCCACAGACTCCCAATGCCTTCCCCCCCCACATCCCTTCCCCCCAACTCCCTCTATATCCAGCCAATGCCCCCCCCACATCCCTCCAGCGGCCCCCCACCACTGCACTACCCTCATAGCCCCCCCCCAACGCCCCCCCCACATCCCTCCAACACCCTTCATCCCTCTAATCCCCCCACACCCCTTCAACGTCCCCCCCCGGCACTGTCCCTCCCATATCCCATATCCCCCGTCCCCCTCCCCCACGGCACCCCCCAGTCTAACCCCCCCCCCCCCCCCCCCCCCCCCAAAGCCCCCCCAAACCCCTTTGCCCCTCTTCCCCCCCCCCCGCCGCGGCCTGTGTTTACCTCCCGCTCCGCCACAGCGGCTCCACGTCCCACCCTCCCTTGCGTGCACCGGAACCGGAAGCGCTTCTCTCCCGCCTCATCCTCCTCCTGCCGTACGCCATGGCGGCCCTCACGGCCCCGCGGCCGCCCGCCGTCTCCACGCCCCGCCCGGTCCCCGGTAGCCTCCAACCGGGCGCGGAAGTGCTTACCGATGAACAACAAGCCGCGCTGTCCCGTTTGGCCCCGCTCCTCCTCATAGACGAGGTGGAGAAAGGGCAGCGGTGGCGGCCGGGGTGGGCGCCGCCATCTTGTTTTACGGTGCCGCCGCCGCGCCTCAAGATGGCGGCTGCCGCCTTTAAACCCCCTTAAATCGGTTCGACCCCGTTTACAAAGTTCCCCCGTGGAAATTCAGGTCTCGAGTGGGGTTTGGAGGGTGCTCGGGTGGGGAGGATGGGCCTCAGGCCCAAGGGCTGCGGGGAAAGAGCGGCGTTGGGGCTGGTAGAGGCCGAACTGAGCCTGTAGACATATATGGGCACGTATAGATCCCTATAGACGCATATGGATGTGTATACACACGGGTCTACACACGTGCGCGCTTTGGGCCGCGCATACAGGCGCACACATGTGCACACACCCCTACAGACACACAAACATATGTGCATACCCACATGTAGACGTGCATCCCCCTCAGGACATGAATATAGGGGCATACCGCACGTATATAGGCCTTTATACAGCCGCCTGTACACACATTTCTGCGCATACGTATACATGTATGCACACATATGCACATGCATCTACGCACATGCACATATACACACAGGTATATGTATATACACCTATATACATACCCCTATGGGCATGTATGCGCACATATAGAGACACATATATGTACAAATATACACACCCATACACACATACATAAATACATGTATGCACACACCCATACACGTGTATACGTATATAAATGAACACATATACACACCCATGGGCGCTTATACATAATGCACACACACACGCACACCCCCATACGTATGTATGCACTTACAGATATGCACACGTATATGCAGATGTATGCACACCCATGTATGTGCACATACATACATATATACTTACCTGGACACACATATACACATATACTCACACCCATGCAAGCATATAGTCACATATATGTACACACACACAGAGGCACACGCGTATGCACACATGTGCAGACGGACATGCACGTGCATATGCATTCACCTGTGCACATATATTCGCTCCGGTATACACGTTACACACACATACACGTGCACGCGTGTATGCACACTCACCTATGCACACGTATACACATATGCTCACACCCAGAGAAGCATACATACACATATGTACACACATATGTGCACATATGCACGTACATCGAGCCTCACCTATACAATCATACACGCGCACACACATACAGATGTCGATATACTCCCCTGCACACATGTACACGTGTGTATTCCCCCTCCATACACATGTATACACCCCCCGTGCACCCCTATATGTACCCACACCCACGCACACACACACCCCCCGCCTTAGCACACGCCTATAGGCGCGCACACGCGTGTACACACACCCTCGTGTACCTCCCCGCCCCCGGGGCACCCACACCTCCCTCCCCGGGAGGGACCCCCCACCCCGGGACACGTCCCCACCCCCCCGCGGAGGGACACGCCCCTCCCCACGCCCCCCCGCGACCGTGTCGGCTCGGTCGGTCGCTAGAGGGCCCCGAGTCGCCGATAATCCCCGCCCCCCCCCCCCCTCCACACCCCCCTCCCCTCGCCCCACTCGCGATCGCGCTTCAGCTTCCTGGGCCGGCTCCGCTCCGCCGGACACCCCCGCAGCCAGGACCCCCCCCCCCCACGCGTGACCGGGGTGCACGGCGTGGGAGAAAGCATCGCCTCCCCCCTCAGCCCCTCAAACTGTAGGTATGGGGGGGGGGGGGGTGATGGGGGGGGGTCCCCCCTTAATCCCAGTAACACCCGCCACCAATGGGGTGCGAGCACCCCAAGTCGGAGGGGGGGGGGGGGGAATGGGTGCGGGGCAGACACCACACACCCCCATCCCCCCCCAAATCATGCCGGGGGTGGGTGGGTGCAATGGGGGACCCCAAAATCATCCCGGGGGGGGGGCTGGGGGGGGGGAAATGACACCCCCAAATCATCCTCAGAGTGGGTGGGTGCGATGGGGGACCCCAAAATCATCCCAGGGGTGGGGAGGGTACGGGGGACCTCTCTTAACTTGTCCCAGGGGACCCCAACTCTTCCCGGGGGAGGGGGGGGGGGGGCTGCTGTAGGGCACCCCCAAATCCTCCTGGAGGTCGAGGGCTGCGATGGGGGACCCCAACTCACCCCAGGGTGGGGCTGAGACCCCCGGCAACCCCCTAATCACCCCCAGCCCCACCCGGTGACCCCCACCTGTTTGTTTTGGGGTGCCAGGGCAGCTCCTAAACTGGGGTAAGGATGATGGGGGGGGGGGGAGGGGGGGTCCAACACCATGTGTACCCTCCTCCCCCCCCTTTCACCTTGCACCCCATTTTCTCCCACAGCAGGTTTGATGTGACCCCCCCCCCTCCCCCTCCACAGATGGAGCCAGAAAGGGCCCCCCAAAACCAGGACACGGAGGAGGGGGGTGACCCCCACGCAGGTGAGTTTGGGGGGGGGGGGGGAAGGCCTGTGGGGTGCCATGTCTTGTTGTGTCGTGTGTCGTCCCCCCCCCCCCCATATCACCCCACTGCGGCTTCTTTTCCAGACACGGGGGATCCACCACCGCCCCCCGCAACGGGAAGCCAAGCGGGGGATTTGGGGGTGCCCCCACCCCACGGCCGCCCCTACGGATGCCGCGAGTGCGGGAAAGGTTTCGGTAGCAGTTCGGCCTTATTAACCCATCGGCGGGTCCACACGGGCCAAAAACCTTACAAACGCCCCGAATGCGGCGATCGGTTCAGCCAAAACTCCGCCTTGGCGGCTCATCGGCGGGTCCACAGGGGCCAAAAACCCTACAGGCGCCCCGAAGGCGGGAGGGATTTCGGTCACGCTTCGACGCCGGTTAAACATCGCCGGATCCACACGGGGGAAAAACCCGACGTCTGCGAAGAATGCGGGAAGAGGTTCAGCATCCCAGCGACCCGTATCCGACGGCGGAAAACCCAGGCGGGCGAGCGGCCCCACCGGTGTCCCCGCTGCGGGAAGGGCTTCGCGGAGAGCTCCAGCCTGGCGACCCATCAGCGCATCCACAGGGGCCAGCGGCCCTACAGCTGCCCCCGCTGCGGGAAGGGCTTTTACCGGAGCTCGGATCTCACCCGGCACCGCCGGGCCCCCGCCGGGCAGCGCCTAAAATGATGGGGGACACACACACACACACGCACACAGGCGAGGTGGCCCCGTCTTCCGAGCCCCGTGCCACCAGCGACGCGTCCCCCGGCTCCTCGTGGCTCGTGAAACGGCGTCAGCTCAGGAACCGCTTCGCTTCCGTTCCAATTGAGTACATTTAATTTTTATTTTTTTTTTTCCCCAAGCATCTTTACCATAATAAGGTAAAAATAAGGTTTTACCAAAATAAGGTAAAACTAAGGTTTTACCAAAATAATAAGGTAAAAATAATGTTTTACCAAAATAACGTAAAACGAAGGTTTTACCAAAATAATAAGGTAAAAATAATGTTTTACCAAAATAAGGTAAAACTAAGGTTTTACCAAGATAAGGTAAAAATAATGTTTTACCAAAATAAGGTAAAAATAATGTTTTGCCAAGATAAGGTAAAAATAATGTTTTACCAAAATAAGGTAAAAATAATGTTTTACCAAAATAAGGTAAAACTAATGTTTTACCAAAATAAGGTAAAAATAATGTTTTTTTACCAAAATAAGGTAAAACTAAGGCTTTACCAAAATAAGGTAAAACTAAGGCTTTACCAAAATAAGGTAAAAATAAGGTTTTACCAAGATAAGGTAAAAATAATATTTTACCAAAATAAGGTAAAAATAATGTTTTACCAAAATAAGGTAAAACTAAGGTTTTACCAAGATAAGGTAAAAATAATGTTTTACCAAGATAAGGTAAAAATAATGTTTTACCAAAATAAGGTAAAACTAAGGCTTTACCAAAATAAGGTAAAAATAATGTAGTTTTACCAAAATAAGGTAAAACTAAGGTTTTACCAAGATAAGGTAAAAATAATGTTTTACCAAAATAAGGTAAAACTAAGGTTTTACCAAGATAAGGTAAAAATAATGTTTTACCAAAATAAGGTTAAAAAAAAGTATTTTAGCATAGTGAAACCCCCCTCAAGGGACGTGGCAGGACGGGACCCTGGCTATTGGGGGGGGGGGGGGGAACCTCCCCACGGAGCGTTTTAGGGTGACTTTGCCGAGGGGATTTGCAACCTGTGCTGATGAAACGGGGCTACAAGGTGGAATTGAGGCATTTTGAGGCGAAACGCCCCTTCCTCCTCTAGGATGCTGGTTTTAGGGAGATTTAGACCCCAAAATCCGTCTCTGCTCTTCCCTTCACGGTGTCAACGTCCTCTCGTGGTGGCTGGAAAAATGGGGGAGGGGGGGGGGGGGGGAAGGAGCAACCTGAGGTTTGAAAATATTTGGGGGTTATTTTATATTAATAAAATATTCAATAAAATGATATCAAGGGGAGATGGACCTTCTCAGCTTTCGGGGTGCAAAGTGACAGCGAAACCTTTGGCTGCTGGGAAGTTGGGGCCCCCCCCCCCCCCCTAAGATATCCCCCCCCGGGGTGCAGCAATGTTCCCTGCCCCGAGTGGGTGCTGAGGTGGGGGGGTTACCCCCCCTTTTTTGGTGGGGTGGGCTTCAGAGCCCTCCTCCCCCTCAAACAAAACCCCAATCTCCCCTCTCCCCCCCCCCCCCCCAATTTGGGGTGCAGGGCTTCTTGGGGACCCCACTCCAGCCCCCCAAACTCGTCTTCCCCCCTTCTCCCCCGCCCCCCCCCCCCCCCCGTGGCGACATGCGTGGGAGCCCCGGGCTGGGCTGCATGGGGGGGGACACACACACATCCCCCATGACCCCCCCCTGGGGACCCCCCCAGAGTGGAGCCAGGCTGCAGTGCGAGGGGGGGGGACACCCCCACAAGCCCCAAGTGGGGACCCCCCACCCACAACCCCCCCAGCAGGGGGAACCCCAGCACCCTCCTGGTGATGCCCCATGGTGGATAAAGTCCACCCCAACCCCCCCCCCCCACCCCCCCAGGATCCTCCTTGTCACCCCATCGATTTTTTTTCCCCAGAAATCCCCTTTTTTAGGGGAAATCCTAAAACCCAAACTCCCGGGGAAAGCGGGGTGGTGGTTTTTTGGGGGGGGGGTTGTCCCCTTTCGGGTTGTCCCCGGGGAGGGGACAACCGCGGAGGAGGCGGCACCCCTGGTCCCGGTGCCACCAGCCTGCGGTGGGGACACCGTGACGAGGAACGAGGACACCGTGGTCCCTCTGGGTTAAGAGTCCCCAAGGGTTGGGGACAAGGTGAGGCCTCGGGCGGGTGGCCGAGACGTGGCTTTGGTGGGGACCAACATCTGGGGACGCGTGGTGGTGGCGGTGCTTTGTGTCCCTCAGCGGGGCTCTTGTGCTGTGGCGTGTCCTCAGACCTCCTGCCGTCATGTCCCCACCCCTCCGCCACCGTGTCCCCAAACCTTCTCCCACCATGTCTCCAGCCCTCGTGCCATGGTGTCCCCAAACCTTCTCCCACCATGTCCCCAACCCTTTTCCCACCTTGAATCCGTACTTTCTCCCACCATGTCCCCAGCCCTTGTGCCATGGTGTCCCCAAACCTTCTCCCACCATGTCCCCAACACTTTTCCCACCTTGAATCCGTACTTTCTCCCACCATGCCCCCACCCCTTGTGCCATGGTGTCCCCAAACCTTCTCCCACCATGCCCCCATCCCTTGTGCCATGGTGTCCCCAAACCTTCTCCCACCATGTCCCCACCCCTTGTGCCATGGTGTCCCCAAACCTTCTCCCACCATGCCCCCATCCCTTGTGCCATGGTGTCCCCAAACCTTCTCCCACCATGTCCCCACCCCTTGTGCCATGGTGTCCCCAAACCTTCTCCCACCATGTCCCCAGCCCTTGTGCCATGGTGTCCCCAAACCTTCTCCCACCATGCCCCCACCCCTTGTGCCATGGTGTCCCCAAACCTTCTCCCACCATGTCCCCACCCCTTGTGCCATGGTGTCCCCAAATCTTCTCCCACCATGTCCCCAGCCCTTGTGCCATGGTGTCCCCAAACCTTCTCCCACCATGCCCCCATCCCTTGTGCCATGGTGTCCCCAAACCTTCTCCCACCATGTCCCCATCCCTTGTGCCATGGTGTCCCCAAACCTTCTCCCACCATGTCCCCACCCCTTGTGCCATGGTGTCCCCAAACCTTCTCCCACCATGTCCCCATCCCTTGTGCCATGGTGTCCCCAAACCTTCTCCCACCATGTCCCCAGCCCTTGTGCCATGGTGTCCCCAAACCTTCTCCCACCATGTCCCCAACCCTTTTCCCATCTTGAATCCGTACTTTCTCCCACCATGTCCCCATCCCTTCTCCCACCATGACCCCCAACCTTGCCTGACCATGACTCCATCCCTTCTCCCACCGTGTCCCCAAGCCTTCTCCCACCGTGTCCCCATCCCTTCTCCCACCTTGAATCCATCCTTTCTGTCCCCCATCCCTTCTGCCATGGTGTCTCCATTCCTTCTACCACTGTGTCCCCAACCCTTCTCCCACCATGACCCCAAACCTCGGGGGTGGAGACCCTGGAGCTGGGTTCGGGCTCTCCGTCCCTCTCCATTTCCCTTGCACAAGGATGAAGGTTCAAACCAAACCCCGGATGAGGTTTAGCTGGCACCGCTGGTTAAGTCGTAGGGTTGCAGCATCCTTCCGAAACGTGGCCACCACAAGCCCACGTGTCCTCCTCACCCTCCACCCATCCATGGAGTTGTCCCACCACTCCCATCCATCCCAACACCATTGGGAAAATTCAACCCTAGAGATGGCCAAGCCACAGCTTGGATGAAAACGAGGTGGTTTGGGTTCAACGAGGCCATACCAAGGAGGTGAGTGGAGGACAAGTTCGCTGCAGTGGAGTTCTTGTTTATTTTTGGCAGCACGAAGGCAGCAAGAGCAGAATGTGGAGTTGGGCTGTGCCCATCTCCATCCCTAAGATGTTGCAGGAGCCTCTTCTGAAGCCCTTTGGACAACTCAAGAGTTTATTCATCCAAGACAAACTGTAGAGGGGCAGGACAGAGGTTGCACGATGCCACCAAATAACATCCCATGGAAAAAAAAAAAAACCAACCCCAAACCTGTAAAAGAGGAAGAACTCAGCCTTGTGTATCCCAACAGGGTTGTGGGACTGCTTCCACCCCATTTCTTCCTTCCTGAAGAAGCCGAGTCCCAAGTGGTGTCTTCAAAACTCGGTCTGTGCCCAACGCCATCCACCATTTGGCTGTGGAAGAAGCCCGTGGTCCATATGGTGTTGCTTGATGCCACCAGAAGAAATTACTGGATCAAGCGGATGTGACTTCTTGGAGTCTAAACCCAAAGAGTCCACTCGTCCTAACCGGCCTGCGTCCCACAGCTGAGCCCATCTCAGCAAATGGACACTCCCACCTCCATTCAGGTCCCTCTGGGGAAGCAGGCAGATGTGGGGCCCACCAGACAGGTCTCTACCCAACGTGGGTCACCAGGTCTCTACCCAACGTGGGTCACCAGGTCTCTACCCAACGTGGGTCCTCCGATGGGTAATGAAGTTGGAACAGCGGATAAAGCTCTTCCCGCAGTCAGGACACTCATAGGGCTTCCCTTCCCGGTGGGTCCTTTGGTGTTTAATCAAGGCAGAACTCACGGTGAAGCTCCTCCCGCACTCGGGGCACTCGTAGGGCTTCTCCCCAGTGTGGATGCGTTGGTGGGTCATCAGGTTGGAGCTGCGGTTGAAGCTCTTCCCGCAGTCGGGGCAGCGATAGGGTCTCTCACCCGTGTGTGTCCGCTGGTGCCTGATGAGATCTGAGCTGTTCCTAAACCACTTCCCACAGTCAACGCATCTGTAGGGCTTCTCCCCGGTGTGGACACGCTGGTGGATGATGAGGCTGGAGCTCTGGCTGAACGTCTTCTCGCACTCCCCGCACTTATAGGGCCTCTCCCCGGTGTGGATCTTCTGGTGGCGGATCAGGTAGGAGCTGACGCTGAAGCTCTTCCCACACTCGGGGCACTTGTAGGGTCTTTCCCCGGTGTGGGTGCGCTGGTGGGACGTGAGGTTGGAGCTCTGGTTGAAGCCCTTCCCGCAGTCGGGGCACTTGTAGGGCTTCTCGCCGGTGTGCAAGCGCTGGTGGGTGATGAGGGTGGAGCTGTCGCTGAAGCTCTTCCCGCACTCGGGGCACTTGTAGGGCTTCTCGCCGGTGTGCAGACGTTGATGGGTGATGAGATGGGAGCTCCGGCTGAAGCTCTTCCCGCACTCCAAGCACTTGTAGGGCTTCTCACCGGCGTGCAACCGCTGGTGGACCGCCAGGTTCGAGCTCCGGCTGAAGCTCCGGCCACATTCCTCACAGATGGTTGGTCTTTCCTCCTCTGAGCCTCGTGGGGTGGGTTTGCAACCTCTCCCCGTGGAGCATCTTCTTGGCTTCTCCTCCCCGTTGACCTCCTGCTCCATGGAGCCCTTCAAAACAGTCTCTTCCGCAAGGTTTTGCCGGCGGGGCTCCTCCTCCATGTCCTCCGTCCCCGTCTCACCGCCTGCCAGAGGATGGAACAAGGAGAGGAAGAGGATTTGCATCCGCAGCAGAGGGAAGAGGAAGGAGATCCTCTCCAATCCGCCTCCGGGAGTGTCAGCAACGCGGCTGTCCTACAGCCAGAAGCGATGCTCGGCTGGAGGATGGGGGAGAAGGGAGGATGAGAGGTCAAGCAAGTTCCTCCTCACCTGCCTGGGCATCTCGTAGCATCTCCTCTTCCGTGCAGCCTCTTCCTCTCAATCTGCCTGAGGTTTGGGAATGGGAAATCCTGGGTTTTGGGAAAAAAACCAAAAAAAACAAAAAACCAAGCTGTGAGCATGCTCCTCACTTTGGGTTGTGGGTTGCTCCTGCCCAAGTCCACCCCTACGGGGATGTCAGCGGGCAGGACACCACCACTGGGTTGTGTCCCTAAGCCCCCCAAGATACGGCCCATCAAACCCTCCACGACACCAAGATGTGGGGCCAAAGTCCTAAATACAAAGATCCGTCCTCAAAATGAAGGTGGAAGAGAAGCAAGGAGCTTGTCCTGCTTGGGAAATGTGGTGCTGGGCAGAGAGGACCCGGCGTCATGGCCCTGCAAGCGCAGTCCTACAGGGGCTGGAGAGGGGACAAGGGCAAGGGCAAGGTGGGCAACGACCCTGGCAGGGGCTCAGCCCCAAAATCACTTGCTCTCAGCCCAAAACCACCCCTCTCCGAGCTCCCGGGAGCCCCCCAGCTCTGGGATTGCCCCTCCTGAGGGTCCCAGGGGTCCCCCAGCTCTGGGATCGCTGGTCCCAGGGGTCCCCCAGCTCCGGGATCAGCCCTCTCCAGGCTGTTGGGGGGTCCCGGGGGTCCCCCAGCTCCGGGATCACCCCCTTCTGGGCTACCCGGGGGTTCTGGGGTCCCCCAGCTCTGGGACAGCTGGTCCCGGGGGTCCCCCAGCTCCGGGATCACCCCCCTCCAGGCTGTTAGGGGGTCCCGGGGGTCCCCCAGCTCCGGGATCACCCCCTTCTGGGCTACCCGGGGGTTCTGGGGTCCCCCAGCTCTGGGATAGCTGGTCCTGGGGGTCCCTAAGCTGTGGGATCGCCCCTCTCCAGGCTGCAGGGGGGTCCCAGGGGTCCCCCAGCTCCAGGATCGCTGGTCCCAAGGGTCCCCAAGTTCTGGGATCACCCCTCTCCAGGCTCCCAGGGGTCCCCCAACTCTGGGATCGCTGGTCTCAGGGGTCCCCCCAGCTCCGGGACAGCTGGTGTTGGGGGTCCCTAAGCTGTGGGATCGCCCCTCTCCAGGCTGCCGGGGGGTCCTGGGGGTCCCCCCAGTTCCAAGAACACCCCGCAGGTGGTCCCGGGGGTCCCTCAGCTCCAGGATCGCTGGTCCCAGGGATCCCCAAGTTCTGGGATCACCCCTTTCCGGGCTCCCGGGGGTCCCCCAGCTCCGGCACCCCCCCTCTCCAGGCTGCCGGGGGGTCCCGGGGGTCCCCCAGCTCCGGGCTCCCCCCTCTCCGGGCTCCCCACTTCGGGTTCCCGGGGATCCCAGCGGTGTCGCCCCCCCCCCCCCCCCCCCCTCCGGGCTCTCCGCTCCGTGTTCCCGGGGGTCCCCCCCGCCCGGGTCTCCTGGGGGGGGTCCGGTCCCGTGTGTGTGTGTGTCCCCCGGTACCGGCCGTTCGCTGCGGGGCTGCGGGTTGGCAATGGAGGCGGCGGCGGTGCCTGACCCAGGAAGGCCAACCCCCCAACGGGGGGGGCACCCGCACCCCCCCCCCCATCCCCATCCCCATCCCCACCGGCCGGGGCCCTCTGCCGGCAGCCGCCACCGGCTGACACCCCCCCCAAAAAAAAACCCTGCACCTCCCAGGGACACCCCCCCCCCATATCCCCCCCCCAAGGGGTATTTGCGGCTCAGCTCTGGAGTCCTGAAAGCTCCAAATATCCCACCCACCCACCCCCCAAAAAAAAAAAAAACCACAAAACAAACCACACCTCCCAGGGACCCCCCAAGCGATATTTGCAGCTCAGCTCTGGAGTCCTGCAAGCTCCACCCCGCCTCCCCCCCCCCCCCCCCAAAAAAAAAACCTCCCAGGGACACCCCCCCACTCCCCCCAAGAGATATTTGCAGCTCAGCTCTGGAGTCCTGCAAGCTCCAAACATGCCCCCACTCCCCAAAAAATACCCCCAAGGGATATTTCTGGCTCAGCTCTGGAGTCCTGCGAGCTCCAAATATTCCCCCACCCCCCCTCAAAAAAAAAACCCAAAACAAACCCACACCTCCCAGGAACACACCCCCCCCCCGCCCCCCCCCCCCCCAAGATCCCCGAAGGGATATTTGTGCTCAGCTCTGGAGCCCTGCGAGTTCCAAACATCCCCCCCTCCAAAAAAAACCTCCCAGGGATCCCCCCACCCCCCCCAAGGGGTATTTGCAGCTCAGCTCTGGAGTCCTGCAAGCTCCAAACATGCCCCCACCCCCCCAAAAAATACCCCCAAGGGATATTTCTGGCTCAGCTCTGGAGTCCTGCGAGCTCCAAATATCCGCCCCCCCCTCAAAAAAATACCTCCCAGGGACCCCCTCAGGTTCCCACCAAGGGATAGTAGTGGCTCAATTCCACAGTCCTGCAAGCTCCAAACACCCCCCCCCCGGTCCCCCACCCCCCCACCCCCCCCAAAAAACCACCTCAAACCTCTCAGGGAACCCCCCCGAGGGATATTTGTGGCTCAGCTCTGAGGTCCTGCAAGCTCCAAATATCCCCCTCCCCAAAATAAAACCTCCCAGGGACCCCCCCAAAGCCCCCTAACTAGCTCCAAACATCCCCTCCTCCCTAGTCCTGAAGCACCTCCTCACCCCTAGAGCCCCCAAAATTGGGGGTTTTAACTTAATTTCATACTTTCCATGAATAGTGGCTGCATTATATTACTCACCTCCTCGCTTTACTCCCAAACTCTCTTAGAATAACAGAACTGAAAATTAATTTTATTAAAGAATTTGGCTATTTTTTTTTTTTTCCCCCCAAATTCCTGAGAACTGACCGCTCGTCGCAGCAGTGAGAAACTCAGCCTCCCCCCTGGGCTGGGCACAAAGTGCTCCCTGGCCTTTGGGACCCCTCCTGTCCCCCCCCATCCCCAAATCCCTCCTGTGCCACATCCTAATCCCACTTCCCTGTCCCTGCGCCCCCTAAAATTACTCATTAATGACCCACAGCAATTAAAAAACTCTCTAGGAAGACACCCGACCAACAGCTGTAGGAATAAACCATTTATTTCAGAACGAGCGTGCAAAGAACAGTACAATTTTCCAGATGGAAACAACAGAATATCGAATAATTCACTAACAGTGGGCTAAAATTAATTAGAACATATATATGTGTATGATAACTAAGGGGCTTGGAGCATTTCAAAATTCCCTGATCCTTTTAGTGTTGAGCAGTGCAAGCATCACCTGGACTAATAACCGACCACAGCGGTGGGAGATCATCCTAAACTGGATTCCCACCACCGATGTTTGACTTTTTTTTTTGAACATAGCGTGGAATTTGTCTGCTGCTTTCGGTATCAGGGCGGCAGTTACCAAAGATTAAGGTGTATTCAAGTTTAAATTGTATTAAAGTTTGTTGTGCCTGGTCCTTTGCCTGTTGCAAGAGCTGATTTCAGCATTTATGCTGAAAAAAAAAAAAAAAAAAAAAAATGTTCAATTGGAGATAACTTTGCACCGAGAGGGGGAGGGATGATGTGGCGGTAGAAGGCAGAGTTAGTTGATGGTACTGGATGAGTAGTAATTCAAGGCGTAATTTGTAGTTAAAATCGCATCCAATTTGGGTGGCAAAGATACAAGTAGGTAGATTGGCACTTGGAGTGTGGCTGTAAAGAGTCGACAGAGAGAAAATAACACAAAGCTCGCAAACAGGAACAGCCGTTCCCGGCGTCGATGAGCATCTCCACGGTGGGTTCGCGGGGGCGTGATGGGAAATGACTCCCCCCCAAGGGAACGAAGGCACAGATTAGGGGCTCACACGGGATTCCCTCCAGCCCCGGGCCCCACTCCCGGCTCTGGGACACAACCTTTAGCGTGTGCCGCTGTCCAGCCTCTCGTTCCTTGCCAGGGCTGGTGTCCACGAGAGGGACCGCGGACCTGTCTTGGGGTAGACCCAAAGAGGCGAGGGGGTAGGTTTGTTGGGAAGCAGCCCCTCGCGCCGTCAAGCTGCGTCCACGTTTCCATCACAAGTCAAGTCTCCCAAGTGCCACCAGGCTTGCAGGTGACATTCAGTGGCATCACCCCAGGCAAGCTCACGAATTCCGGCGCGTAGACCTCTGGTGTCGCCTTCTCTTCGGGCCTCAGCCTGAACCAACTGTGGGGTCTGATGGCAACTCAGAGCCAAGGAAACATTCCCTTAGGTTATCCCCAAGGCATTTAATAATAATAATGTGGCCGTTGTTAATTGGATGTTCTCATTAGGGGACGGCATTTGGGGTCAACCACAGTCCCGTTCCCAACTTCAGTAACGATGATTGTAAGGGAATACGAAGATTTCACAGGGAGGTAGTCACTGTGTCTAGCTTATTGACCAGGATTTCGGCATCCATACCACCAAGCACTCCCACGCCTGTCCCCAAAAAGGGGGGGTTCCTGCAGGGAAATGAGCTGAGCTGCGGTGGGACATTGCCACAGAGCCAAGCTAGCCATCCTTCGTTAACGGTAAATGAGGAGGTGGGTCCAGTCTGGATGTATTTGTCAATACTGCTCATTCCACCCATCTTAAGGGCCAGTTGGGATCCAAAAGTAGTCGCTGAGTATGATTTTTTTTTTTTCCCGAATCGCACAGGGACCTACTTCAGTAAAAATGGGGGATGAAGTCAAGGGTGAGTTGAGGAGGATGGTCGGAGGGCTGGTTGGGATGAGTTTGAGACAGGCTTGGGGGGGAATAATACTAAATTTAAAAGCATGAGCCATCAGAGCCTTAGCCCAAAGGCACCCAGTGTCAACGGGGTGAGAAGGATAAGGGCCACGCCACAAAAAGACTGACAGTAATTCACTAATACTGGGCTCAAATGATATCTGGGCATGCAAAGACTTACACAACCATGGTTATCAGGTAGGACATGGGGCACGTCTTCCTTGGGTGAGTAACTTGGACCAGCTGATGGACTCAGGGCACCTCAAATTCTTTTACTGTTGAGCTGTGGAAGCACCATCTGGGCTCGTTAATTGATCATCACATCCCACCTCTGCTCCTGCTCTGTGCCGGGCCTTTCCTTTCTGCACATGGTGCTCAGACACCTCACGCAAAGCAACGCCAGTCACGGTCCTCCTGTGAATCTCCTGGTGCCTCGTGCAGTGGGAGGCTTGGCGGAAGGTTTTTTTGCAGATGGGGCAGGTATAGGGTTTTTCCCCCGTGTGGATTCGCTGGTGGGTGACGAGGAGAAAATTAGAGTGGAAACTTTTCCCGCAGTCGGAGCAATTGTAAGGTCTCCCTTCATTGTGGAACCGCTGATGCTTCAGGAGAGCTGCAATGGCACCAAAACACTCCCCACAGCTGGGACACTTATAGGGTTTCTCCTCGGTGTGGCTCCTCCGGTGTCTCCGAAGAGTCGAGCCGTCGTTGTAGCACTTCTCACAGTCGGGACACTTGAAGGGTCTCTCCCCCGTATGGATTCGTTGGTGTTTCAGTAGGGTTGCGCTGTGGCTGAAGGTCTTCTCGCACTTGGAGCATCTATAGGGTCGCACCCCGACATGGGTAGCCCGGTGAAGGACCAGGGCTGACTTTGCATGGAAGCTCTTGCTACAGTAGGGACATTTATATCGTCCCTCCCCCGGGTGGGCTCCCTGAGACATCCTCTGCTTCTTCTGCATGTGGATCTTCTTGTGTTTGATGAGTCCGGAGCTGTCCGTGTAGCTTTGCCCACAATCCATACATTTATACGGCCTCTCCCCGGTGTGGCTTCGCTGGTGTCTCGTAAGGTGGGAGCTCAACCGGAAGCTTTTATCGCAGCTGAGACAGTTGTAGGGTTTCTCCCCAGTGTGGATCCTCCGATGGGCAACGAGGTCTGAACTCATGATGAAGCTCTTCCCGCATTCAGGGCACTTGTAGGGTTTTTCCCCGGTGTGGACCCGCTGGTGAACAATAAGGATCGATCTCCGGTTGAAGCCCTTCCCACACACCGAGCACTTGAACGGCTTCTCTCCCGTATGGATCCGCTGATGAATGGCCAGGTACCGCCTCAAGCTGAAGCTCTTCCCGCACGCGGGGCACCGAAAAGGGTTGTCCATGCTATGGGTGGCTTCGTGGGCTATTAGATACGTACTCAACCGAAAGCTCTTCCCGCAAACAAGGCAGACGTAGGGTTTCTCCCCGGTGTGGATCTTCCGATGGGCGCTGAGGGTGGAGGTGAGACGGAAACGCCGCCCGCAGTCCGGGCACTTGTAGGGTTTCTCGCCCGTATGGATCCGCTGATGCTTGTTGAGAGCCGACCCGACGCGGAAACCCTTCCCGCACTCGTGGCAGGTGAAGGGCTTCTCACCGGTGTGGATGCGCTGGTGGGGGATGAGGAAGGACTTCCGACCGAAGACCTTCCCGCAGTCCAGACACGTGTAGACGGCTTCATGGCTGGCCCCGCTCTCGCTGCAGCTATAGGGTTTCTTCGCGGCACGGCCCCCGCGGCGTGCTTGCAGGCTCCTGCTCTTCCTCGGTGATGGGCGTTCGGGGCCGCCGTTTCTTGGTCCTTCGGTGGCTTCCTCTGGTTGACTCTCCCCCTCGTGCTGTGGCGTTGGGTTCGACTCTTGGCGGACGACCACCTCAGACAGGTCCCAGCGCAGCTCAGATCCTTCTGGCTCCTCCAGACCGTTTTCCTTCCCGTCCGCCATCCCATCAGCTGTAGGAACGAAGATCCCAAACCTCAGTGAGGGCAATGTCTTGGCCAAAGTTCCTGTGGAAGTTTAAGGCTCCGATGCCCAAATCTAGCCTGCTCCAGGGGTACCACGGGGGGGGGGGGGGGGTGACCCCAAGCTACAACCCCACCCTGGTGCAGCTCACGGGGTATGAGGACACAGGAAAAGGCCACGGGAAGGAGATCGATCTCTTGAGGGTTACCAGACCGAGAAGGTCCACGTGGACCTCCACGCTGAGGAAGGATGATCGTGCCCTCCTCCTCCCCCTCCACCCACCATCCCGAGGGCCTTCTCCTCCGTGTCACCCTCTCCCACTACAGCCACAGCCCACCCCTTCCTCCGCAAGGAAGACCTGGAGGAGAAGGAGAACGCGGTGATGGGGTCCCACCGCCACTCGCACCCCACGGGTGGGTCGGGACCGACCCCACCCACCCCACGTTTTGTCCCAAAGCCTCATCAACCACCAGCAGCCACCCGGACCTGGCGGCAGGACCCACGTGTTGGGCAGGACCCGACCATCCCACCCCAGGCACCCCCGGAGCCCTCAGAGCTCAGCCCCGCGTGGGGACCCCGCCACGCGGGAGCGGGGCTGGGGCTGTGCCGGCCCCCCCCCTCCCCGGTTACCTGCGGGCTGCGGCGGGGGGTGACGCTCCCGGGGGCGGGGGGCAGCGGGGGGCTCGGTGCTCCGTGTGACCCGGATACAGTGAGCAGTGGAACCACGCTTTTGCTGCTGCTGCTCCTCCTCCTCCTCCTCTGTCCCTCCTCCTCCTCCTCTATCCCTCCTTCACCTGCTCCTGCTCCTCCTCCTCCTCCCGCTCCTACCCCTCCTCCATCCCCCCTCCTTCATCCCTCCTCTTCCCGCTCCTGCTCCTCCTCCATCCCTCCTCCTCCTCCTCCATCTCCACCCCTCCTCCTCCTGCTCCCGCTCCTCCTTCATCCCTCCTCCAACTCCACCCCTCCTCCTCCTGCTCCTCCTCCTCCTCGTCCATCCCTCCTTCTCCTCCTCCACCCCTCCTCCTCCTCCTGCTTCTCCTCCATCTCCACCTCTCCTCTTCCTCCGCCTACTCCTTCATTCCTCCTCCTTTATTCCTCTTCCTGCTCCTCCTCCTCGTCCATCCCTCCTTCTCCTCCTCTATCCCTCCTCCTCCTCCTCGTCCATCCTCCTTCTCATCCTCTATCCCTCCTCCTCCTCCTCTATCCCTCCTCCTCCTCCTCGTCCATCCCTCCTTCTCCTCCTCTATCCCTCCTCCTCCTCCTCGTCCATCCTCCTTCTCATCCTCTATCCCTCCTCCTCCTCCTCGTCCATCCCTCCTTCTCATCCTCTATCCCTCCTCCTCCTCCTCGTCCATCCCTCCTTCTCATCCTCTATCCCTCCTCCTCCTTGTCCATCCCTCCTCCTCCTCCTCCTCCTCCATCCCCCTTGCAGCCCATACAAACGTTTCTCACCGAGCACGGGGACCACGAACCACCGGCTCCACCGTGTAAGCCTGATACGGTCCAAGCCTTGCTGGTGACTTTACCATTCAAGAGGAGATAAGAGCTTGATGAGAGGGGGGTGGTCCAGCCCCAGAAGGCCCAGAGCCTGGATGATTGCCCCAGAAGCATGGAGTAAAAAAAAAAAAAAAAAAAAATCTGTGGTAACTGGGTGAATTTGCCCCCTCAGAGGTGTAAGGAGCACACCAGCGAATGTACGCAGCAAGCCAGGCTAATTCAAATATAACTAACCCACAGCAGGTGGAACGGTAATTATGGACCAATGAGTGCAAAGTTATAACCATGTCGTAGGATAAACGAGCTGCAGTTTTTTTAGCTGGTGTGCTAGTGTGGTGGAATTACCCCCCAGCACCCGTCTTTGTGCAAGTACGGGATGAACCGCTCTCGGCTCCGTGTGCGAGATCGGCTTTTGCACAGCGGGTAATGAGCCCTGTCTGAGGGCGTGGGAAATGCGTATGCCCACAAAGACAAAAAATATTTTGTGAATCCTCAGGAAGAGCGGGGCTGGAATCAGCTGTTAACCTGATTAGCGTAGGGACAGCCGATACCGAAGGAAGGGGACTGGGGGAGAACATCAAAATCTCCCCAGCTGATCCCCTGGTTCCCGTAAAGCTGGGGAATTAAATTATTGATTTTCTAGTAGATGATCTAGTAGATAATGAGCAAACCATTTAGTAAAGACTACTTGCAAGGGACCTTTAAGTAAAATACATATGCCACTTGCTGGGGTCGTGGCAAAGCGAGCTTTCGGGCCATTTTTAAAACCTATGGAAAGTACAATTGGAAATGCTACATTAACTCATGAATTTCTATAAATGCCAGAGTGCCTCCTCCCATTGTTGGGATGGGACTTACGGTATAAATAAATTGAACTAATGGTATAAATAAATAATTCATTATAAATAAATAATATGGTATAAATAAATTGAATATAAAGAAATTGAATAAATAATTGAAAGCACAACTAACATTTTTAAATGAGTCTATTCAGGTACACGTGCCCGAGGAGACAGCGTGGGAAGCTCAGTTGCGTCCGTTGGCTGGAAAGAAACAGGAGAACAGGATCTTGAAAGAAATTTTGGATGCTGCAACACCCCTGGCTGGTATGGGCCTCCGAGAAACCTGGATGAGCAAAAAATGCGACTCCAGTAAAGGCGGTATTAAAATCAGGATCACAACCGGGAAGGAAAAAGCAGTACTCAATGAAATTAGAGGCTAGAGTGGGGTTAGAACCACTAATTAATGCTAGTACTAGTTGTCCTGGGGTGAGTGAGTGGTGGAGTTTTTTGGTGGCAGGGGAGGGGGCTATCGGGGCGGCCCCCTGTGAGAAGCTCCTCGAAGCTCCCCCAGCTCCACGTCAGCTCCACTTCTGTTTGGGAAATTGAGCCCATCAGCTGCACCTCTGCGATAACGTATTTAAGAAGGAATGTGGTGACGGGCAGTGGGACTGGTGAGGAGGAGTTGCTGCAGCTGCATGAACACCAAGGTCAGTGGAGGAACAGAGGAAGAAAGGAGGGGGGAGGTGTGCCGGAGCAGAGACCCCACTGTATCCTGTGGGGAGACGGCAGGGCGGCCCCCCCTGCCACCCATGGAGATCTATGGTGGAGCAGACACTGATTTATGGCCTGTCGTTCCTGCTCGGAATAATCAAGGGTCTGTGCCTGAAGAAGGCCGGGGTCTCATGGGAAAAGGCAGCCCCGCTGCTGTAATTCAGCGCTGGGAGGATTGCAGCATGTGGGGGAGTCCCACGCCGGAGCAGCTCGGGAAGGGCTGCAGCCGTGGGAGGGAATCCAGTCAGAGGAAGTTAGTGACCCATGACGGAGCAGTGTGGGGAACGCTGCGGCCCATGGGAGGAATTCAAGTCAGAGAAAGTTTGTGGAGGACTGTCTCCTGTGAGAGGGGGACCACGATGGAGCAGCAGGAACAAGTTCCGGACACTCCCCTCACCGAAGATGAAGGAAGTGGCAGCGCTGACTGCACCCCCCATTCCCTGCCCCTGCGCCCCTGGGGGAGGAGGTAGAGATATCGGGAGCAGAGCTGAGCCCGGGAAGGAGGGAGGGGTGGGGGGAAGGTGTTCTCAAGATGTGGTAATGCTTCTCACTGTCCTACTCTGTTATGTGTTGTTAGTGTCTGTAATAAATGTATGTTCTTTTTTTCTTCCCCTAACGAGTCTGCCTTTTGCTCATGATCATAAAAGAGGAATTTTCTCCCCATCCCAGTCCTATCTTGAACCCCAAGCCTGGCTCTCTGTCCCTTCTCATTGCCGGAGGGGAAGGGAGAGAGAGCTGCTGCATTGTGGTTGGCTGCCAACCAGGCCCAAACCACAACAGTTTTCGATTCCTTTTGTGAAATAAATGCCTAGAAATGTCTGTCAAGAACAAATGAGGTTTGGGTGATACGGTACTGTACAGCAGTTTTTCTGACTCAGCAGTAACCAGGAAATCCACGGGATTAGAATTTACACCTCAATCAGATTCAGAGACTGTTACAGTCACAAACTGGTCAGATTGCTGGGTTTGTACTCATTTTCCAGAACACGGCTGAAAGGGGAGTCCTTTAATAAGAGTCCCCATTCCTGCAAATACGTCATGGCAAAATCTGCCGGGTAATACTTCTTTTAAAGTAGATTGGTTAGAATCTCGGGAATGGGAAGCAGAAAACCCACCTCCACACGAGAATCACAAACTATGTTTCCAAAGATATTCCCCCTCTGCCCTGAAAGGAACAGATAGGAAAAATTGTTTGCTAGAAAACAGCACTTTTGTGGGAAATTACACTAGCTGAAAGCGTACAATAACAGCAGGGAAAAGAGGAAATGTTGGCTTGCCCAATGTTGCCTGGCCAGTTCCAGAAGGTAGAGGATGGTACTGGATATGTGGCACACGAGCCAGGAAAGTTGTACTGGAGAACTGGGCAGGAATATGCACTTTGGGTGCAATTGTTTCAAATATAACAATCATGGGCAGATTTAGTGCGGATAACCAAATTTGGCTAAGATCAATCCTAAAGAGACAGAAAAGAGCCAATCGTCCTACAGAACGACCGACAGCTTTTAATTCTTTTGCCAGGTGGTTTATACCGTGGTTAGGAGTCAGTGAATTGGAAAAAGCCATACTAAATATTTGGAAAAATGGGAAATGAGACTTACTATGATGTTATAAAGGCCCTGCAAGAAGTGTCTGAGTTAGCTAAAATTGCTTTACAAAATAGAATGGCTCGTGGTAAGATGCTGACCTCTCAGGGAGGAGTATACAGAGTTTTAAATATGAGCTGCTCCATATATGTAGATCAAAGTGGAAGATTTTCCACCGATTTAAATGAAGTTTGGAAGCAGACTAAAACCGATCATGAAATCCAAAAGGAGATAACACTTCTTACGGAGTCAAAGAAACATTCAGAGAGCTGACTTGCTGGTTCCCTGATTTGAGTCTGTGGATAAAGAAACTCGTAGGAATTTTAGTTACAATAATAACTGTGTTTGTATGCTTTATATACTCATCTAGTGGACATGGAGATGTTTATGTCTGGGTGAATAAACTGTGGAAAAGATGAAACTTACCTGCATGAATTTAAGTTCTCTAGATAGCCTCAAAGGAGGGAATTGTAGCCCTGTAGCCCATACAGATGTTTCTCACCAAGCACAGGGACCACTAATCAGTGGCTCCATTGTGTAAGCCCCAAACTTAGATACCTGGTGGCTCCATTGTGCAATTCAGGCCTTGCTAATGACTTCACCATTGAAGAGGAGATAAGAAATTGAAAAGAGGGGAACATCCAGCCCAGAAGGCCCAGAGGCTGGAGGACGGCCCAACAGGCATGAAGTAAAAAAAAAAAAAATCTGTGGCAGCTGGGGGAACTTGCCCCCCAACACCTCTAAGGAGCACATGAGCAAATTTACACAGCAAGTGAGGCTAATTCCAATATAACTAACCCAAGATATGGCCAAGAGGATCTCTTTAGTTGGGTCAGGTCGACTGCCTGGTTGTGACCCCATCCTGATGTCTTGTGCATCCCCCAAATCTGTTCACTGTTCGATGAACAGGAAGTGAATCTGAAAGATATTATGAGGATAATCCAATATATTTGGTAGAAATTTCAAAAAACAGAATAGGGATATTTCTTCTAAAGGCTATGATATATACACACCCTTGATACGTGTCTACATATATATATACACACACACGGACGTGGGCACCTGCGTAACAAAAGGAGCACCCCTTATGCTTGATTTTTGTTGCAGGGTCCTGGCTGGATTTTTGCTTCCTCCAAAGTGCCTGAGACGTTTTGGCACAGTTTTCCCCGTCACATCAATCTCCTTCCTCACAGTAAAATACTCCCTGAGCTGTCGGTGAGAGCGACTCATCCCTCCACCATCACAGTCCGGTATCCCTGTATCCCACCGGGAAGCACAAAAGCCAGGGCCTTGGTGAGCACCATCAGTGAAGTTCATCCTCACAGTCTGGAATCAGGTAATAATTAGTGGAACACGCTTTTAACGAAGCGACTGATGAACAGGGAGAGAGAAACATAGAAAGAGCAAACTGAGTAGAAGACAACAGGATGGTCACAGCGTGGAACACCCAACCAACACCCCACCAAAACGTCCGACCAAGACAGTCCAGCCGTTTGCTCAACGTTGGGTCTTCCTAACGACCCCGCCGACTAACGAGACTTTCTAATCCCTTTGGACTCACGGGAGCAGCCTGGTTTTGCCAGGAGGGCAGCGTTCCTGAAACATCGCGTCTCCCCGGACGCACAAGGCCCCATGGAGATGCTGCGGCTCTTGGACGTGATGGTCCCACGCGCTGGGGTGAAGGGAGAGCCACGTTGCCCATGTACCCAAGCCACCTCCTGGGAAATCTCCTCAGGGATGATCTTCCTGCCACCCCTTTGCCCCGTCAGCGTCGGCTCCTCCTTCCTCCCCAACTTTTCCTCCAGCACCCAGGGTGGTTGTCCTGGCTCCGCGTGGGTGCTCAGCGCCTGCTCGAGAAAGACAAAGCCATTGCACCAGCAGGACCTCCACAGCCAAGGAGGGAGGGGAAACCCAAGTATCTGCTGGGGTTATTCAAGGTGGGAAGGCCCAGGAGGGGATTTGCAGTGCTGGAGGAGGGGTGCACAGAGGCCTCCGTGTGCTCGAACGGCCCTGGAAAATGTGCTTGGAGACCATTTGCTATCCCCAAGTCTGACTCGTGAACCCCCCTGCATCGAGGAGTTTCCTCCAGTGCAGCTCCAGTCCCTGGAGGTCTCCAGTCCAACCTCCTGCTCAGAGCAGGACTATCCCCACCGACAGTTCAACCCAACCCAGGGACAGAGCAAACCCATCCCCAGGGACATCTCCCACCCCGTCGCTGCTGCCAGGCTGGGAGCAGGAGTCCCAGCACAGCCCCACCATGTGCTTCGCCAGCCCATCCCAGCCCACAGCCCCAGAAGGGACTGGAGACATCCCACACTAAGCTCCTCCTGAGGACTCACCACTGTGCAGGGTTTCCTCATGGCTCTGGAGGTGACTCCTCCTCCGGAAGGTCTGCCCGCAGCGCGAGCAGGCGTAGGGTTTGTCTCCCGAATGGACGCGCTGGTGGGAGACGAGGTTCGAGCGCCAGGCGAACCGTTTCCCACACGTGGTGCAGACAAAGGGCCTCTCGTCTGTGTGCCCTCTCCAGTGATGCCAGAACACGCCGCTCTCCATGAAGCTCTTCCCACAAATACTGCACTTGAAGGGCTTCTCTCCCGTATGGATCCGTCGGTGACGTCTCATGCTGTTCCTCCAGGCAAAGCTCTTCCCACAGTCCATGCACTTGTAGACCTTCTCTCTGGAGCTACGCCTTTGTTGGGTTGCATCTTCTTGAAGTTCTTCAGCATACGTCCCTTTGAAAGAGCATTTTCGGGGTCTTCTTGGCTCTTGGCTACCTTGCGTCACCCCTGGCTGCCGTGGGACATCCTGGTCCCCGTCCACCCTGGGGCTCTGGGGCTCCTCTCCGGCTCCTTCCAGCACCACCCTCTGCTCCTCCATGGGCTGCCTCTCCTCCTCCTTCCCAGTCCCCCCAGGACCCAGCACTGGGGACAGAAATACTTGAGGGAGAGATGGAATAACCGAGACAGGACCAACTGCCGTGACCGACGCACAGACCCACCCCCTTGTACTACGCCGCCAGACCCTTTTACACCCTTTCCTCCTCCTGGCCCCCTTCCCTGCTCATCACCTCCTGCGCACGCACAGCCCCCGCTCCAGCCGGGCATCCTTATCAGCTGTGGGAGCTGCCAGCCCTGCCTGCGGTGCACAAGTGTGTAAAGAGATGGGGGTGCAAGTGCACGGCTGCCCACGGCTCGGAGTGTGTGTATCCTCCTGATCCTCCTCCATCCCTCCTCCTCCTCCACCCTGGCCCAGCTCCCCCCTCTCTCCCCACTTCCATCCCCCCCAAACTCCCCCCACCCCCGGGAGGGCCAGGGCTGGAGATGGCTCAGGGTGGGATGGGGCAGTGGGGGGCTGCTGGCTGCTCCCACCCACTGTGGGGGAACCCGGGAAGGGGGAAAGAAGAGAGAAAGCAGGAAAACCTGTGGCTGGAGGTACAAATAGTTTGCCAGGAGGAGGCAGGAGGCTTCCATCACTAATCACCAACTATGGGAAGATGGATGCCCGGACAGTTCGTGTCTGAAATCTTTCCAACGCCCACCTCTGAAGCTCTTCCTCTCCATTTTTTTGCTGAGCACTGACACAGGGTTCAGCCACCCCCGAGGACTCACCATCGTGGAGCTCCTGCTGATGCCTCCTGAGGTTACACCTCTTCCAGAACTTCTTCCCGCAGTGTGAGCAGATGTACGGGAGCTCTCCCGTGTGGATGCGTCGGTGGGTGATCAAGTTGGATTTAAAAGTGAAGCATTTCCCGCAGGTGGTGCAGACAACGGGCTGCTTATCCTTGTGTGTCCTCTGGTGAGACTGAAGGCTCTTGCTATCCCCAAAGCTCTTCCCACAATCCCGGCACTTGAAGGGCTTCTCTCCCGTGTGGAGCTGTTGGTGATGGCTCAGGCTGCTCTCACGGCTAAAGACCTTCCCGCACTCCGCATATTTATGCACATCCTCTCTGGAGCTACTCACTGGTTGGGTTGCATCTTCCTGAAGTTCTCCACCATACGTCCCTTTGAAAGAGCATCTTTGGGTTCCTCTTGGCTCTTGGCTACCTTTTGTCTCCCCTGGCAGCTGTGGGACATCCTGGTCCATCTCCACCTTGGGGCTCTGGGGCTCCTCTTTGACTCCTTCCAGCACCACCCTCTGCTCCTCCATGGGCTGCCTCTCCTCCTCCTCCTTTATCTCCTTGCCTGCCCCATCACCTGTGGGGAGACCAAAGGGGCTCATTTCGGGGCTCTGAAGGCAGAGGAAGAGCAGCCCCCTGCTCCAGCAGCTCCAGCCCAGCCCAGTGCCCCCCAGCCCCGTGCTGAGCAGCTGCTGGAGCCCTTCCAGCAAGGCCTCTCCCCAGTTCTCTCCCTCCTCCCCGCCCCCGGCGCAGGGGGCAGGGGATGGGGGGGGCGATCACTCCCTCCCCCCTCAGCTCTGCCGCCCCTTCCTCCCCAGGGGGAGGACTCCTCGCACTCCTCCCCTGCTCCCGCGTGGGCTCCCTCCCACGGGACACACTCCCCCTCCGACCGCCTCCTCCCACGGGCTGCCGGCCCCCCAGCAACACACTGCTCCCCGAGTCCCGGCCTGCTTGGGGCGCAGCCCCCTGCTCCCCCATGGCGTCCTCCCCGGGCTGCGGGGGGGCATCTGCTCCCGCGTGGGCCTCCTCCATTCTTTGCAGTGGGGTCTCTGTTCCAATGAACCTTCTTGAGTGCTTGCACAGCTATTTCCCTCCCTCCCCTTCCTCTTCCTCCCAGCTTCCCCTTCTTAAATAGCTTCTCCCAGGGGAGCAACCATCATCACTAATTGGCTCAGCCTTGCCCAGAGACGGGTCCTGCTTGGAGCTGGGGGGCTTCCAGCACCTCCTTACAGGACCCTGACTGTAGCCCCCTCAACCCCCTGCTACCCAAACCGCGACCCATCCCAGCAGGGCGCAGCCGGCTGGGTGCTGAGCACCGTGCCCAGGGTGCTGAGCACCCTGCGGAGGCGGCAGCAGGGTGTGGGGGGGCCAGATTCAGAGTTCCCCCTCTTGGAACGAGCTCTGTGGGTGCTGCCAGCCCCCAGCTGCGGTGCACAAGTACACAAGGACATGGGGGTGCAAGTGCACACGTGGGTCGGAGGGGTGGGGTGGTACGTGGGGTTGTGCTGGTGTGGGGGGGGGGGACGTGGCTGTCTGTCTGTCTCTCCCCTCTTCCCCTTCATTCTCCATCCCTCCTCCTCCTTCACCTGGACCAGTTCCTACTCTTGTACCCGCTTCCATCCCCCCCAAAATCCCCCCACCCCCGGGAGGGCCAGGGCTGGAGATGGCTCAGGGCGGGATGGGGCAGTGGGGGGCTGCTGGCTGCTCCCACCCGCCGTGGGGGAACCCGGGAAGGGGGAAAGAGGGGAAAACAGGGAAAACCCACGGGTGGAGGAAAAAATAGTTGGGCAGGAGGGGGCTGGAGGGGGCCATCACTCACCCCCCAGAATGGGAAATGCATGCGCAGATGGTTCCCAAACCAAACCTGGGCCACCCCTGTCCCCAGACTACCTCCTCTCCACTTTTTGCTGAGCACAACGTGATATGGGCTTAAGCCCCCCGTGAAGACTGACCATTGTGGAAAGCTTGGTGCCTGCGGAGATGAGTCATCGTCACAAATCCCTTCCCACAGCGCGAGCAGGGGTAGGGCCTCTCTCCCGTGTGGATGCGCTGGTGGATGAGGAGGTTCGAGCTCCAGGCGAACCGTTTCCCACACGTGGTGCAGAGAAAGGGCTTCTCCTTGGTGTGGGTCTTCAGGTGACCGCGGAGATTCCCACTATCCCTGAACTTCTTCCCGCACTCCTGGCACTCGAAGGGCTTCTCTCCCGTGTGGATCCGTCGGTGACTGTTCAGGTTGCTGGGGCAGGTGAAGGCCTTCCCACAGTCCGTACACTTGTAAAACTTCCCTCTGAACCTCTTCTTTGGTGGGGTTGAGTGTTTTACAACTTCTGCAGGATAGAGCTCTTTGAAAGAACATTTTTAGAGTGCTGTTGTCACTTGGCATTCATCGGCCTGCCCGGCTCCCTCCCTTGCCTTCTCCTCCTCCTCACGCTCCCCATGGCCTTGCCCCTTAGCGCCACGTCCTGGTTTGAGCCCCGAGGGCACCCGAGCACCACGCAGCCGCTCGCTCGCCCCGTCCCCCTCAGGGCTGGGCAGGAGAAAATCAAATCAAAGGTCCAGGGGACCCAGACAAGGATGGGGGGGACCAGATTTGGGGTCCACCCCCCCTGTGACTTGGGCACCGAGGGTGCTGGCGCTGGGATCACAGCCCCTCCTGCCCCCAGCAGCCCTGCAGCAGCCTGGGCACTGCGGGACCTGCCAGCCCCTGCCCACACCCCTGCACCCCCCCTGCACCCCTGGCTGTACAAGAGTGTAAAGATGTCGGGGTGCAAGTGCATAGGTGCCCATGGATCCGAGTGTCTGTATCTTCCATCACCCTCCTCCTCCATTCTTCCTTGTCCTTCATCTTGGATCAGTGGCCAACCTTGGTCCCCACTTCCAACCCCCCCAGACTCCCCCCACCCCCCGGGAGGGCCAGGGCTGGAGATGGCTCAGGGTGGGATGGGGCAGTGGGGTTGCTCCAACCCGCTGTGGGGGAACCCGGGAGGGGGAAAAGAGGATGAAAAGGGAGAAAACCCATTAGTGGAGGTAAAAATAGTGGGGTAGGACGGGGCCACCACCTCCAGTGAGGATATGGATGCCCAGACATTTCCTTAACCAAAATCGGGCCAATCCCCAGCACCCAAAACCTCTCCATTGGTTTGCTGAGCACAACGTGGTAACTGTTAAACCCCACGAGGACTCACCACTGTGGACGGATCGCTGATGCCTCCTGAGTTGACATATGTACCGGAAGGTTTTTCCGCAGTGTGAGCAGTCATATGGTGTCTCACCAGTGTGGACACGCTGGTGGACAAGGAGGTACGAACTGAACGTGAAGCGTTTCCCACATGTGTTGCAGACAAAGGGCTTCTCATCGCTGTGAATCCTGCAGTGACGCAGGAGTTTTCCACTATCCCTGAATCTCTTCCCACATTCCTGACACTTGTAGGGCTTCTCGTCCGTGTGGATCCGTTGGTGACGGGTCAGGTTGCTTGCACAGGCAAAGATCTTCCCACAGTCCACACACTTGTACGCCTTCTCTGTGGAGGTGCTCCTTTGTTGGCTTGTGTTTTCTTGAAGGTCTTCAGCGCCCGTCCCTTCCAAAGAGCATCTTTGGGTTCCTCTTGGCTCTTGGCTACCTTGCGTCTCCCCTGGCTGCCGGGGGACATCCTGGTCCATCTCTACCTTGGGGCTCTGGGGCTCCTCTTTGACTCCTTCCAGCACCACCCTCTGCTCCTCCTTCATCTTCTTGTCTATCCCATCACCTGTGGGGAGACCAAAGGGGCTCATTTCAGGGCTCTGAAGGCAGAGGAAGAGCAGCCCCCTGCTCCAGCAGCTCCAGCCCAGCCCAGTGCCCCCCAGCCCCGTGCTGAGCAGCTGCTGGAGCCCTTCCAGCAAGGCCTCCACCCTCGCCAGTAGCCGCACTGGGATCCCAGATGGCTCCAGTAGCCTTGCCTGTTACTGCTGTGTCGTGGTTTGAGCCCAGAGGGCACCCGAGCACCACGCAGCCGCTCGCTCGCCCCGTCCCCCTCAGGGCTGGGCAGGAGAAAATCAAATCAAAGGTCCAGGGGACCCAGACAAGGATGGGGGGGACCAGATTCGGGGTCCACCCCCCTGTGACTTGGGCACCGAGGGTGCTGGCGCTGGGATCACAGCCCCTCCTGCCCCCAGCAGCCCTGCAGCAGCCTGGGCACTGCGGGACCTGCCCGCCCCTGCCCACCCCCCCCTGCACCCCCCCTGCCCCCCCGGCTGTGCTGCACAAGTGTGCAGGGAGCTGAAGTAGAAGTCCACGGGTGCCCATGGCTCTGCCTGGTTTTATCTTCCTGCTCTTCCTCCTCCTCCTCTGTCCCTCCTCCTCCTTCACTCTGGCCCAGCTCCCCCCCTCTCTCCCCACTTCCATCCCCCCCAAACTCCCCCCACCCCCGGGAGGGCCAGGGCTGGAGATGGCTCAGGGTGGGATGGGGCAGTGGGGGGCTGTTGGCTGCTCCCACCCGTGGGGGAACCCGGGAAGGGGACAGGAAGAGGAAAAGAGAGAAAACTTGTGCATGGAGGTGTCCTGGGTTTGAGTAAGAGGTGGGGTTTTTTGTAGCAGGGGAGGGGGCTATAGTGGCAGCCCCCTGTGAGAAGCTTTTCAAAGCTCCCCCAGCTCCAAGTCAGCTCCACCTCTGCACCAAAACTGAGCCCATCAGCTGCGCCTCTGCAATAACGTATTTAAGAAGGGACGTGGTGAGGAGCAGTGGGACTGGTGAGGAGGAGTTGGGGCAGCTGCATGAACACCAAGGTCAGTGGAGGAACAGAGGAAGAAAGGAGGGGGGAGGTGTGCTGGAGCAGAGACCCCCCTGTATCCTGTGGGGAGATGGCAGGGCGGCCCCCCCTGCCACCCATGGAGAGCTACAGTGGAGCAGACACTGATTTATGGCCTGTGTTTTTCGCACGGATGATCAAGGTGCTGTGCCCGAAGAAGGCCGGGGTCTCATGGGAAAAGGCAGCCCCGCTGCTGTAATTCAGCACTGGGAGGATTGCAGCATGTGGGGGAGTCCCACGCCGGAGCAGCTCGGGAAGGGCTGCAGCCGTGGGAGGGAATCCAGTCAGAGGAAGTTAGTGACCCATGACGGAGCAGTGTGGGGAACGCTGCGGCCCGTGGGAGGGACTCATGTCGGAGAAAGTTTGTGGAGGACTGTCTCCTGTGAGAGGGGGACCACGATGGAGCCCAGGGAGAAGTTCCAGGAGCTCCCCTCATTGAAGATACAAGAAGTGGCAGCACTGACTGCACCCCCCATTCCCTGCCCCTGCGCCCCTGGGGGGAGGAGTTAGAGATACTGGGAACAGAACTGAGCGCAGGAAGAAGGGAGGGTTGGGGGGAAGGTGTTCTCAAGATGTGGCAATACTTCTCACAGTCCTACTCTGTTACGTGCTGTTAGTGTCTGTAATAAACATATGGGGTTTTTTCTTCCCCTAATGACTCAGCCTTTTGCTCATGACCATCTGCAGTGGTTGGCTGCTAACCCGGCTCAAACCACTACAGGAGGTAAAAGGAGTTGGGCAGGAGGAGGCAGGAAGGGGCCATCACTCACCTCCACACATTGGGAGATGTATGCCCAGCCAGTTTCTGACAAAAATCAGGCCAACTGCCAGGCATAAATGCCTTCCTCTATATTTTGCTGCTGAGCACGACGTCGTATTTGTTTGAGGCCCTCCAAGGACTTACCACTGTGGCGGGCTCTCCGATGCCTCGTGACGCTGTAACTATCTCTAAAGGTCTTCCCGCAGTGCGAGCAGGAGAATGGTCTCGCTCCCGTGTGGATGTGTTGATGTTTGATAAGGTACCAGCTAAAGGCGAAAGTTTTTCCACACGTCGTGCAGAGAAAGGGCTTCTCACCGGTGTGCGTCTGCCGGTGAGTCAGGAGTCTCACTTTATCCCTGAAGCTTTTCCCACAATCAAAGCACTTGTAGGGCTTCTCTCCTGTGTGGATCCGCCGGTGACGGCTCAGGTTGCTCGCACAGGCAAAGATCTTCCCACATTCCAGACAATCGTAGACCTTCCCTCTGGAGCTACTCCTTGGTTGGGTTGAGTATTCCTGATGGGCTTCAGCGCCCGTCCCTTCCAAAGAGCATCTTTGGGTTCCTCTTGGCTCTTGGCTACCTTGCGTCACCCCTGGCTGCCGGGGGACATCCTGGTCCCCATCCACCCTGGGGCTCTGGGCCTCCTCTTTGACTCCTTCCAGCACCACCCTCTGCTCCTCCATGGGCTGCCTCTCCTCCTCCTCCTTAATCTTCTTGCCTGTCCCATCACCTGTGGGGAGACCAAAGGGGCTCATTTTGGGGCTCTGAAGGCAGAGGAAGAGCAGCCCCCTGCTCCAGCAGCTCCAGCCCAGCCCAGTGCCCCCCAGCCCCGTGCTGAGCAGCTGCTGGAGCCCTTCCAGCAAGGCCTCCACCCTCGCCAGTAGCCGCACTGGGATCCCAGATGGCTCCAGCACCTGACACCACAGAGCAGGGGTGCTGCCACCCCCAGGCTGACTCCTGCACATGACCCCAAACCTGCTCACACCAGTCTTCCCAGAACCAGGCACTGGGGACAGAAATACTTGAGGGAGAGATGGAATAACCGAGACAGGACCAACTGCCGTGACCGACGCACAGACCCACCCCCTTGTACTACGCCGCCAGACCCTTTTACACCCTTTCCTCCTCCTGCCCCCCTTCCCTGCTCATCACCTCCTGCGCACGCACAGCCCCCGCTCCAGCCGGGCATCCTTATCAGCTGCGAAGCTCGTGGTGGAGCTTCCAAGTTCTACTGGTGGCTAGAAGAGCCCCGTTGGCACGGCCAGCCACGTTTCCTGCTGGTTCATATCTTCGTTAACGCTAATTGGGCAGGTTGGATGTCTCTGTTGCTCAGCTCCCTCCCTTGCCTCCTCCTCCTCCTCACGCTCCCCATGGCCTTGCCCGTTAGCGCCATGTCCTGGTTTGAGCCCAGAGGGCACCCGAGCACCACGCAGCCGCTCGCTCGCCCCGTCCCCCTCAGGGCTGGGGAGGAGAAAATCAAATCGAAGGTCCAGGGGACCCAGACAAGGATGGGGGGGACCAGATTTGGGGTCCACCCCCCCTGTGACTTGGGCACCGAGGGTGCTGGCGCTGGGATCACAGCCCCTCCTGCCCCCAGCAGCCCTGCAGCAGCCTGGGCACTGCGGGACCTGCCCGCCCCTGCCCGCACCCCTGGAATGATGCACAACTGTGCAAATATATGGGGTGTAAGTGCACGGGTGCCCATGGCTATTTGTGTGTGGATCATTCCTGATCCTCCTCCATCCCTCCTCCTCCACCACCCTGGCCCAGCTCCCTGTCTCCCTCCCCACTTCCCTCCCCACCAAACTCCCCCCACCCCTGGGAGGGCCAGGGCTGGAGATGGCTCAGGGCGGGATGGGGCACTGGGGGCTGCTGGCTGCTCCCACCCGCTGTGGGGGAACCCAGGAAGGGGAAAGAAGAGGAAAGGCAAGAAAACCCGTGGGTGGAGGTAAAAATAGCTGGGCAGGAAGAGGCAGGATGGGACCATCATTCACCCCAGCCATGGGGAGATGGATGCCCAGACAGTTCCTGACCAAAATCTGGCCAACCCACACACACAAAACTCCTCCTTCCCATTTTATTGCTGAGCACAACATGATATGAAGTTTAGGCCCCGAGGACTCACCCTTGTGCTGGCTTTGCTGATGTTTCCTGAGGTGAATGTTTTGCCGGAATCTCTTCCCGCAGTGTGAGCAGGCGTACGGTCTCACGCCAGTGTGGGTGCTTTGGTGTTTCACCAGGTACGACTTAAGGGTGAAGCTTTTCCCACATACAGAGCAGACAAAGGATTTCTCATTGGTGTGTGTCATCCGGTGACGCAGGAGTTTCACACTATACCCAAAGCTCTTCCCGCAGTCCAAGCACTTGAAGGGCTTCTCTCCCGTGTGGATCCGTTTGTGACGCGTCAGGTTTCTTGCACAGCTCAGGACCTTCCCACACTCCTGACACTCATAGACCTTCTTTCTGGTGCTACACCTTTGTTGATTTGCATCCTCCTTAAGTTCTTCAGCATACGTCCCTTTGAAAGAGCATTTTCGGAGTCTTCTTCGCGCTCGCCTACCTTTTGTCTCCCCTGGCTGCCGGGGGACATCCTGGTCCATCTCCACCCTGGGGCTCTGGGGCTCCTCTTTGAAAGAGCATCTTTGGGTTCCTCTTGGCTCTTGGCTACCTTGCGTCTCCCCTGGCAGCTGTGGGACATCCTGGTCCATCTCCACCTTGGGGCTCTGGGGCTCCTCTTTGACTCCTTCCAGCACCACCCTCTGCTCCTCCATGGGCTGCCTCTCCTCCTCCTCCTTTATCTCCTTGCCTGCCCCATCACCTGTGGGGAGACCAAAGGGGCTCATTTCGGGGCTCTGAAGGCAGAGGAAGAGCAGTCCCCTGCTCCAGCAGCTCCAGCCCAGCCCAGTGCCCCCCAGCCCCGTGCTGAGCAGCTGCTGGAGCCCTTCCAGCAAGGCCTCTCCCCAGTTCTCTCCCTCCTCCCCGCCCCCGGCGCAGGGGGCAGGGGATGGGGGGGGCCCTCACTCCCTCCCCCCTCGGCTCTGCCGCCCCTTCCTCCCCAGGGGGAGGACTCCTCGCACTCCTCCCCTGCTCCCGCGTGGGCTCCCTCCCACGGGACACACTCCCCCTCCGACCGCCTCCTCCCACGGGCTGCCGGCCCCCCAGCAACACACCGCTCCCCGAGTCCCGGCCTGCTTGGGGCGCAGCCCCCTGCTCCCCCGTGGCGTCCTCCCCGGGCTGCGGGGGGGCATCTGCTCCCGCGTGGGCCTCCTCCATGCTTTGCAGGGTAGCCTGTTCCGGCGCACCTCCCCCGCTCCTTCCGTCCTTCCCCGCCCTTGGGGTTTGCAGGGGAGTTTCCTTCCCTGCTCCCTCCTCTTCCTCCCGGCTTCCCCTTCTGAAATCCGTTATCCCAGACTTGCACCCGCCGTCGCTCGTTGGCTCGGCCTTGCCCAGAGCCGGCTCCGGTTTGGGCCCGGGGGGCTTCGGGCAGGACCCCCCTGCACCCCCCCGCAACCACCGTGCACCCCCCCTTCACCTCCCTACAGCCCCCTGCACCCCCCTACCTCAACCCCTGCACCCCCCCACGCCCCTGCACTGCCCTTGTACCCCCCCAAAACCCCCCTGCACGCCCCCCACCCCCCGAACCCCCCCCTGCTCCCAGCCCGCTCCGCTCAGGCGTGCGAGGAGCTGGGGAGGGGTCCGGGGGGTGTCTGGGGCTCTGGGTCTCAGCCTGCGCTCCCCTGCGCCCGGCAAGGCCGGGGGGTTGGGGGGGGCGAGCACGAGGGTGCCCGCAAAGGCGGGGGGGTTCTCTTCGTGTGTGGGGGTGCAGCATCGCGCTGCTGGCAGGAGTGTTCCCCATTAGCACCGGGACCAGTAACCCCCAGCCCGGCTGTGGGAGCCTGAGGCGAGGCCGGGCCTTTGCTGCCGACTGACCCTTGGGGAGGAGCGGAGAGCCAGGCGGGAGGGGAACAGCCGGCCCAACAGGCCCCGGAGGCCGGACGGTCCTGGGACAGGGGGACACGGAGCAAAAACCGGCGTCAGTGGGCGGGAGAGACCCCACCGGCCGAGTCGAGTGAGGAGCAGGAGGACGGGCCCCCCCTCGCCCTTCGTGCTGGCGCAGGAGAACTAAAAGCCGCTGGGACTTTCCATCGAGACGAGGCCCGTTGGTACCCGGAGAGGGACAGAGCGACCAGAACGTGGCCCTGCTCACTCCAGCACCGGTGTGTTCGGGTGGGCCGAGGGGTAGAAAGGGTATAAATAAAGTGTATAAATGTGTAAACAAGGAATAAATAGATCCCTCTGCTCGGGGGGGGATGTCGGCGTCTGGCCCAGCGCAGAAACGACTCGGCTTGAGGGACAAACCTGGGAGCTTGTAAAAAGAAGTAAAAAGAGTTTATTAGCAGGAGACAGGAGGAGAAGAGCTGCAAAGGCCATCACTCACCGACATCTGGCCAACCCCCACCCCTGGCCCCCTCCTCTCCATTTTGTCGTGGAGCAACACTCAATACAGCCAGGAATGTCTCTTTGCTTGGGTCAGGTCATCCGCCTGGTTGAGTTCCCCCCATCCCAATCCCTTGTGCAACCCCCAGAAATTTTCACTGTTCAATAAACGGGACACGAAGTGGAAGGACATTATGAGGAACACCCCATGTATTTGATAGAAACTTCAAAAAAAGAGAGGTATTTCTTCCATTTCCTATAAGGGGATATATACACACCCTTGATAGGTGTGAACACACACGGACGTGGGCACCTGTGTAACAAAAGGAGCACCCCCTATGCCTGACTTTTGTTGCAGGGTCCTGGCTGGATTTTTGCTTCCACCTTCCGGGTGAAGCACTACCCAAACTCTGGGCACTTGCAAAGTCTCTCTCCATTATGGATCCTGTGGTGGGAGATGAGGTTAGAGAAGTCACTGAAGTTCTTCCCACTCTCAGGGCATTTATGGGTCCTCCACTTTTATTTGGACTCCAGCTTGCTCATGGCTGCATGGGTTCTCTTCCTGCCACCCCTTTGCCCCGTCAGCATCGGCTCCTCCTTCCTCCCCAACTTCTCCTCCAGCACCCGGGGTGGTTGTCCTGGCTCCACGTGGGTGCTCAGCGCCTGCTCGAGAAAGACAAAGCCATTGCACCAGCAGGACCTCCACAGCCAAGGAGGGAGGGGAAACCCAAGTATCTGCTGGGGTTATTCAAGGTGGGAAGGCCCAGGAGGGGATTTGCAGTGCTGGAGGAGGGGTGCACCGAGGCCTCCGTGTCCTCGAACGGCCCTGGAAAATGTGCTTGGAGACCATTTGCTATCCCCAAGTCTGACTCGTGAACCCCCCTGCATCGAGGAGTTTCCTCCAGTGCAGCTCCAGTCCCTGGGGGTCTCCAGTCCAACCTCCTGCTCAGAGCAGGACTATCCCCACCGACAGTTCAACCCAACCCGGGGACAGAGCAAACCCATCCCCAGGGACATCTCCCACCCCATCGCTGCTGCCAGGCTGGGAGCAGGAGTCCCAGCACAGCCCCACCATGTGCTTCGCCAGCCCATCCCAGCCCACAGCCCCACCACGGCTGTGACATCTCGCGCTCAGCACCCTCAGGGACTCACCATTATGGAGGGCTTCCTCATGGCTCTGGAGGTGACTCCTCCTCCGGAACGCCTTCCCGCAGAACGAGCAGGCGTAAGGTCTCTCTCCCGTGTGGATTCGATGGTGGGCGACGAGGTTCGAGCGCAAGGAGAAGCTTTTTCCACACGTGGTGCAGAGAAAGGACCTCTCTTCTATGTGCCCTCTCCAGTGATGCCAGAACACGCCGCTCTCCATGAACTTCTTCCCACAAATACGGCACTTGAAGGACTTCTCTCTTGTATGGATCTGTCGATGACGTCTCATGCTGTTCCTCCAGGCAAAGCTCTTCCCACAGTCCACGCACTTGTAGACCTTCCCTCTGGAGCTACGCCTTTGTTGGGTCGCATCTTCTTGAAGTTCCTCACCATACGTCCCTTTGAAAGAGCATTTTCGGGGTCTTCTTGGCTCTTGGCTACCTTGTGTCTCCCCTGGCTGCCGGGGGACATCCTGGTCCATCTCCACCCTGGGGCTCTGGGGCTCCTCTCCGGCTCCTTCCAGCACCACCCTCTGCTCCTCCTTCTCCTTGTCTGTCCCATCACCTGTGGGGAGACCAAAGGGGCTCATTTCGGGGCTCTGAAGGCAGAGGAAGAGCAGCCCCCTGCTCCAGCCCAGCCCAGTGCCCCCCAGCCCCGTGCTGAGCAGCTGCTGGAGCCCTTCCAGCAAGGCCTCCACCCTCGCCAGTAGCCGCACTGGGATCCCAGATGGCTCCAGTAGCCTTGCCTGTTACTGCTGTGTCGTGGTTTGAGCCCAGAGGGCACCCGAGCACCACGCAGCCGCTCGCTCGCCCCGTCCCCCTCAGGGCTGGGCAGGAGAAAATCAAACCGAAGGTCCAGGGGACCCAGACAAGGATGGGGGGGACCAGATTTGGGGTCCACCCCCCCTGTGACTTGGGCACCGAGGGTGCTGGCACTGGGATCACAGCCCCTCCTGCCCCCAGCAGCCCTGCAGCAGCCTGGGCCCTGCAGAACCTGCCAGCCCCTGCCCACACCCCCTGCACCCCCCCTGCACCCCTGGCTGTGCTGCACAAGTGTGCAAGGAGATGGGGCTGTAAGTCCTCGAGTGCCCATGGTTCTGCCTGTTTTTATCTTCCTGCTCTTCCTCCTCCTACTCCATCCCTCCTCCTCCTTCATGCTGGCCCAGCTCCCACCCTCCCTCCCCACTTCCATCCCCCCCAAACTCCCCCCACCCCCCGGGAGGGCCAGGGCTGGAGATGGCTCAGGGCGGGATGGGGCAGTGGGGGGCTGCTGGCTGCTCCCACCCGCCGTGGGGGAACCCGGGAAGGGGGAAAGAGGAGGAAAAGCGAGAAAACTTGTGCATGGAGGTAGAAGGAGTTGGGCAGGAGGAGGCAGGAAGGGTCCATCAGTCACCTCCACACAGTGGGAGATGTATGCCCAGCCAGTTTCTGACAAAAATCAGGCCAAGCCCACCTACAAATGCCTTCCTCTATATCTTTTTGCTGAGCACGTCATATGTGTTTGAGGCCCTCCAAGGACTTACCACTGTGGCGGGCTCTCTGATGCCTTTTGACGCTGTAACTATCTCTAAAGGTCTTCCCGCAGTGCGAGCAGGAGAATGGTCTCACTCCCGTGTGGACGTGTTGATGTTTCATAAGGTACCAGCTAAAGGAGAAACTTTTTCCACACGTCTTGCAGAGAAAGGCCTTCTCACTGCTGTGTATCTGCCGGTGATTCAGGAGTTTCATTTCATACCTGAAGCTCTTCCCACAATCAAAGCACTTGTAGGGCTTCTCTTCGCTGTGGATCAGTTGGTGACGGATCAGGTTTCTCCCAGAGGCAAAGCCCTTCCCACATTCCAGACACTTGTAGACCTTCCCTCTGGATCTACTCCTTGGTTGGGTTGAGTCTTCCTGATGGGCTTCAGCGCCCGTCCCTTCCAAAGAGCATCTTTGGGTTCCTCTTGGCTCTTGGCTACCTTGCATCTCCCCTGGCTGCCGTGGGACATCCTGGTCCATCTCCACCTTGGGGCTCTGGGGCTCCTCTTTGACTCCTTCCAGCACCACCCTCTGCTCCTCCATGGGCTGCCTCTCCTCCTCCTCCTTTATCTCCTTGCCTGTCCCATCACCTGTGGGGAGACCAAAGGGGCTCATTTCGGGGCTCTGAAGGCAGAGGAAGAGCAGCCCCCTGCTCCAGCAGCTCCAGCCCAGCCCAGTGCCCCCCAGCCCCGTGCTGAGCAGCTGCTGGAGCCCTTCCAGCAAGGCCTCCACCCTCGCCAGTAGCCGCACTGGGATCCCAGATGGCTCCAGTAGCCTTGCCTGTTACTGCTGTGTCGTGGTTTGAGCCCAGAGGGCACCCGAGCACCACGCAGCTGCTCGCTCGCCCCGTCCCCCTCAGGGCTGGGCAGGAGAAAATCAAATCGAAGGTTCAGGGGACCCAGACAAGGATGGGGGGGACCAGATTTGGGGTCCACCCCCCCTGTGACTTGGGCACCGAGGGTGCTGGCGCTGGGATCACAGCCCCTCCTGCCCCCAGCAGCCCTGCAGCAGCCTGGGCCCTGCGGGACCTGCCAGCCCCTGCCCGCACCCCTGCACCCCCCCTGCACCCCTGGCTGTACAAGAGTGTAAAGATGTTGGGGTGCAAGTGCATAGGTGCCCATGGATCCGAGTGTCTGTATCTTCCATCATCCTCCTCCTCCATTCTTCATTGTCCTTCATCTTGGATCAGTGGCCAACCTTGGTCCCCACTTCCATCCCTCCCAGAGTCCCCCCACCCCCCGGGAGGGCCAGGGCTGGAGATGGCTCAGGGTGGGATGGGGCAGTGGGGGGCTGCTGGCTGCTCCCACCCACCGTGGGGGAACCCGGGAAGGGGGAAAGAGGGGAAAAAGGGAGAAAACCCGTGGGTGGAGGTAAAAATAGTGGGGCAGGAGGAGGGAGGTAGGGGCCATCACTTCACTCCGGCCCAGGAGGATATGGATGCCCAGAGAGTTCCAGACCAAAATTTCTTCAACCCACACCCTGAAAGCACCTTCTCTCCATTGTATTACTGAAAATGATGTGATACTGGGTTGAACACACCCACCAAGTACTCACGTTTTTGGAGGGTTTCCAGATGCCTCTTCAGGTCAGACTTGCTCCGGAAGGTCTTCTCACAGTGCGAGCAGGCGTAGGGTTTCTCTCCCGTGTGGATGCGTTGGTGGATGATGAGGTTTGAGGTACAGGAGAAGCATTTCCCACACGTGGTGCAAAGAAAGGGTCTCTCATCCGTGTGTGTCCTCCAGTGACGCTGGAGGTTTCCTCTCTCCGTGAAGCTCTTCCCACACTCCTGGCACTCGAAGGGCTTCTCTCCCGTGTGGATCCGTTGGTGACGGGTCAGTTTGTTTCCACAGCCAAAGACCTTCCCACATTCCGAACACTTGTGCTCCTCTCTGGAGCTTCTCCATGGTTTGGTTGCATCTTCTTGGAGGCCTTCAGCACACGTCCCTTGGAAAGAGCATTTTTGGGGGCTTCTTGGCACTTGGCTACCTTGCGTATCACCCGGCTGCTGTGGGACATCGTGGTCCACATCAGCCTTGGGGCTTCGTGCCCTTTCTCACAGGACCCTCCAGTGTTACCCCCCATCCCCTGCTACCCAAACCCCAACCCATCCCAGCAGGGTGCGGCCGGCTGGGTGCTGAGCACCGCGCCCAGGGTGCTGAGCACCCCGCCGAGGCGGCAGCAGGGTGCGGGGGGGCCGGGGGAAGGCGGCTCAGCCCCGTCCCACCGCACCCAGCCCCGCAGGGGTGTTCAGGGGCAGTGTGGGGTGGATTTGGGGTCCCCCCTCCGTGGCACTGGCACTGCAGGCGCTGGGATCACAGCCCCTCCTGCCCCCAGCAGCCCTGCAGCAGCCTGGGCCCTGCGGGACCTGCCAGCCCCTGCCCACCCCCCCCCGTAGTGCACACGTGTGCAAGGGGACGGGGTGCAGGTGCACGGGTGCCCATGGCTCTGACCGTGTCTTTGTCCCCTCTTTCACCTTGTCCTACTCTTCCATCTCTCCAACTCCTTCATCCTTCCTCTTCCTCACTCCTCCATCATTACTCCTCCTCCTCCTCCACTCTGGCCCAGCTCCCCCCTCCCTCCCCACTTCCATCCCCCCCAAACTCCCCCCACCCCCCGGGAGGGCCAGGGCTGGAGATGGCTCAGGGCGGGATGGGGCACTGGGGGCTGCTGGCTGCTCCCACCCACCGTGGGGGAACCCAGGAAGGGGGAAAGAGGGGAAAAAAGGGAGAAAACCCGTGGGTGGAGGTAAAAATAGCTGGGCAGGAAGAGGCAGGATGGGACCATCATTCACCCCAGCCATGGGGAGATGGATGCCCAGACAGTTCCTGACCAAAATCTGGCCAACCCACACACACAAAACTCCTCCTTCCCATTTTATTGCTGAGCACAACACGATATGAAGTTTAGGCCCCGAGGACTCACCCTTGTGCTGGCTTTGCTGATGTTTCCTGAGGTGAAAGTTCTGCCGGAATCTCTTCCCGCAGTGTGAGCAGGCGTACGGTCTCACGCCAGTGTGGTTGCGTTGGTGTTTCACCAGGTACGACTTAAGGATGAAGCTTTTCCCACATATGGAGCAGACAAAGGATTTCTCCTTGGTGTGTGTCAGCCGGTGACGCAGGAGTTTCACACTATACCCAAAGCTCTTCCCGCAGTCCAAGCACTTGAAGGGCTTCTCTCCCGTGTGGATCCGTTGGTGACGGGTCAGGTTTCCTGCACAGCTCAGGACCTTCCCACACTCCTGACACTCGTAGACCTTCTCTCTGGAGCTACACCTTTGTTGATTTGCATCCTCCTGAAGGTCTTCAGCATACGTCCCTTTGAAACAGCATTTTCGGGGTCTTCTTGGCTCTTGGCTACCTTGCGTCTCCCCTGGCAGCTGTGGGACATCCTGGTCCATCTCCACCCTGGGGCTCTGGGGCTCCTCTTTGACTCCTTGCAGCACCACCCTCTGCTCCTCCATGGGCTGCCTCTCCTCCTCCTCCTTTATCTCCTTGCCTGCCCCATCACCTGTGGGGAGACCAAAGGGGCTCATTTCGGGGCTCTGAAGGCAGAGGAAGAGCAGTCCCCTGCTCCAGCAGCTCCAGCCCAGCCCAGTGCCCCCCAGCCCCGTGCTGAGCAGCTGCTGGAGCCCTTCCAGCAAGGCCTCTCCCCAGTTCTCTCCCTCCTCCCCGCCCCCAGCGCAGGGGGCAGGGGATGGGGGGGCGCTCACTCCCTCCCCCCTCGGCTCTGCCGCCCCTTCCTCCCCAGGGGGAGGACTCCTCGCACTCCTCCCCTGCTCCCGCGTGGGCTCCCTCCCACGGGACACACTCCCCCTCCGACCGCCTCCTCCCACGGGCTGCCGGCCCCCCAGCAACACACCGCTCCCCGAGTCCCGGCCTGCTTGGGGCGCAGCCCCCTGCTCCCCCGTGGCGTCCTCCCCGGGCTGCGGGGGGGCATCTGCTCCCGCGTGGGCCTCCTCCATGCTTTGCAGGGGAGCCTGTTCCGGCGCACCTCCCCCGCTCCTTCCGTCCTTCCCCGCCCTTGGGGTTTGCAGGGGAGTTTCCTTCCCTGCTCCCTCCTCTTCCTCCCGGCTTCCCCTTCTGAAATCCGTTATCCCAGACTTGCACCCGCCGTCGCTCGTTGGCTCGGCCTTGCCCAGAGCCGGCTCCGGTTTGGGCCCGGGGGGCTTCGGGCAGGACCCCCCTGCCCCCCCCCAACCCCGCTACCGAACCCCATCGCACCCATCCCAGCACGGCCCCTGAATCTGGCCCCCCCCGGCCCCCCCCGGGGCTGGGTGCGGTGGGACGGGGCTGAGCCGCCTTCCCCCGGCCCCCCCGCACCCTGCTGCCTCCTCGGCGGGGTGCTCAGCACCCTGGGCGCGGTGCTCAGCACCCAGCCGGCCGCACCCGGGCTGTGTAGAGAGGAGGGTGCCTGGCGGGGGGGGGTCAGGCACATTTCAGTTGCTGGTGGCCTTCGCATCACTGCTCCTCCTCCTGTCTCGTCCTGTTAAACTCTTGTCAACATCCACCCACGGGTTTTCTTGCCTTTCCTCCTCTTTCCCCCTTCCCGGGTTCCCCCACGGGTGGGAGCAGCCAGCAGCCCCCCACTGCCCCATCCCGCCCTGAGCCATCTCCAGCCCTGGCCCTCCCGGGGGGCGGGGGGAGTTTGGGGGGGATGGAAGTGGGGAGGGAGGGGGGAGCTGGGCCAGGGTGGAGGAGGAGGAGGGATGGAGGAGGAGGAGGAAGAGCAGGAAGATAAAACCAGGCAGAGTCATGGGCACCCGTGCACTTCTACCTCAGCTCCTTGCACACTTGTGCAGCACAGCCGGGGGTGCAGGGGGGGTGCAGGGGGGTGCGGGCAGGGGCGAGCAGGTCCCGCAGTGCCCAGGCTGCTGCAGGGCTGCTGGGGGCAGGAGGGGCTGTGATCCCAGCGCCAGCACCCTCGGTGCCCAAGTCACAGGGGGGGTGGACCCCAAATCTGGTCCCAAGTCTGCCAGCAGGCGTGTCGGTCCTTTCCATGCCGTTTCTGGGGGAATGTGCATTTTAACTGAACTTTCACAAAGTTTACAAAGCGAGTCCTGTCCTCGTAGTGGCAATGGGCACTCCGGCCAAGAAAGAAACTCATGGGTTCATTTGGTACCACCGCTCACATGTTCCACTGCTTTTAAAAAAAGGCCTGACTGATCATCAACAGCCGGAATTGATGATTTGCTTGGAGGTCCCTTACAGCTAGGCAGGACAGAATGAGTTGTTCCACCATCAATTAAGAAGTCAAGCATTTAACCCCCCAGCTTGACAGGAACCAGGGGATCAGCTGGGGAATTTCTGAAGATGTCTGCCAGTTCCCCTCATTCTAGATCCTCTTCCAACATCGTAACATTAATGTCTCCCATCGGATTTGAGTTCCCCTTCACAGTAGGACATTTATTTTTCCAATGTCCTCCTTGCTTACAAGTGGCACACTGATTAGGTCCCACGGGTGGTCTCAGAATCTGTTTTCCAGAGACTGTTCCTTGTCTACCTCCTTGTCCCATTCTCCTTCCTCCCCCTGTACCTCTGTTCCCAGTACTTAGGCCACTGTTTGCTAGAACCCCAGCGAGAGCCATTGCTGACATGGATGTCTGGGCCTTTGCCTGACCCTATCTTCCTTTTCCCTATCCTCCCTATTATTACAGACTTTGTAAGCTCTTTCTGTTAATTCCGCAGTGGGTTTCTCTTCTGCTCCTTCAGTCTTAATCACTTTCTTTTTTATATCTGGTGCTGATTGCGCCATAAATCAGCCATTAAACATTTCCCTATTATTCTCCTCACCTGGGTCAAAATCTGTCCATTTATACGCTGATTCTCATATCTGCTCATAGAAGGCAGGCGGGGTTTCATCTGGTCCTTGTCTAATTTCATATGCCTTCAATAGATTCTTTTGTTTCAGCACCACATTTTTTTTATTCCATGGAATGTCAAGTCCCTGTGCCTTTGGATAACCATCATTCCCTCCGCTGTATTTGGGTCAAGTCTAGTTCCTGATCAGTAGGAACACCAAGCTCATTCTTCCCAGGGATCTCTCTCCTTTCTTTCTCCTTTCCAGCCCCTTCCGACACCTTTCGTTTGCCCTCAGCTGTGAACAAAGCATCAAAAAGCACCTGCATATCTTCAGAGTTTGGGTTACAAGTTGGAATTACTGTCTTCCTCAACGGATGAGCTTTCTCCACCTTTTCTCCACCTTTATATATATATATATCTCCCGTTCCCCCTGTCATACATATTTAGCAATTTGCATTTCCTTCTAGTACCGTAATCAGTCCTTAAAGTCATAAACCCATCCACATGTGGTACTTCATCCCATTTTCCCACAAGTTTAAAAAACAACATTAGCTGTAATACAGTGTTATATGTTTAAAGAGTCCCCTTCAGGCCACTTTCCCCATGCTCCAACAAATATAGTGGCTACCACTGATTCCAGTATAGTTTCATTCTTAATTTAAATTAGAGGATCTCCAAACTTTTTCCAGCTTTTCAAAATATACCCCAAGAGGGTGCAAGGAGAATTTGTGGTAGAGGAGGCTGCACCCATCTTTGCTTACCAAATGATATTACCCAATTCCCTTGCCCTTATTGCTGTAGACCTTTGAACAGTCTACCACTGCACGCCACTCCAACCCACCTGGCCGATAATTGTTGTCTTTTTTTCTCTTCTTCTGTAATGGTGGCTCCTTGCCTGCAAATCCCAAGCTCCCCGCCCCTGTTCCACAAAACACCATAGCTGGGAGTTGCACGGCGAGTTGCAGGTCTCGACAACCAGCCCCAGCGCCGGGACTGACCAGACAACCCGGGCAAGGTGTGGCCATCCCATCGGGGAGGCCCAAATCTCATCCCAACGGGAGGGTTCTTCCACCCGGTGCTCAAGCCAACACACAGAGGGTTGAGGTACTTCTTTTATTCCCTAAATGCGCAGCGAGGGGTGCCGGGGGTGCTTCCACCCCGCTCCACCCCGCACCAAAGCACTTCAGTGTATTTCTACCCCTCGGCCCACCCGAACACACCGGTGCTGGAGTGAGCAGGGCCACGTTCTGGTCGCTCTGTCCCTCTCCGGGTACCAACGGGCCTCGTCTCGATGGAAAGTCCCAGCGGCTTTTAGTTCTCCTGCGCCAGCACGAAGGGCGAGGGGGGGCCCGTCCTCCTGCTCCTCACTCGACTCGGCCGGTGGGGTCTCTCCCGCCCACTGACGCCGGTTTTTGCTCAGGCTCTGAGGATCGCCCGGCCTTCGGCGCCTTCTGGGGCCGGGTGCTCCCTCTTCTCAGCCTTTGGGCTGCTCCCCGAGGGCACAGCCCTGAGCAAGCCCTGCAGCCTCCGCACCAGGGCTCAGAGCTACACAACAGCCCCGGGATTAGTGCTGCTCCGGAGGAGGGGGGGACCGCGCCCCAACCCCCCAGGAGGGTCCCTGCAGCTGAGCCCTCGCCCCCCCAGACGCTGATACTGGGGGGCAGAACGGCCGGGGGGTTGGGGCTGTGGGGGGATCAGTGTGGGTGTGCACGAGCGGCGTGGGGGGGGGTGCAAGTGCAGGGGTGCCCGAAGGTCGGGGGGGTGGGGGGGGTGTGTGTGTCTGTGTCCCTCTTCCTGCTCCCCACCTCCTCCTGCCCTCCCACTCCCCCTCCATCCCTACCAATCCTCCTCCTCCATCCCTCCTCCTCCTCCTCCACCCTGGCCCAGCTCCCCCCTCCCTCCCCACTTCCATCCCCCCCAGACTCCCCCCACCCCCCGGGACGGCCAGGGCTGGAGATGGCTCAGGGCGGGATGGGGCAGTGGGGGGCTGCTGGCTGCTCCCACCCACCGTGGGGGAACCCGGGAAGGGGGAAAGAAGGGAAAAAGGGAGAAAACCTGTTGGTGAAGGTAAAAAGCGTTGGGCGACAAGAGGCCATCACTCACCCCTGCCCATGGGGAGGTGGATGCCCAGACAGTTCCTGACTGAAATCTGGCCAACCCCCACCCCCAACCCACTCCACTCCATTTGATTGCTGTCCCTGACATGACACCTGTTAAACCCACCAAGTACTCACCGTTGTGGACTCTTTCCTGATGCCTGCTAAGGTGGTAAGTCTGCCGGAAGGTCTTCCCGCAGCGCGGGCAGGGGTAGGGCCTCTCTCCCGTGTGGATGCGCTGGTGGATGGTGAGGTTCGAGATCCAGGAGAAGCTTTTTCCACACGTGGTGCAGACAAAGGGCTTCTCCTTGCTGTGTGTCTGCTGGTGACACAAGAGGTTCCGTCTCTCCACGAAGGTTTTGCCGCAGTCCCGGCACTTGAAGGGATTCTCTCCCGTGTGGATCCGTCGGTGACGGCTCAGGTTGCTCATAGAGGCAAAGCCCTTCCCGCACTCCAGACACGTGTGCACCTTCTCTCTGGAGCTACTCACTGGTTGAGTTGCATCTTCTTGAAGTTCTTCAGCATACGTCCCTTTGAAAGAGCATTTTCGGGGTCGTCTTGGCTCTTGGCTACCTTGCGTCTCCCCTGGCTGCCGTGGGACATCCTGGTCCATCTCTACCTTGGGGCTCTGGGGCTCCTCTTTGACTCCTTCCAGCACCACCCTCTGCTCCTCCATGGGCTGCCTCTCCTCCTCCTCCTTTATCTCCTTGCCTGTCCCATCACCTGTGGGGAGACCAAAGGGGCTCATTTCGGGGCTCTGAAGGCAGAGGAAGAGCAGCCCCCTGCTCCAGCAGCTCCAGCCCAGCCCAGTGCCCCCCAGCCCCGTGCTGAGCAGCTGCTGGAGCCCTTCCAGCAAGGCCTCCACCCTCGCCAGTAGCCGCACTGGGATCCCAGATGGCTCCAGTAGCCTTGCCTGTTACTGCTGTGTCGTGGTTTGAGCCCAGAGGGCACCTGAGCACCACGCAGCCGCTCGCTCGCCCCGTCCCCCTCAGGGCTGGGCAGGAGAAAATCAAATCGAAGGTCCAGGGGACCCAGACAAGGATGGGGGGGACCAGATTTGGGGTCCACCCCCCTGTGACTTGGGCACCGAGGGTGCTGGCGCTGGGATCACAGCCCCTCCTGCCCCCAGCAGCCCTGCAGCAGCCTGGGCCCTGCGGGACCTGCCCGCCCCTGCCCGCACCACACACATGTGCAAGGAGATGATGGTGCAAGTCAATGGATCTCTATGACTTGGTGTCTGTATTTGTGTCCCCTCTTCCAGCTCCTGTTCCTTCCACATCTCTCCCCCTCCTACTGCCTTTCTCCTGCTGCATCATCCAGGACCAGTTCCTACTCTCCGTCCCCACTTCCATCCCCCCCAAACTCCCCCCACCCCCCGGGAGGGCCAGGGCTGGAGATGGCTCAGGGCGGGATGGGGCAGTGGGGGGCTGCTGGCTGCTCCCACCCGCCGTGGGGGAACCCGGGAAGGGGAGAGAGGAGGAAAAGCGAGAAAACTTGTGCATGGAGGTAGAAATACTTGGGCAGGACCGGGCAGAAGGGCCCATCACTCATGACCGGCCATGGGGACATGGATGTACACACAGTTCCCAAACCGAATCTGGCCAACCCCCACCCCCAAACATTCTACTCTCCCTTTTTTTGCACAGCACAATGTGATATGGTGTTCAGCCATCCCCAAGGACTCACCATTATGGATGACCTCCTCGTGCCTCCTGAGGTCACACCTCTTCCAAAAGCTCTTCCCGCAGTGTGAGCAGGCATGCGGTCTCTCTGCTGTGTGGACGTACTGGTGTGTGGTGAGGTTCGACTGACACGTGAAGCGTCTCCCACACGTGGTGCAGACAAAGCGCTTCTCCTTGGTGTGTGTCTGCTGGTGACACAAGAGGTTCCAGCCCTCCATGAAGGTTTTTCCACAGTCCCGGCACTTGAAGGGATTCTCTGCTGCGTGGATCCATCGGTGACGGCTCAGGTTGCTCATAGAGGCAAAGCCCTTCCCGCACTCCAGGCACTTGTGCTCCTTCTCTCTGGAGCTACTCCCTGGTTGAGTTGCATCTTCCCAAAGTTCTTCAGCACACGTCCCATTCAAGGGCAATTTTGGGGTTCCTCTTAGCTCTTGGCTACCTTGCATCTCCCCTGGCTGCCGTGGGACATCCTGGTCCATCTCCACCTTGGGGCTCTGGGGTTCCTCTTTGAAAGAGAATCTTTGGGTTCCTCTTGGCTCTTGGCTACCTTTCGTCTCCCCTGGCTCCTGTGTGACATCCTGGTCCATCTCCACCTTGGGGCTCTGGGGCTCCTCTTCGGCTCCTTCCAGCACCACCCTCTGCTCCTCCATGGGCTGCCTCTCCTCCTCCTTCTCCTTGTCTGTCCCATCACCTGTGGGGAGACCAAAGGGGCTCATTTCGGGGCAGAGGAAGAGCAGCCACCGCCTCCAGCAGCTCCAGACCACATCAGTACCACCTAGTATGCTGGAACCTGGTGTGGTGACCTGGATACTTTGATCTGTCTTATTCTGTCTCATATGTGTTGTTATTGTTAGTGTTTGTATTAAATTTATGTTCTTTTTTTCTTCCCCTAATGAGTCCTTCTGTCTTTTGCTCCAGACAATAATGGTTGCATCACCCCTCCCTGTCCTATCTCAAGACCGAAGCATTTCCTTATTTTCTCCTTCCCAGCACTGGAGGGGGAATGGGGAAGTGAGCACCTGCATGGTGCTCAGTCACCCTCTGGGCTCAAAACACAGCAACCCTCCTGAGGACTCACCACTGTGGAGGGCTTCCTGATGCCTCCTGACTTGAGAGCTCTGCCGGAAGGTTTTCCCGCAGTGTGAGCAGGTGTAGGGTTTCTCTCCCGTGTGGATGCGCTGGTGGATGGTGAGGTTTGATTTCAAGTTGAAGCGTTTCCCACACGTGGTGCAGAGAAATGGCTTCTCATCGGTGTGTGTCCGCTGGTGACGCAGGAATTGACGTTTCTGTGTGAAGCTCTCCCCGCATTCCTGGCACTTCAAGGTTTTCTCTACCGTGTGGACCCGTTGGTGACGGATGAGTTTGCTCCTACAGACAAAGGCCTTCCCGCACTCCAGACACTTGTGCAGCTTCTCTCTGGAGCTACTCTTTGGTTGTCTCGAAGCAACCTGAAGGTCTTCAGCACACGTCCCTTGGAAAGAAGAGATTTGGGTTCCTCTTGGCTACCTTGTGTCTCCCCTGGCTGCCGTGGGACATCCTGGTCCCCGTCCACCCTGGGGCTCTGGGGCTCCTCTCCGGCTCCTTCCAGCACCACCCTCTGCTCCTCCATGGGCTGCCTCTCCTCCTCCTTCCCAGTCCCCCCAGGACCCAGCACTGGGGACAGAAATACTTGAGGGAGAGATGGAATAACCGAGACAGGACCAACTGCCGTGACCGATGCACAGACCCACCCCCTTGTACTACGCCGCCAGACCCTTTTACACCCTTTCCTCCTCCTGGCCCCCTTCCCTGCTCATCACCTCCTGTGCACGCACAGCCCCCGCTCCAGCCGGGCATCCTTATCAGCTGTGGGAGCTGCCAGCCCCTGCCTGCGGTGCACAAGTGTGTAAAGAGATGGGGGTGCAAGTGCACGGCTGCCCACGGCTCGGAGTGTGTGTATCCTCCTGATCCTCCTCCATCCCTCCTCCTCCTCCACCCTGGCCCAGCTCCCCCCTCCCTCCCCACTTCCATCCCCCCCAAACTCCCCCCACCCCCCGGGAGGGCCAGGGCTGGAGATGGCTCAGGGTGGGATGGGGCAGTGGGGGGCTGCTGGCTGCTCCCACCCGCCGTGGGGGAACCCGGGAAGGGGGAAAGAGGGGAAAAAGGGAGAAAACCCGTGGGTGGAGGTAAAAATAGTGGGGCAGGAGGAGGGAGGAAGGGGCCATCACTCACCCTGGCCAATAAAGAGATGGATGCCCAGACAGTTTCTGGCCAAAACTGTTCAACCCACGATGCAAAAGCACCTTCTCTCAATTTTATTACTGAACCTGATGAGATACTGGGATGTACACCCAGAGAGCTCCTGACTGAAATCTGGACAACACCCACCTCCAAACTACCTCCTCTCTATTTTATTGGTCATCACAATGTGATACCGAGTTTAAGCCCCAAGGACTCACCACCGTGGACTTTTTGCTGATGTTTCCTGAAGTGATAATTCTGCCGGAAGATCCTCCCGCAGTGCGAGCAGGGGAACGACCTCACTTCTGTGTGGGACCGTTGGTGTTTTATGAAGCCTGAGTACGAGGAGTAGCGTTTCCCACAGGTGGTGCAGACAAAGGGCTTCTCCTTGGTGTGTGTCCTCTGGTGAGACCGAAGATTCCCTCTATCCCTGAAGCCCTTCCCGCAATCCTGGCACTTGTAGGGCTTCTCTCCCCTGTGGAACCGTCGGTGTCGCCTCAGGCTGCTCTCCCAGATGAAAACCTTCCCACACTCCAGACACTTATAGACCTTCCCTCTGGAGATACTACTTGGTTGGGTTCCGTGCTTTTGAAGGTCTTCAGCACACGTCCCGTGGGAAGAAGAGTTTTGGGTTCCTCTTGGCTCTTGGCTACCTTGCGTCTCCCCTGGCTGCCGTGGGACATCCTGGTCCCCGTCCACCCTGGGGCTCTGGGGCTCCTCTCCGGCTCCTTCCAGCACCACCCTCTGCTCCTCCATGGGCTGCCTCTCCTCCTCCTTCCCAGTCCCCCCAGGACCCAGCACTGGGGACAGAAATACTTGAGGGAGAGATGGAATAACCGAGACAGGACCAACTGTCGTGACCGACGCACAGACCCACCCCCTTGTACTACGCCGCCAGACCCTTTTACACCCTTTCCTCCTCCTGCCCCCCTTCCCTGCTCATCACCTCCTGCGCACGCACAGCCCCCGCTCCAGCCGGGCATCCTTATCAGCTGTGGGAGCTGCCAGCCCCTGCCTGCGGTGCACAAGTGTGTAAAGAGATGGGGGTGCAAGTGCACGGCTGCCCACGGCTCGGAGTGTGTGTATCCTCCTGATCCTCCTCCATCCCTCCTCCTCCTCCACCCTGGCCCAGCTCCCCCCTCCCTCCCCACTTCCATCCCCCCCAAACTCCCCCCACCCCCCGGGAGGGCCAGGGCTGGAGATGGCTCAGGGCGGGATGGGGCAGTGGGGGGCTGCTGGCTGCTCCCACCCGCCGTGGGGGAACCCGGGAAGGGGGAAAGAGGAGAGAAAGCAGGAAAACTCATGCTTGGAGGTAAAAATAGTGGGGCAGGAAGGGACCATCACTGACCTCCACCCATGTGGACATGGATCCCTAGACAATTCCAGACTGAAATCTGTCCAACCGCTGCCCCTCAAAACCCCTCCTCTCCAATTTATTGCTGAGCACATCCTGATATGGGGTTTAGATCCCTCCCAAGGACTCACCTCCATGGAGGGCTTGCTGATGATCCCTGAGGTAATAACGACGCTGGAAGCTCTTCCCGCAGTACGAGCAGGTGTAGGGTCTCTCTCCCGTGTGGATGCGCTGGTGGATGGTGAGGTTTGAGCTCCAGGAGAACCGTTTCCCACACGTGGTGCAGACAAACGGCTTCTCCTTGGTGTGGGTTATCCGGTGACGCAGGAGTTTCCCACTATCCCTAAAGGTCTTCCCACAATCCAGGCACTTATAGGGCTTCTCTCCCGTGTGGATCCACTGGTGTTGCCTCAGGTTTCGCACGGAGGTGAAGACCTTCCCACAGTCCACACACGTGTGCATCTCCTCTCTGGAGCTACGCCGTGGTTGTCTTGCAACTTTTCGAACTTTTGCAACATATGTCCCTTTGAAAGAGCATTTTTGGGGTCCTCTTGTCACTTGGCTACCTTCCATACCATCGGCCTGCCCGGCTCCCCCCCTTGCCTTCTCCTCCTCCTCACGCTCCCCATGGCCTTGCCCCTTAGCGCCACGTCCTGGTTTGAGCCCCGAGGGCACCCGAGCACCACGCAGCCGCTCGCTCGCCCCGTCCCCCTCAGGGCTGGGCAGGAGAAAATCAAATCGAAGGTCAGGGGACCCAGACAAGGATGGGGGGGACCAGATTTGGGGTCCACCCCCCCTGTGACTTGGGCACCGAGGGTGCTGGCGCTGGGATCACAGCCCCTCCTGCCCCCAGCAGCCCTGCAGCAGCCTGGGCACTGCGGGACCTGCCAGCCCCTGCCCGCACCCCCGTGCACCCCCCCTGCACCCCTGGCTGTACAAGAGTGTAAAGATGTTGGGGTGCAAGTGCACAGGTGCCCATGGATCCGAGTGTCTGTATCTTCCATCATCCTCCTCCTCCATTCTTCCTTGTCCTTCATCTTGGATCAGTGGCCAACCTTGGTCCCCACTTCCATCCCCCCCAGACTCCCCCCACCCCCCGGGAGGGCCAGGGCTGGAGATGGCTCAGGGCGGGATGGGGCAGTGGGGGGCTGCTGGCTGCTCCCACCCGCTGTGGGGGAACCTGGGAAGGGGGAAAGAAGAGGAAAGGCAAGAAAACCCGTGGGTGGAGGTGAAAATCGTTGGGCAGTACGAGAGAGCAGGGGGCCATCACTCACCTCTGTCCATGCAGAGATGTACACCCAGACAGCTCCTGACTGAAATCTGGACAACACTCAGCATCGAACCACCTCCTCTATATTTTTTTAGTCATCACTATGTGATACGGGGTTTAGGAACCAAGGACTCACCACTGTGGACTATTTGCTGATGCTTCCTGAGGTGATAATTCCGCTGGAAGGTCCTCCCACAGTGCGAGCAGCTGTACGATCTCACCGCTGTGTGGGTGCGCTTGTGTTTTAAGAGGCTTGAGTACCAGGAGAAGTGTTTCCCACATGTGGTGCAGAAAAAGGCCTTCTCCTTGGTGTGCGTCCTCCAGTGGGACAGAAGATCCCCACTCTCCCTGAAGCTCTTCCCGCAATGCTGGCACTTGTAGGGCTTCTCTCCGGTGTGGAACCGGCGGTGACGGCTCAGGCTACTTGCCCAGCTGAAGACCTTCCCACATAGAAGACACTTGTAGACCTTCCCTCTGGAGCTACTGCCTCCTTCAGATGAGTCTTCTTGAAGGTCCTCAGCATACGTCCCTTTGAAAGAGCATTTTCGGGGTCCTCTTGGCTCTTGGCTACCTTGCGTCTGCCCTGGCTGCCGTGGGACATCCTGGTCCATCTCCACCTTGGGGCTCTGGGGCTCCTCTTTGAAAGAGCATCTTTGGGTTCCTCTTGGCTCTTGGCTACTGTGTGTCTCCCCTGGCAGCCGGGGGACATCCTGGTCCATCTCCACCTTGGGGCTCTGGGGTTCTTCTTTGAAAGAGAATCTTTGGGTTCCTCTTGGCTCTTGGCTACCGTGTGTCTCCCCTGGCAGCTGTGGGACATCCTGGTCCCCGTCCACCCTGGGGCTCTGGGGCTCCTCTTTGACTCCTTCCAGCACCACCCTCTGCTCCTCCATGGGCTGCCTCTCCTCCTCCTCCTTTATCTCCTTGCCTGCCCCATCACCTGTGGGGAGACCAAAGGGGCTCATTTCGGGGCTCTGAAGGCAGAGGAAGAGCAGCCCCCTGCTCCAGCAGCTCCAGCCCAGCCCAGTGCCCCCCAGCCCCGTGCTGAGCAGCTGCTGGAGCCCTTCCAGCAAGGCCTCTCCCCAGTTCTCTCCCTCCTCCCCGCCCCCGGCGCAGGGGGCAGGGGATGGGGGGGCGCTCACTCCCTCCCCCCTCGGCTCTGCCGCCCCTTCCTCCCCAGGGGGAGGACTCCTCGCACTCCTCCCCTGCTCCCGCGTGGGCTCCCTCCCACGGGACACACTCCCCCTCCGACCGCCTCCTCCCACGGGCTGCCGGCCCCCCAGCAACACACCGCTCCCCGAGTCCCGGCCTGCTTGGGGCGCAGCCCCCTGCTCCCCCGTGGCGTCCTCCCCGGGCTGCGGGGGGGCATCTGCTCCCGCGTGGGCCTCCTCCATGCTTTGCAGGGGAGCCTGTTCCGGCGCACCTCCCCCGCTCCTTCCGTCCTTCCCCGCCCTTGGGGTTTGCAGGGGAGTTTCCTTCCCTGCTCCCTCCTCTTCCTCCCGGCTTCCCCTTCTGAAATCCGTTATCCCAGACTTGCACCCGCCGTCGCTCGTTGGCTCGGCCTTGCCCAGAGCCGGCTCCGGTTTGGGCCCGGGGGGCTTCGGGCAGGACCCCCCTGCCCCCCCCAACCCCGCTACCGAACCCCATCGCACCCATCCCAGCACGGCCCCTGAATCTGGCCCCCCCCGGCCCCCCCCGGGGCTGGGTGCGGTGGGACGGGGCTGAGCCGCCTTCCCCCGGCCCCCCCGCACCCTGCTGCCGCCTCGGCGGGGTGCTCAGCACCCTGGGCGCGGTGCTCAGCACCCAGCCGGCCGCACCCGGGCTGTGTAGAGAGGAGGGTGCCTGGCGGGGGGGGGTCAGGCACATTTCAGTTGCTGGTGGCCTTCGCATCACTGCTCCTCCTCCTGTCTCGTCCTGTTAAACTCTTGTCAACATCCATCCACGGGTTTTCTTGCCTTTCCTCCTCTTTCCCCCTTCCCGGGTTCCCCCACGGCGGGTGGGAGCAGCCAGCAGCCCCCCACTGCCCCATCCCGCCCTGAGCCATCTCCAGCCCTGGCCCTCCCGGGGGGTGGGGGGAGTTTGGGGGTGGAGTAAAAGTGGGGACTAAGGATGGGAGCTGGAACAGGGTGAAGGAGGAGGAGTAATGATGGAGGAGTGAGGAAGAGGAAGGATGAAGGAATTGGAGAGATGGAAGAGTAGGACAAGGTGAAAGAGGGGACAAAGACACGCTCAGAGCCATGGTCACCGGTGAACTTGCACCCCGTCCCCTTGCACACGTGTGCACTACGGGGGGGTGTGCGCAGGGTCTGGCAGGTCCCGCAGTGCCCAGGCTGCTGCAGGGCTGCTGGGGGCAGGAGGGGCTGTGATCCCAGCGCCAGCACCCTCGGTGCCCAAGTCACAGGGGGGGTGGACCCCAAATCTGGTCCCCCCCATCCTTGTCTGGGTCCCCTGACCTTCGATTTGATTTTCTCCTGCCCAGCCCTGAGGGGGACGGGGCGAGCGAGCGGCTGCGTGGTGCTCGGGTGCCCTCGGGGCTCAAACCAGGACGTGGCGCTAAGGGGCAAGGCCATGGGGAGCGTGAGGAGGAGGAGAAGGCAAGGGAGGGAGCCGGGCAGGCCGATGGTATGGAAGGTAGCCAAGTGACAAGAGGACCCCAAAAATGCTCTTTCAAAGGGACACTTGCTGCAGAGCTTCAAGAAGTTGCAAGACAACCACAGAGCAGCTCCAGTGAGAAGGTCTCTAAGCGTGTGGAACGTGGGAAGGGCTTTGCCACGTGGAGCGGCGTGAGCTGTCATTGACAGGTCCCCACGGGAGAGGAGCCTGTCCTGGGTTGAGTGAGTGGTGGAGTTTTTTGGTGGCAGGGGAGGGGGCTATCGGGGTGGCCCCCTGGGAGAAGCTCCTCGAAGCTCCCCCAGCTCCACGTCAGCTCCACTTCTGTTTGGGAAATTGAGCCAATCGGCTGTGCCTCTGCGATAACGTATTTAAGAAGGGACGTGGTGACTGGCAGTCGGACTTGTGAGGAGCAGTTGGGGCAGCTGCATGAACACCAAGGTCAGTGGAGGAACAGAGGAAGAAAGGAGGGGGGAGGTGTGCTGGAGCAGAGACCCCCCTGTATCCTGTGGGGAGACAGCAGGGCGGCCCCCCCCTGCCACCCATGGAGAGCTACGGTGGAGCAGACACTGATTTATGGCCTGTGGCTCCTGCTTGCCTGATCAAGGTGCTGTGCCCGAAGAAGGCCGGGGTCTTGTGGGAAAGGGCAGTCCCACTGCTGTAATTCAGTGCTGGGAGGATTGCAGCATGCGGGGGAGTCCCACACCGGAGCAGCTCGGAAAGGGCTGCAGCCGTGGGAGGGAATCCAGTCGGAGGAAGTTAGTGACCCATGACGGAGCAGTGTGGGGAACGCTGCGGCCCGTGGGAGGGACTCATGTCAGAGAAAGTTTGTGGAGGACTGTCTGCTGTGAGAGGGGGACCACGATGGAGCAGGAGGAACAAGTTCCGGACACTCCCCTCACCGAAGATGAAGGAAGTGGCAGCACTGACTGCACCCCCCATTCCCTGCCCCTGCGCCACTGGGGGAGGAGGTAGAGATATCGGGAGCAGAGCTGAGCCCAGGAAGAAGGGAGGGGTGGGGGGAAGGTGTTCTCAAGATGTGGCAATGCTTCTCACTGTCCTACTCTGTTAAGTGTTGTTAGTGTCTGTAATAAATGTATGTTCTTTTTTTCTTCCCCTAACGAGTCTGCCTTTTGCTCATGATCATAAAAGGGGGATTTTTCCCCATCCCAGTCCTATCTCGGACCCCAAGCCTGGCTCTCTGTCCCTTCTCATTGCCGGAGGGGAAGGGAGAGAGAGCTGCTGCCTTGTGGTTGGCTGCCAACCAGGCCCAAACCACAACAAGCCCTTCGAGCGCTGCGATTGCGGGAAGAGCTTCACACAGAGCGGGAACCTCAGGTCTCACTGCCAGAGACGCCACGGACAAGCCCTTTCTCTGCACCACGTGTGGGAAACGCTCCTGCTCAAGGTCAGACATCATCCCCCACCAGCGCATCCACACGGGACAGAGGCCCTACCCCTGCTCGCACTGCGGGAAGACCTTCCGGCAGACTTACCACCTCAGGAGGCATCAGGAAACCCTCCACAGTGGTGAGTCCTCAGGAGGAGCTTAGTGTGGGATGTCTCCAGTCCCTTCTGGGGCTGTGGGCTGGGATGGGCTGGCGAAGCACATGGTGGGGCTGTGCTGGGACTCCTGCTCCCAGCCTGGCAGCAGCGATGGGGTGGGAGATGTCCCTGGGGATGGGTTTGCTCTGTCCCTGGGTTGGGTTGAACTGTCGGTGGGGATAGTCCTGCTCTGAGCAGGAGGTTGGACTGGAGACCTCCAGGGACTGGAGCTGTACTGGAGGAAACTCCTCGATGCAGGGGGGTTCACGAGTCAGACTTGGGGATAGCAAATGGTCTCCAAGCACATTTTCCAGGGCCGTTCGAGGACACGGAGGCCTCTGTGCACCCCTCCTCCAGCACTGCAAATCCCCTCCTGGGCCTTCCCACCTTGAATAACCCCAGCAGATACTTGGGTTTCCCCTCCCTCCTTGGCTTTGGAGGTCCTGCTGGTGCAATGGCTTTGTCTTTCTCGAGCAGGCGCTGAGCACCCACGTGGAGCCAGGACAACCACCCCGGGTGCTGGAGGAGAAGTTGGGGAGGAAGGAAGAGCCGACACTGACGGGGCAAAGGGGCTCCTGTGAAGAACAACCATGAAGCCACGAGCAAGCTGGAGTCCAAATAAAAGTGGAGGACCCATAAATGCCCAGTGTATCACTCCCCTTATTTTTGTCATTCTTATTCTGAAGGAATCCATATGCTTAAACAAATATGCCAGCAAAGGTATAAAAACAAATATTAAAGCAGAATATAAGGAGCTGACTTCTCACGATTGCAAGGGTAGGACATCTACTCATTCCATTTGTGTTTCCTGACAGTTTTGAGATTTGCCTCTCTGAGGTTTGATTCATCCTTTCTACTTCCTCACTTGATCATCGGGGTCTTCAAGTTGTATGTCGACCCCATTTCATCTGTAGATACTTAGCAATCCCTTGAAGTACTTCAGCTGTAAAAGGCCCATTGTCCAAGTACATGTCTTCTGGGCTCTCAAACCTCAGAATTACTTCTGTGAGTATGAGTTTAACTACTTTAGATTTGTTGGTGCAGCATGGGAAAGCTTCAGACCACCCAGAAAAAGTGTCTACCAAGACAGAAAGATACTTAAAATTGTTACATTTTGGTAATTCCAAAAAATCTATTTGCCAGTATTCCCCGGGGGCTCTCACTTCTCCGAAATGCTGTTTCTTTGAATTTTCAGATTGTTCTTTTAACACAGCTGACACCTGTACAATTATATCAGCTAATTTTTGCATTTTTGTCATATAGGGTATCTTTTAACAATTGCAACCAGAGCTTCTGCTCCCATATGAGATTCCCTGTGGGTCTGGGTTTCTTTCTTTAATATTTTTCTTACCATTGGGGTAGTGATCAATAATTGTCCGCCTTTTGTTCCCTGCCACCCTCCTTCTGATTCATACATGATTACATTTGAAATGTTTGGCAAACCGATCCTCTTCTTCAGAGTATTTTAGAGGTTCCCACTGAACTTTTCCCAAAGGAATCAATGCTCTGCTCAATTGTCCTGTTTCTACAACTTGTAGTTGTTCCACCAGCCTTCTGATTTCCTCTCACCACTTCTGGTTATCCTTTCTGGTGGGCTTTGCGATGCACGGCTGCAGCTTCTCTTGGCTCTAGAACAGCTTGTAGCTGCTTTAGAATCTCTGCTCCGTATTTACTGTGAGCTCCTTGGAAGACAATAGTCCGTTCTCCTTCCAGACAGCTGCATGCGTGTGGACCACTCCAAGTGCATGCTTGGGAGTCTAGAAGATGTTTACCCTTTTTCCCTGAGAAAGCTCCAAAGCTCAGGCTACATCTATGATTTCTTGGGATTTAGGCTATTTCACTTGCAAGGTTGGGGTATTATATTCAGATTGGCATTCTTGCAAAAATCTGAATTTGAAGAAAGTTGCAATTAAAGGTTCCAACTGCTTTCTAGCCTCCCTCTTTATTGGATATTGTTTCTTTTTTACCAGCCAGGTCCCAGACTTTAGTTCTATATTTATGGGACTTACCTTTTTTTGATCTTCCTGGTTTCTCTGTAGCCCAAACCAGAGGGATTGCTGCATCTGCAACTCCACTGAGTAACTGTCATTATCCTCTTGCTTATTCTGATCCTGTAAGTCTGCCAGCAGGCGTGTCGGTGCTTTCCATGCCGTTTCTGGGGGAATGTGCATTTTAACTGAACTTTCACAAAGTTTACAAAGCGAGTCCTGTCCTCGTAGTGGCAATGGGCGCTCCGGCAAAGAAAGAAACTCATGGGTTCATTTGGTACCACCGCTCACATGTTCCACTGCTTTTAAAAAAAGGCCTGACTGATCATCAACAGCCGGAATTGATGATTTGCTTGGAGGTCCCTTACAGCTAGGCAGGACAGAATGAGTTGTTCCACCATCAATTAAGAAGTCAAGCATTTAACCCCCCGGCTTGACTGGAACCAGGGGATCAGCTGGGGAATTTCTGAAGATGTCTGCCAGTTCCCCTCATTCTAGATCCTCTTCCAACATCGTAACATTAATGTCTCCCATTGGATTTGAGTTCCCCTTCACAGTAGGACATTTATTTTTCCAATGTCCTCCTTGCTTACAAGTGGCACACTGATTAGGTCCCACGGGTGGTCTCAGAATCTGTTTTCCAGAGACTGTTCCTTGTCTACCTCCTTGTCCCATTCTCCTTCCTCCCCCTGTACCTCTGTTCCCAGTACTTAGGCCATTGTTTGCTAGAACCCCAGCGAGAGCCATTGCTGACATGGATGTCTGGGCCTTTGCCTGACCCTATCTTCCTTTTCCCTATCCTCCCTATTATTACAGACTTTGTAAGCTCTTTCTGTTAATTCCGCAGTGGGTTTCCCTTCTGCCCCTTCAGTCTTAATCACTTTCTTTTTTATATCTGGTGCTGATTGCGCCATAAATCAGCCATTAAACATTTCCCTATTATTCTCCTCACCTGGTTCAAATTCTGTCCATTTATACGCTGATTCTCATATCTGCTCATAGAAGGCAGGCGGGGTTTCATCTGGTCCTTGTCTAATTTCATATGCCTTCAATAGATTCTTTTGTTTCAGCACCACATTTTTTTTATGCCATGGAATGTCAAGTCCCTGTGCCTTTGGATAACCATCATTCCCTCCGCTGTGTTTGGGTCAAGTCTGGTTCCTGATCAGTAGGAACACTAAGCTCATTCTTCCCAGGGATCTCTCTCCTTTCTTTCTCCTTTCCAGCCCCTTCCGACACCTTTCGTTTGCCCTCAGCTGTGAACAAAGCATCAAAAAGCACCTGCGTATCTTCAGAGTTTGGGTTACAAGTTGGAATTACTGTCTTCCTCAACGGATGAGCTTTCTCCACCTTTTCTCGATATGAATCTAACGCTGCCAGTTTAACAAATCTGCAGCAGTGAGACCTGTACAAACAACGGGCCGTCCATCCCCCCAGCCTGACGGGACCCGGAGAACAGGACCTTGACCTCTTGTTCGGCTAGCAACGGGGCTAAAAGTTTCACTCCTTCTCCCAGAGTTAGTAGGAGCAGCTCCCGGCCGGCTCTTCTCCATTTGGAGAGGGGAAATAGGGACGTATTCTCTGAAGGAGGCTCTGGTCCCTTCTTCCCAGCCCCACAGCCCATGCAACAACCCTCCTCATCATTTTCACTATCCAATATATGCAACTATATATATATATATGTTTTTATATATATATATCTCCCGTTCCCCCTGTCATACATATTTAGCAACTTGCATTTCCTTCTAGTACCGTAATCAGTCCTTAAAGTCATAAACCCATCCACATGTGGTACTTCATCCCATTTTCCCACAAGTTTAAAAAACAACATTAGCTGTAATACAGTGTTATATGTTTAAAGAGTCCCCTTCAGGCCACTTTCCCCATGCTCCAACAAATATAGTGGCTACCACTGATTCCAGTATAGTTTCATTCTTAATTTAAATTAGAGGATCTCCAAACTTTTTCCAGCTTTTCAAAATATACCCCAAGAGGGTGCAAGGAGAAGTTGTGGTAGAGGAGGCTGCACCCATCTTTGCTTACCAAATGATATTACCCAATTCCCTTGCCCTTATTGCTGTAGACCTTTGAACAGTCTACCACTGCACGCCACTCCAACCCACCTGGCTGATAATAATTTTTACTTCGCTGAAAATCCCAAATTCTCTGCCTGTTTGCCCTGGGACACCGCTGCTAGGCCTTGCACCTTTGAGTCACCGGTCCGCCCGTCCTGGAGCCGGGACTGACCAGACAACCCGGGCAAGGTGTGGCCATCCCATCGGGGAGGCCCAAATCTCATCCCAACGGGAGGGTTCTTCCACCCGGTGCTCAAGCCAACACACAAAGGGTTGAGGTACTTCTTTTATTCCCTAAATGCGCAGCGAGGGGTGCCGGGGGCGTTTCCACCCCGCTCCACCCCGCACCAAAGCACTTCAGTGTATTTCTACCCCTCGGCCCACCCGAACACACCGGTGCTGGAGTGAGCAGGGCCACGTTCTGGTCGCTCTGTCCCTCTCCGGGTACCAACGGGCCTCGTCTCGATGGAAAGTCCCAGCGGCTTTTAGTTCTCCTGCGCCAGCACGAAGGGCGAGGGGGGGCCCGTCCTCCTGCTCCTCACTCGACTCGGCCGGTGGGGTCTCTCCCGCCCACTGACGCCGGTTTTTGCTCAGGCTCTGAGGATCGCCCGGCCTTCGGCGCCTTCTGGGGCCGGGTGCTCCCTCTTCTCAGCCTTTGGGCTGCTCCCCGAGGGCACAGCCCTGAGCAAGCCCTGCAGCCTCCGCACCAGGGCTCAGAGCTACACAACAGCCCCGGGATTAGTGCTGCTCCGGAGGAGGGGGGGACCGCGCCCCAACCCCCCAGGAGGGTCCCTGCAGCTGAGCCCTCGCCCCCCCAGACGCTGATACTGGGGGGCAGAACGGCCGGGGGGTTGGGGCTGTGGGGGGATCAGTGTGGGTGTGCACGAGCGGCGTGGGGGGGGGTGCAAGTGCAGGGGTGCCCGAAGGTCGGGGGGGTGGGGGGGGTGTGTGTGTCTGTGTCCCTCTTCCTGCTCCCCACCTCCTCCTGCCCTCCCACTCCCCCTCCATCCCTACCAATCCTCCTCCTCCATCCCTCCTCCTCCTCCTCCACCCTGGCCCAGCTCCCCCCTCCCTCCCCACTTCCATCCCCCCCAGACTCCCCCCACCCCCTGGGACGGCCAGGGCTGGAGATGGCTCAGGGCGGGATGGGGCAGTGGGGGGCTGCTGGCTGCTCCCACCCACCGTGGGGGAACCCGGGAAGGGGGAAAGAAGGGAAAAAGGGAGAAAACCTGTTGGTGAAGGTAAAAAGCGTTGGGCGACAAGAGGCCATCACTCACCCCTGCCCATGGGGAGGTGGATGCCCAGACAGTTCCTGACTGAAATCTGGCCAACCCCCACCCCCAACCCACTCCACTCCATTTGATTGCTGTCCCTGACATGACACCTGTTAAACCCACCAAGTACTCACCGTTGTGGACTCTTTCCTGATGCCTGCTAAGGTGGTAAGTCTGCCGGAAGGTCTTCCCGCAGCGCGGGCAGGGGTAGGGCCTCTCTCCCGTGTGGATGCGCTGGTGGATGGTGAGGTTCGAGATCCAGGAGAAGCTTTTTCCACACGTGGTGCAGACAAAGGGCTTCTCCTTGCTGTGTGTCTGCTGGTGACACAAGAGGTTCCGTCTCTCCACGAAGGTTTTGCCGCAGTCCCGGCACTTGAAGGGATTCTCTCCCGTGTGGATCCGTCGGTGACGGCTCAGGTTGCTCATAGAGGCAAAGCCCTTCCCGCACTCCAGACACGTGTGCACCTTCTCTCTGGAGCTACTCACTGGTTGAGTTGCATCTTCTTGAAGTTCTTCAGCATACGTCCCTTTGAAAGAGCATTTTCGGGGTCGTCTTGGCTCTTGGCTACCTTGCGTCTCCCCTGGCTGCCGTGGGACATCCTGGTCCATCTCTACCTTGGGGCTCTGGGGCTCCTCTTTGACTCCTTCCAGCACCACCCTCTGCTCCTCCATGGGCTGCCTCTCCTCCTCCTCCTTTATCTCCTTGCCTGTCCCATCACCTGTGGGGAGACCAAAGGGGCTCATTTCGGGGCTCTGAAGGCAGAGGAAGAGCAGCCCCCTGCTCCAGCAGCTCCAGCCCAGCCCAGTGCCCCCCAGCCCCGTGCTGAGCAGCTGCTGGAGCCCTTCCAGCAAGGCCTCCACCCTCGCCAGTAGCCGCACTGGGATCCCAGATGGCTCCAGTAGCCTTGCCTGTTACTGCTGTGTCGTGGTTTGAGCCCAGAGGGCACCTGAGCACCACGCAGCCGCTCGCTCGCCCCGTCCCCCTCAGGGCTGGGCAGGAGAAAATCAAATCGAAGGTCCAGGGGACCCAGACAAGGATGGGGGGGACCAGATTTGGGGTCCACCCCCCTGTGACTTGGGCACCGAGGGTGCTGGCGCTGGGATCACAGCCCCTCCTGCCCCCAGCAGCCCTGCAGCAGCCTGGGCCCTGCGGGACCTGCCCGCCCCTGCCCGCACCACACACATGTGCAAGGAGATGATGGTGCAAGTCAATGGATCTCTATGACTTGGTGTCTGTATTTGTGTCCCCTCTTCCAGCTCCTGTTCCTTCCACATCTCTCCCCCTCCTACTGCCTTTCTCCTGCTGCATCATCCAGGACCAGTTCCTACTCTCCGTCCCCACTTCCATCCCCCCCAAACTCCCCCCACCCCCCGGGAGGGCCAGGGCTGGAGATGGCTCAGGGCGGGATGGGGCAGTGGGGGGCTGCTGGCTGCTCCCACCCGCCGTGGGGGAACCCGGGAAGGGGAGAGAGGAGGAAAAGCGAGAAAACTTGTGCATGGAGGTAGAAATACTTGGGCAGGACCGGGCAGAAGGGCCCATCACTCATGACCGGCCATGGGGACATGGATGTACACACAGTTCCCAAACCGAATCTGGCCAACCCCCACCCCCAAACATTCTACTCTCCCTTTTTTTGCACAGCACAATGTGATATGGTGTTCAGCCATCCCCAAGGACTCACCATTATGGATGACCTCCTCGTGCCTCCTGAGGTCACACCTCTTCCAAAAGCTCTTCCCGCAGTGTGAGCAGGCATGCGGTCTCTCTGCTGTGTGGACGTACTGGTGTGTGGTGAGGTTCGACTGACACGTGAAGCGTCTCCCACACGTGGTGCAGACAAAGCGCTTCTCCTTGGTGTGTGTCTGCTGGTGACACAAGAGGTTCCAGCCCTCCATGAAGGTTTTTCCACAGTCCCGGCACTTGAAGGGATTCTCTGCTGCGTGGATCCATCGGTGACGGCTCAGGTTGCTCATAGAGGCAAAGCCCTTCCCGCACTCCAGGCACTTGTGCTCCTTCTCTCTGGAGCTACTCCCTGGTTGAGTTGCATCTTCCCAAAGTTCTTCAGCACACGTCCCATTCAAGGGCAATTTTGGGGTTCCTCTTAGCTCTTGGCTACCTTGCATCTCCCCTGGCTGCCGTGGGACATCCTGGTCCATCTCCACCTTGGGGCTCTGGGGTTCCTCTTTGAAAGAGAATCTTTGGGTTCCTCTTGGCTCTTGGCTACCTTTCGTCTCCCCTGGCTCCTGTGTGACATCCTGGTCCATCTCCACCTTGGGGCTCTGGGGCTCCTCTTCGGCTCCTTCCAGCACCACCCTCTGCTCCTCCATGGGCTGCCTCTCCTCCTCCTTCTCCTTGTCTGTCCCATCACCTGTGGGGAGACCAAAGGGGCTCATTTCGGGGCAGAGGAAGAGCAGCCACCGCCTCCAGCAGCTCCAGACCACATCAGTACCACCTAGTATGCTGGAACCTGGTGTGGTGACCTGGATACTTTGATCTGTCTTATTCTGTCTCATATGTGTTGTTATTGTTAGTGTTTGTATTAAATTTATGTTCTTTTTTTCTTCCCCTAATGAGTCCTTCTGTCTTTTGCTCCAGACAATAATGGTTGCATCACCCCTCCCTGTCCTATCTCAAGACCGAAGCATTTCCTTATTTTCTCCTTCCCAGCACTGGAGGGGGAATGGGGAAGTGAGCACCTGCATGGTGCTCAGTCACCCTCTGGGCTCAAAACACAGCAACCCTCCTGAGGACTCACCACTGTGGAGGGCTTCCTGATGCCTCCTGACTTGAGAGCTCTGCCGGAAGGTTTTCCCGCAGTGTGAGCAGGTGTAGGGTTTCTCTCCCGTGTGGATGCGCTGGTGGATGGTGAGGTTTGATTTCAAGTTGAAGCGTTTCCCACACGTGGTGCAGAGAAATGGCTTCTCATCGGTGTGTGTCCGCTGGTGACGCAGGAATTGACGTTTCTGTGTGAAGCTCTCCCCGCATTCCTGGCACTTCAAGGTTTTCTCTACCGTGTGGACCCGTTGGTGACGGATGAGTTTGCTCCTACAGACAAAGGCCTTCCCGCACTCCAGACACTTGTGCAGCTTCTCTCTGGAGCTACTCTTTGGTTGTCTCGAAGCAACCTGAAGGTCTTCAGCACACGTCCCTTGGAAAGAAGAGATTTGGGTTCCTCTTGGCTACCTTGTGTCTCCCCTGGCTGCCGTGGGACATCCTGGTCCCCGTCCACCCTGGGGCTCTGGGGCTCCTCTCCGGCTCCTTCCAGCACCACCCTCTGCTCCTCCATGGGCTGCCTCTCCTCCTCCTTCCCAGTCCCCCCAGGACCCAGCACTGGGGACAGAAATACTTGAGGGAGAGATGGAATAACCGAGACAGGACCAACTGCCGTGACCGATGCACAGACCCACCCCCTTGTACTACGCCGCCAGACCCTTTTACACCCTTTCCTCCTCCTGGCCCCCTTCCCTGCTCATCACCTCCTGTGCACGCACAGCCCCCGCTCCAGCCGGGCATCCTTATCAGCTGTGGGAGCTGCCAGCCCCTGCCTGCGGTGCACAAGTGTGTAAAGAGATGGGGGTGCAAGTGCACGGCTGCCCACGGCTCGGAGTGTGTGTATCCTCCTGATCCTCCTCCATCCCTCCTCCTCCTCCACCCTGGCCCAGCTCCCCCCTCCCTCCCCACTTCCATCCCCCCCAAACTCCCCCCACCCCCCGGGAGGGCCAGGGCTGGAGATGGCTCAGGGTGGGATGGGGCAGTGGGGGGCTGCTGGCTGCTCCCACCCGCCGTGGGGGAACCCGGGAAGGGGGAAAGAGGGGAAAAAGGGAGAAAACCCGTGGGTGGAGGTAAAAATAGTGGGGCAGGAGGAGGGAGGAAGGGGCCATCACTCACCCTGGCCAATAAAGAGATGGATGCCCAGACAGTTTCTGGCCAAAACTGTTCAACCCACGATGCAAAAGCACCTTCTCTCAATTTTATTACTGAACCTGATGAGATACTGGGATGTACACCCAGAGAGCTCCTGACTGAAATCTGGACAACACCCACCTCCAAACTACCTCCTCTCTATTTTATTGGTCATCACAATGTGATACCGAGTTTAAGCCCCAAGGACTCACCACCGTGGACTTTTTGCTGATGTTTCCTGAAGTGATAATTCTGCCGGAAGATCCTCCCGCAGTGCGAGCAGGGGAACGACCTCACTTCTGTGTGGGACCGTTGGTGTTTTATGAAGCCTGAGTACGAGGAGTAGCGTTTCCCACAGGTGGTGCAGACAAAGGGCTTCTCCTTGGTGTGTGTCCTCTGGTGAGACCGAAGATTCCCTCTATCCCTGAAGCCCTTCCCGCAATCCTGGCACTTGTAGGGCTTCTCTCCCCTGTGGAACCGTCGGTGTCGCCTCAGGCTGCTCTCCCAGATGAAAACCTTCCCACACTCCAGACACTTATAGACCTTCCCTCTGGAGATACTACTTGGTTGGGTTCCGTGCTTTTGAAGGTCTTCAGCACACGTCCCGTGGGAAGAAGAGTTTTGGGTTCCTCTTGGCTCTTGGCTACCTTGCGTCTCCCCTGGCTGCCGTGGGACATCCTGGTCCCCGTCCACCCTGGGGCTCTGGGGCTCCTCTCCGGCTCCTTCCAGCACCACCCTCTGCTCCTCCATGGGCTGCCTCTCCTCCTCCTTCCCAGTCCCCCCAGGACCCAGCACTGGGGACAGAAATACTTGAGGGAGAGATGGAATAACCGAGACAGGACCAACTGTCGTGACCGACGCACAGACCCACCCCCTTGTACTACGCCGCCAGACCCTTTTACACCCTTTCCTCCTCCTGCCCCCCTTCCCTGCTCATCACCTCCTGCGCACGCACAGCCCCCGCTCCAGCCGGGCATCCTTATCAGCTGTGGGAGCTGCCAGCCCCTGCCTGCGGTGCACAAGTGTGTAAAGAGATGGGGGTGCAAGTGCACGGCTGCCCACGGCTCGGAGTGTGTGTATCCTCCTGATCCTCCTCCATCCCTCCTCCTCCTCCACCCTGGCCCAGCTCCCCCCTCCCTCCCCACTTCCATCCCCCCCAAACTCCCCCCACCCCCCGGGAGGGCCAGGGCTGGAGATGGCTCAGGGCGGGATGGGGCAGTGGGGGGCTGCTGGCTGCTCCCACCCGCCGTGGGGGAACCCGGGAAGGGGGAAAGAGGAGAGAAAGCAGGAAAACTCATGCTTGGAGGTAAAAATAGTGGGGCAGGAAGGGACCATCACTGACCTCCACCCATGTGGACATGGATCCCTAGACAATTCCAGACTGAAATCTGTCCAACCGCTGCCCCTCAAAACCCCTCCTCTCCAATTTATTGCTGAGCACATCCTGATATGGGGTTTAGATCCCTCCCAAGGACTCACCTCCATGGAGGGCTTGCTGATGATCCCTGAGGTAATAACGACGCTGGAAGCTCTTCCCGCAGTACGAGCAGGTGTAGGGTCTCTCTCCCGTGTGGATGCGCTGGTGGATGGTGAGGTTTGAGCTCCAGGAGAACCGTTTCCCACACGTGGTGCAGACAAACGGCTTCTCCTTGGTGTGGGTTATCCGGTGACGCAGGAGTTTCCCACTATCCCTAAAGGTCTTCCCACAATCCAGGCACTTATAGGGCTTCTCTCCCGTGTGGATCCACTGGTGTTGCCTCAGGTTTCGCACGGAGGTGAAGACCTTCCCACAGTCCACACACGTGTGCATCTCCTCTCTGGAGCTACGCCGTGGTTGTCTTGCAACTTTTCGAACTTTTGCAACATATGTCCCTTTGAAAGAGCATTTTTGGGGTCCTCTTGTCACTTGGCTACCTTCCATACCATCGGCCTGCCCGGCTCCCCCCCTTGCCTTCTCCTCCTCCTCACGCTCCCCATGGCCTTGCCCCTTAGCGCCACGTCCTGGTTTGAGCCCCGAGGGCACCCGAGCACCACGCAGCCGCTCGCTCGCCCCGTCCCCCTCAGGGCTGGGCAGGAGAAAATCAAATCGAAGGTCAGGGGACCCAGACAAGGATGGGGGGGACCAGATTTGGGGTCCACCCCCCCTGTGACTTGGGCACCGAGGGTGCTGGCGCTGGGATCACAGCCCCTCCTGCCCCCAGCAGCCCTGCAGCAGCCTGGGCACTGCGGGACCTGCCAGCCCCTGCCCGCACCCCCGTGCACCCCCCCTGCACCCCTGGCTGTACAAGAGTGTAAAGATGTTGGGGTGCAAGTGCACAGGTGCCCATGGATCCGAGTGTCTGTATCTTCCATCATCCTCCTCCTCCATTCTTCCTTGTCCTTCATCTTGGATCAGTGGCCAACCTTGGTCCCCACTTCCATCCCCCCCAGACTCCCCCCACCCCCCGGGAGGGCCAGGGCTGGAGATGGCTCAGGGCGGGATGGGGCAGTGGGGGGCTGCTGGCTGCTCCCACCCGCTGTGGGGGAACCTGGGAAGGGGGAAAGAAGAGGAAAGGCAAGAAAACCCGTGGGTGGAGGTGAAAATCGTTGGGCAGTACGAGAGAGCAGGGGGCCATCACTCACCTCTGTCCATGCAGAGATGTACACCCAGACAGCTCCTGACTGAAATCTGGACAACACTCAGCATCGAACCACCTCCTCTATATTTTTTTAGTCATCACTATGTGATACGGGGTTTAGGAACCAAGGACTCACCACTGTGGACTATTTGCTGATGCTTCCTGAGGTGATAATTCCGCTGGAAGGTCCTCCCACAGTGCGAGCAGCTGTACGATCTCACCGCTGTGTGGGTGCGCTTGTGTTTTAAGAGGCTTGAGTACCAGGAGAAGTGTTTCCCACATGTGGTGCAGAAAAAGGCCTTCTCCTTGGTGTGCGTCCTCCAGTGGGACAGAAGATCCCCACTCTCCCTGAAGCTCTTCCCGCAATGCTGGCACTTGTAGGGCTTCTCTCCGGTGTGGAACCGGCGGTGACGGCTCAGGCTACTTGCCCAGCTGAAGACCTTCCCACATAGAAGACACTTGTAGACCTTCCCTCTGGAGCTACTGCCTCCTTCAGATGAGTCTTCTTGAAGGTCCTCAGCATACGTCCCTTTGAAAGAGCATTTTCGGGGTCCTCTTGGCTCTTGGCTACCTTGCGTCTGCCCTGGCTGCCGTGGGACATCCTGGTCCATCTCCACCTTGGGGCTCTGGGGCTCCTCTTTGAAAGAGCATCTTTGGGTTCCTCTTGGCTCTTGGCTACTGTGTGTCTCCCCTGGCAGCCGGGGGACATCCTGGTCCATCTCCACCTTGGGGCTCTGGGGTTCTTCTTTGAAAGAGAATCTTTGGGTTCCTCTTGGCTCTTGGCTACCGTGTGTCTCCCCTGGCAGCTGTGGGACATCCTGGTCCCCGTCCACCCTGGGGCTCTGGGGCTCCTCTTTGACTCCTTCCAGCACCACCCTCTGCTCCTCCATGGGCTGCCTCTCCTCCTCCTCCTTTATCTCCTTGCCTGCCCCATCACCTGTGGGGAGACCAAAGGGGCTCATTTCGGGGCTCTGAAGGCAGAGGAAGAGCAGCCCCCTGCTCCAGCAGCTCCAGCCCAGCCCAGTGCCCCCCAGCCCCGTGCTGAGCAGCTGCTGGAGCCCTTCCAGCAAGGCCTCTCCCCAGTTCTCTCCCTCCTCCCCGCCCCCGGCGCAGGGGGCAGGGGATGGGGGGGCGCTCACTCCCTCCCCCCTCGGCTCTGCCGCCCCTTCCTCCCCAGGGGGAGGACTCCTCGCACTCCTCCCCTGCTCCCGCGTGGGCTCCCTCCCACGGGACACACTCCCCCTCCGACCGCCTCCTCCCACGGGCTGCCGGCCCCCCAGCAACACACCGCTCCCCGAGTCCCGGCCTGCTTGGGGCGCAGCCCCCTGCTCCCCCGTGGCGTCCTCCCCGGGCTGCGGGGGGGCATCTGCTCCCGCGTGGGCCTCCTCCATGCTTTGCAGGGGAGCCTGTTCCGGCGCACCTCCCCCGCTCCTTCCGTCCTTCCCCGCCCTTGGGGTTTGCAGGGGAGTTTCCTTCCCTGCTCCCTCCTCTTCCTCCCGGCTTCCCCTTCTGAAATCCGTTATCCCAGACTTGCACCCGCCGTCGCTCGTTGGCTCGGCCTTGCCCAGAGCCGGCTCCGGTTTGGGCCCGGGGGGCTTCGGGCAGGACCCCCCTGCCCCCCCCAACCCCGCTACCGAACCCCATCGCACCCATCCCAGCACGGCCCCTGAATCTGGCCCCCCCCGGCCCCCCCCGGGGCTGGGTGCGGTGGGACGGGGCTGAGCCGCCTTCCCCCGGCCCCCCCGCACCCTGCTGCCGCCTCGGCGGGGTGCTCAGCACCCTGGGCGCGGTGCTCAGCACCCAGCCGGCCGCACCCGGGCTGTGTAGAGAGGAGGGTGCCTGGCGGGGGGGGGTCAGGCACATTTCAGTTGCTGGTGGCCTTCGCATCACTGCTCCTCCTCCTGTCTCGTCCTGTTAAACTCTTGTCAACATCCATCCACGGGTTTTCTTGCCTTTCCTCCTCTTTCCCCCTTCCCGGGTTCCCCCACGGCGGGTGGGAGCAGCCAGCAGCCCCCCACTGCCCCATCCCGCCCTGAGCCATCTCCAGCCCTGGCCCTCCCGGGGGGTGGGGGGAGTTTGGGGGTGGAGTAAAAGTGGGGACTAAGGATGGGAGCTGGAACAGGGTGAAGGAGGAGGAGTAATGATGGAGGAGTGAGGAAGAGGAAGGATGAAGGAATTGGAGAGATGGAAGAGTAGGACAAGGTGAAAGAGGGGACAAAGACACGCTCAGAGCCATGGTCACCGGTGAACTTGCACCCCGTCCCCTTGCACACGTGTGCACTACGGGGGGGTGTGCGCAGGGTCTGGCAGGTCCCGCAGTGCCCAGGCTGCTGCAGGGCTGCTGGGGGCAGGAGGGGCTGTGATCCCAGCGCCAGCACCCTCGGTGCCCAAGTCACAGGGGGGGTGGACCCCAAATCTGGTCCCCCCCATCCTTGTCTGGGTCCCCTGACCTTCGATTTGATTTTCTCCTGCCCAGCCCTGAGGGGGACGGGGCGAGCGAGCGGCTGCGTGGTGCTCGGGTGCCCTCGGGGCTCAAACCAGGACGTGGCGCTAAGGGGCAAGGCCATGGGGAGCGTGAGGAGGAGGAGAAGGCAAGGGAGGGAGCCGGGCAGGCCGATGGTATGGAAGGTAGCCAAGTGACAAGAGGACCCCAAAAATGCTCTTTCAAAGGGACACTTGCTGCAGAGCTTCAAGAAGTTGCAAGACAACCACAGAGCAGCTCCAGTGAGAAGGTCTCTAAGCGTGTGGAACGTGGGAAGGGCTTTGCCACGTGGAGCGGCGTGAGCTGTCATTGACAGGTCCCCACGGGAGAGGAGCCTGTCCTGGGTTGAGTGAGTGGTGGAGTTTTTTGGTGGCAGGGGAGGGGGCTATCGGGGTGGCCCCCTGGGAGAAGCTCCTCGAAGCTCCCCCAGCTCCACGTCAGCTCCACTTCTGTTTGGGAAATTGAGCCAATCGGCTGTGCCTCTGCGATAACGTATTTAAGAAGGGACGTGGTGACTGGCAGTCGGACTTGTGAGGAGCAGTTGGGGCAGCTGCATGAACACCAAGGTCAGTGGAGGAACAGAGGAAGAAAGGAGGGGGGAGGTGTGCTGGAGCAGAGACCCCCCTGTATCCTGTGGGGAGACAGCAGGGCGGCCCCCCCCTGCCACCCATGGAGAGCTACGGTGGAGCAGACACTGATTTATGGCCTGTGGCTCCTGCTTGCCTGATCAAGGTGCTGTGCCCGAAGAAGGCCGGGGTCTTGTGGGAAAGGGCAGTCCCACTGCTGTAATTCAGTGCTGGGAGGATTGCAGCATGCGGGGGAGTCCCACACCGGAGCAGCTCGGAAAGGGCTGCAGCCGTGGGAGGGAATCCAGTCGGAGGAAGTTAGTGACCCATGACGGAGCAGTGTGGGGAACGCTGCGGCCCGTGGGAGGGACTCATGTCAGAGAAAGTTTGTGGAGGACTGTCTGCTGTGAGAGGGGGACCACGATGGAGCAGGAGGAACAAGTTCCGGACACTCCCCTCACCGAAGATGAAGGAAGTGGCAGCACTGACTGCACCCCCCATTCCCTGCCCCTGCGCCACTGGGGGAGGAGGTAGAGATATCGGGAGCAGAGCTGAGCCCAGGAAGAAGGGAGGGGTGGGGGGAAGGTGTTCTCAAGATGTGGCAATGCTTCTCACTGTCCTACTCTGTTAAGTGTTGTTAGTGTCTGTAATAAATGTATGTTCTTTTTTTCTTCCCCTAACGAGTCTGCCTTTTGCTCATGATCATAAAAGGGGGATTTTTCCCCATCCCAGTCCTATCTCGGACCCCAAGCCTGGCTCTCTGTCCCTTCTCATTGCCGGAGGGGAAGGGAGAGAGAGCTGCTGCCTTGTGGTTGGCTGCCAACCAGGCCCAAACCACAACAAGCCCTTCGAGCGCTGCGATTGCGGGAAGAGCTTCACACAGAGCGGGAACCTCAGGTCTCACTGCCAGAGACGCCACGGACAAGCCCTTTCTCTGCACCACGTGTGGGAAACGCTCCTGCTCAAGGTCAGACATCATCCCCCACCAGCGCATCCACACGGGACAGAGGCCCTACCCCTGCTCGCACTGCGGGAAGACCTTCCGGCAGACTTACCACCTCAGGAGGCATCAGGAAACCCTCCACAGTGGTGAGTCCTCAGGAGGAGCTTAGTGTGGGATGTCTCCAGTCCCTTCTGGGGCTGTGGGCTGGGATGGGCTGGCGAAGCACATGGTGGGGCTGTGCTGGGACTCCTGCTCCCAGCCTGGCAGCAGCGATGGGGTGGGAGATGTCCCTGGGGATGGGTTTGCTCTGTCCCTGGGTTGGGTTGAACTGTCGGTGGGGATAGTCCTGCTCTGAGCAGGAGGTTGGACTGGAGACCTCCAGGGACTGGAGCTGTACTGGAGGAAACTCCTCGATGCAGGGGGGTTCACGAGTCAGACTTGGGGATAGCAAATGGTCTCCAAGCACATTTTCCAGGGCCGTTCGAGGACACGGAGGCCTCTGTGCACCCCTCCTCCAGCACTGCAAATCCCCTCCTGGGCCTTCCCACCTTGAATAACCCCAGCAGATACTTGGGTTTCCCCTCCCTCCTTGGCTTTGGAGGTCCTGCTGGTGCAATGGCTTTGTCTTTCTCGAGCAGGCGCTGAGCACCCACGTGGAGCCAGGACAACCACCCCGGGTGCTGGAGGAGAAGTTGGGGAGGAAGGAAGAGCCGACACTGACGGGGCAAAGGGGCTCCTGTGAAGAACAACCATGAAGCCACGAGCAAGCTGGAGTCCAAATAAAAGTGGAGGACCCATAAATGCCCAGTGTATCACTCCCCTTATTTTTGTCATTCTTATTCTGAAGGAATCCATATGCTTAAACAAATATGCCAGCAAAGGTATAAAAACAAATATTAAAGCAGAATATAAGGAGCTGACTTCTCACGATTGCAAGGGTAGGACATCTACTCATTCCATTTGTGTTTCCTGACAGTTTTGAGATTTGCCTCTCTGAGGTTTGATTCATCCTTTCTACTTCCTCACTTGATCATCGGGGTCTTCAAGTTGTATGTCGACCCCATTTCATCTGTAGATACTTAGCAATCCCTTGAAGTACTTCAGCTGTAAAAGGCCCATTGTCCAAGTACATGTCTTCTGGGCTCTCAAACCTCAGAATTACTTCTGTGAGTATGAGTTTAACTACTTTAGATTTGTTGGTGCAGCATGGGAAAGCTTCAGACCACCCAGAAAAAGTGTCTACCAAGACAGAAAGATACTTAAAATTGTTACATTTTGGTAATTCCAAAAAATCTATTTGCCAGTATTCCCCGGGGGCTCTCACTTCTCCGAAATGCTGTTTCTTTGAATTTTCAGATTGTTCTTTTAACACAGCTGACACCTGTACAATTATATCAGCTAATTTTTGCATTTTTGTCATATAGGGTATCTTTTAACAATTGCAACCAGAGCTTCTGCTCCCATATGAGATTCCCTGTGGGTCTGGGTTTCTTTCTTTAATATTTTTCTTACCATTGGGGTAGTGATCAATAATTGTCCGCCTTTTGTTCCCTGCCACCCTCCTTCTGATTCATACATGATTACATTTGAAATGTTTGGCAAACCGATCCTCTTCTTCAGAGTATTTTAGAGGTTCCCACTGAACTTTTCCCAAAGGAATCAATGCTCTGCTCAATTGTCCTGTTTCTACAACTTGTAGTTGTTCCACCAGCCTTCTGATTTCCTCTCACCACTTCTGGTTATCCTTTCTGGTGGGCTTTGCGATGCACGGCTGCAGCTTCTCTTGGCTCTAGAACAGCTTGTAGCTGCTTTAGAATCTCTGCTCCGTATTTACTGTGAGCTCCTTGGAAGACAATAGTCCGTTCTCCTTCCAGACAGCTGCATGCGTGTGGACCACTCCAAGTGCATGCTTGGGAGTCTAGAAGATGTTTACCCTTTTTCCCTGA